ACGTCATCTATCCAGATTTAAACAAAATATTTTCGGTGCATAAATTGAAACTTTTTGTGTGGGTAGGATACTGGGAAGGACTAGTCAAAGTATTTCAATAATTTTTAAAAAATTATTCTTTATATTCTTAATTCAATTTGCAGCTTGATACTGGATTATTCCGGATTTTAAAATAGTTTAATAATTTTAAGCGTAATAGTTATTGTTTTATATATAGTAGTATATGTGAAGTATATGTGAAGAACAAATAAGAAAATATCTTTTTTTTTTATTATAGTACAATGTATTATGATTCAGCATGTGGTACATGAAAATCAACCTCTTAATACATATCCGATGTATAAAACTTTCAATGATTCAGCATGTGGTACATAAAATGTGTGAAACATAAACCTCTTAATACCTACCCAATATACATGTATGTATACGATTGCTTAGTTAATACAGTTAAACTTCTTTCTCTAAAACTCAATAGAGTCAAGAAAAACCAAGAGATATTGAAGTATATAAAGGATAATATATGGTTGGGACTTCAAATATACTCCAATATATCAATGGTAGTCAAGATATTGATGTTTGAGATTCAAAGTTTAACTGTACATTCATTGCAATGAAATACAAAAAAAATGTAATTTATTTATACATGTATTTAAAAAACATCAGATAAACATCTGGAACAGATCTACATTTCACCCAGATCAGTGTTATAAATTGTGTCTATAAATAATTGCAGAATAAGTATTATGGCACCCTTGATAAATAACAATTTTTCTCAGAACAACTTTTCTCAGATCTAGAAATATTATGGCTTAAAACTTCATTAGATATATTTTTCTAATTTCCATTCAGTAAAAAAAATAGGCCTTAGAAATATTTAGGGTAATATGTAGAATAAAAAGGTTATCAAGGTTACAAACTTAGAGGTGCAGGTGTTATTGTTTGTTTGTTTTTTTTTTTTTTTTTTTTTTTGGGGGGGGGGGGGGTTGACAACGTTGAAATTTACTGTATGAATTATACATTAACTTTCCTTTATCTAAATGTAAGAATAAGTGTCATGAATGGAAACCAGTCTTCTTTATCAAATAATTCAAAGCTTGCATGGTGACAATTACAATTGTCATGAACACAGTCTAGTGCATCATCAACGATAACCAAAAAAAAAACTTCCATTTCTAAGACAATGTAAAAATAGAAATACGGGGGGAAAATCAGAAAATCCCCACTGATCATCAAAAAAAAAAACCTTATGTGAGACAGCAATCTAATTCTAATAAGAAATCACATGGCAAACCCCAATGTGAGACAGCATTCGAAATCTAATCAGAAATCTAATGACAACAACGGCTTCGATGCATGGCCAATCGCTATTTTTTTTTTTAAACAGTTGAATAACCAGTGATCTACTCTTCCCGTTCTACAATTTTTTCCTCTTCAGACACTTGTTGCTGGGACAGTGGGAGAGACTGGTGTCGGAATTCCAATTTTCCTTCTGTGAAATCCTCCACTATATGTCCCCTACCATGGAGGATCCATTTTAAGAAAGAAGTCCCTCTTCACCTACAGGGCCACGTGCATGAATTCTGTTAGAGCTTATACTAACCTCAGCTCCTAGAAAGGACAATGACTTTTCCAGTACGTTTCATTTATTATGTCAGTCTAATGTATGTACATATGGTAAAAGTCAAATAAAAAAATAGTTATGAATCCGATTACCAGACCATCCTAATTCTATACTCCTTACTCTTAACCTTTCTTTTTTTTTTTTTTTTTTTTTTTTGTTAGCCAAATTGCCAGAATTCTAGTAAACCTATAAACGGGTCAAGTTTGTAGATATAAGTTCACACTGACATATCCCCATTAGGAGTTAGAATTTTACATTAACAGGTTCACACTGATATATCCCTAGTACGAATCAGAATTGTATGATTGATTGATTGATTGATTGACTGAGTGATGTTTAACGTCCCTTGCAAGATTATTCACTCATATAGAGAAGTCACTGTATATCGGTGATGGACTTTAAAAGACCTTTAATCGGCACTCAGGGCCATTGAGCTGTGAGGGAACCTGTAAATGCTTGCTTGAACTTGTGTCAATGCCTGTTGTAACAAGAGGCCTTGGTTTTTAGGATCTTATCCGAAAGACCGGCAACTTTCACTTTAAACTGCCGAGCGCTTGGCGAAGGAACAGTTTCAACCTATCTTTTATGACTTAGTTTTGTCTCGGTCGTGGCTTGACACATGACCATATGATTAAGGGGAGGGCGCTTTACCGACTGAATTAATGTACCGTTCTGTATAAGGGTTCACACCCACATATACTTGTGTAGGTAAAACAGGTTATGTTTATTGCTAATAGGTTTGATTTGGTAAAATCAGCAATTTATTGCATGTTTGGGAGAAGTAAAGATTTATTCACCCATGAATGGTAGCTTCACAATCTCTGTACTTAACTTCTACATTTTTGCGGGTAAATTTTTATTTAATATTCAATTTTTTAAAATTCAATAAACAAAATTTAAAAAAAAAAAAATAGAGGCCACTGTCAACCCACCTAACTATTGCCTATCTGCTTTTATCTCTGAATTATAATTTATCCAAAAATAACTGCATATCTCTTTTATGTTTGTAGTCAGTAGTCACAGGGGCCTTTTAAAGTGTGGTATTTTTAAAGGATATGTCCTACATTAATACTGTGAATTCTAAAATCAAAAATCTGTTTTGAAAATATTATAATGAAGCTGCAAAAATTCAGAAAATTGAGATTTCAGGGTCTGTAGCTTCATCAAGATCTTGCAATCCCGATTCACCCGCCAATGAAACTGCAAAAAAATAGAAAATGACATTTCATGACCAATAACTCCAACAATGTAGCTAGATCGTATCATCCTTATTATTTTTTACTCCTACCAGAGCTCATTCTGATTTTATTTTCTGTTTTGAGTAAACAACTGCATATCATCCGTTTGTTCTATATATAATAAAAGCGATCCTCTTTTTTGGATAAAAATGAAAAGTGGATCGTTGAAGAGGACATGCTCCATATCACACGATATAAAGTCTCAGCAAAATCTTCCCAAATAGTTTGGAGGAGATTTATTTAGCGAGTAACACCAGAAAATATAGTTTCCTATGAAAGCATATTTATCCAAAAAGAAAGCTTATTACATAATTGCAAATGTTACCCCTACAACGGACGATGCCGACGACTATACCGACGCTGACGGACTACATCTGATGGCATAAGCTCACTTAGCCCTTTGGACCAGGTGAGCTAAAAACAATGATAAACAAGTGTTAATCTCTTGCATACGCTATTATTAAGTTTGACAGAAAAATATGAACACTCTCAAGTAGATTTGATTTTTTTAATACAGTCATGATTTTATATATAAACTGCTGTAATTTCAAATGAAGGATTCTTTTCAATTTCATGTATTAATGTTATTTTATACATTTTGTATTGACATACTCTGACAAATCGTTTAATTCCACATCCCATCTACAGTGTGGACATGTACAGGGACAGTCACATTGGACTGTTCACTTCACTGCCTGTCAGTACGACGTTCCCATAGAATCAGATGTTGTATGTACAATGAACATCACCAGTATCAGTCACACATATGGTATTAGAGGATCACATGTTGAAAATGTCTGGAATTCAATTTCTGTATTCTTTCAAACTGACTTTGGTACAATTTTTTTTCATAATGTACATACAATACTTAATTATGAAAAGTTCATTGCAAATTATAGAATAACGTGATTATAGACACATACTTCAAGAACTCAACGACAGGACTCCGCAGATGGATCTGGTGGTTTAGAATTTAACAATGAACTTACGAGGGATTCCCAAACCACATCAATTGGATTGAAGCTTTATGTTCTATCATTGATAGACTTCACACGTATAATCACTGGATCACCTGTAGTGTTACCTGTACTGCCCACACACATACATATCACTTTAAATATTCTGTATGACTCTGAATGGAAAAAGTCCATGGTGAGGTTAATTTGGTCATTTAAAAAAAAATATTTCCATAATTATTTTATCTAAAGTTCAAAATTTTCATCTGTACTCTTGAACATCTAGAGACAAACTGTTTGCTTGATTAAATGAGCAATAAAATTGTGAGAATCATGATGTCCCATTGCTTTGAGCCCCAGGGTGAGGCAGAGTTGGTCATATGTTGTACATTTATCATACCTTTACACTCTATACCATTGGACAATTAGTAAACAGATTGTTTGTATGATGACAATAAACTATAAACCACCTACTAAGTTGTAAAATTTGTCACCCATGTTAAAGCCTTACATAACAAAGTTAGGAATATATATATTTATATATTGAAAGAGTTCAAGCGATCAAACATGAAACATTTCATCAAACTCATATTTTATGTTATAACAAAAATAATCACAGTTAAAACATGTTGTTCTGTATGAAATATACAGATAACGAACGGCATTCAGGCTCAAAGTTCATTTAAAAATACAAATCGGGAGCAGAGCAAACATGGACCTCTAAAAACATCAGAGGCGGGATCAGGTGCCATAGAGGTGTAAGCATCCCCTGCCGACCAGTCACACCCGCCGTTTGCTCCTTGTTATGATCGGGTAAACGGAAAAATCCGTAGAAATTTCAGTGTGTAAATAATGGCCTAACAATTAGTATGATAAACGTCAGTCAGCATTTGACCTAATGATACAGATAGATTGTATTTGCTGACAGGGTCATTGTATCGACCACAGAACCTGCGAAATGTGTATTTCAAACGAGACTGTTGATATCCTTCTTTCATCAACTTGTTGGTTAATAGCTTCTTGCGTATCGAATCAACTGGGAGACATAAACCCATATGCAAGTGATAAGGGTATATTGTATACATTGATCAAATTATAGGTTGGTAAATCATTCAAACTCTCTTTCATAAATGGTTGTAATATCATATGAATGACTGAAATTTATTACAATTTATTAACAACACATTATAGTGTGTATTGAAATACTTTGACTAGTCCTTCCCAGTTTCCTACCCACAGTGTAGACTTGTGTAGGGACAGTGAGAGTGGATGGTTCACTTCAATGTCTGTCAATAAGAACTTCAGGAACTCCCCATCAGGACTCAGCAGATGTATCTGTTTATTAGGTGGGTCTGTAACAAGGATGTTACAGAGAGTGTCACACACTACATCACCTGGCCAAAAGTCCTCTGTCAGGTTCTGTCCATGGTAGACAGATTTTATACGACCAGAGGAAGACATAATCACTAGATCTCGTGCAGTTTCACTTGTACTGTTTACAACACAGATATCACCATTGATGTTTTGTGTGACTCTGACTGGATATGTAAACAGTCTGGTCTGACCGTCTTCCTGGTACTCATACTCATGGATGACATCACCTGTTACTGTGTTGTGTCTCACCAGACGTCTGCTGTGTGAGTCTAATTTGTAACGATCTGATTCACTGTTTACCAAGGTGACCAGTAGTCCACCGTCCACTGACTGACAGATTCCTAATGGTCCCAGTGGATCTGTACTGATGACTGTAGAGACAGATCCTGATGGTGACAGACGGCTGATGGACTTGTTATCAAAGTTAGTACAATAAACATCACCATTATCAGTCACACATATGGTATTAGGTTTGATGTTATATTTTCTTTTTTTCTCACCTTCTTTGTTTACTTGTTCAGTATAAACTGATTCAATTTGTCTTATGAAACACTCATCTTTGCAATATGTCCCCAACAAAGCTATTCCTCTATCTCCATATTTAAACGAACTTGTTTCAGTCAAACTAATTTTATTTAAATCCAGAGTCTTTCCAATCAGATTTTTAAGTACCTCATCACTGATTTTTCCTTTACTGTATCTAACTGATTGTTTACTGTCAATCTTTATATCAACATTCAGGTCAGACAGCAGTTGTGTCAGTTCTCTGTGGTTGTCAATCAAGCTGTAATCTGACATGTCACTCTTGTTATCTTCCATGAACTTAACTGTGTCGGCAATTTCTTTCTTCTTTTTGTGGAGCTCATATTTTTTACTTTTCAATTTTTCATATTTTTCTTCCAAATCATCTCTCAATCTTTGTTCAGTATGTTTCCTGATCTCTGACAGCCTGGCTATTATCTCTTCACAATGCTTCTGAATCTTTTTAATCTCAGAGTCACACAGTTCTACATTTTCTGTGATTTGTTTTGAAATCTTCTCGATCTTTTTATCAATGCCGGGGAGTTCCTCATCCTTAATCTTTGTTAGAAATTTAAGCAGACCTCTCCTTCTTTGGTTGGCGGCCGTGAGTAAAGTTTTCCAGTCATGATCTCTGTGATCTATTTTGGCACACTGACCACATATAAATTCATTGCAATCCTCACATATAAGATCCATTGGTAAAGCATGGGTTTTACACATATCAATATGCTGTTGAGGTGAGCCCAATGGATAATTTGCTTCACTGGCTGCCATATTGTTTGTGAACGCTGCCTACGTGTGACCTTGATTTGAGGTAAAAGTTAAGTTGCACTTAGATGTGCACTAATCTCACTTGACTGCCTCCGTGAACTCCGACGAGCAGAGACTTGTCGGAGTTTATAGAGACAGCCGAATGTCTGGTTGAGGGAGACTAGATGTGCACTGGATTTAAAATTGTTATATCAATTTTATTGAAAGGCATGCAATGAAATATAAACGATCAGGTGTACATTATCAAATTAATATTAAAAAGTAGCTTTAATCTAAGTATTATTTTTTCTTAGATAGCCCGCGGCATGACTAATTATGGCACGAAGAATTAATGCTTTCTTTGGAATTCTGGGAGGTGGGATTGGAGTAGGTTATTTCTGATTCCTTAGTATCAGTAAAATGAAATATGTATTATAGGTCTCGTTTAAAGTCATCATTTCGGGCGTTCTGTGGTCGATACAATGACCTTGTCAGCAAATACAATCTATCATTAAGTCAAATGCTGACTGAGATTTTTCATACTTATTGTTAAGCTATTATTCACACATTGAATTATCTACGGATTTTTCCATTTTCTCAATCATGACAAGGAGTACACGGCGGGTGTGACTAGTCGACACGGGATGCTTTCTCCTTCGTAGCACCTGATCCCACCTCTGATGTTTTTAGAGGACCTTGTTTGCTCTGCTCCCAATTTGTACTGTTTCAATGGACTTTTGATCTTGATTACTGTTCGTTATCTCCATATTTCATCAATACACTCTACGAAATCATCGTCTTAATGCATTACCACAAAGCTTTAATTTCAACCTTACTTATTCATTTTGAAACAAAAATATTATTTTTCTTATTGCTGTAAGCACTGTATCTATTCACAAAAATTTTGAGTTTTATATTAGCTTGTTCGCATTGAAGCGGATCTACATAAACGTCTTCTATCCAGATTCAAGCAAAATATTTTCAGTGCGTAAATGGAAACTTTTTGTTATAAAGAATTATTCTTTACGTTCTTAATTCAATTTGCAGCTTGATACTGGATTATTCCAGATTACACCAAAATTTTATCCCTGCCAAAAAGACAGCTTTAATGCATCAAAGCATTCTAAAAATACATTCTTGTTTAAGAATAAATAATGAATAACTAACTCTATGTTAACATGCTCCTTTCGTAAAGAGTCAATAAACTAAGATTGATATATAGCTTTTCTTTGAGAAAAATAGTACGTATTGTATTTTAATGTTTACAATAAAGTGAGCAAAAATATTTTGTTTTCAGATACTTAAACATTTTAAAGAAATATTACCCTAAATTTAAATGGGATGAAGATTCAGAGGAGCATGCAGCAGAATACAAAGAAGTATTGCAGACAAGATTCAGCGAGATCTTGTACAAGTAAAATTAGTCTGAACCATTTTTCCAAGGAAGTATAATAGACAAGATTCAGCATGAATTGCTGTACAAGTAAAACTAGTCTGAACTACTTGTAAAGGGCAAGGACATACGGTATTGCAGATAAGATTCGGCATTATGCTGTTCAAGTTAGTCTACACCACTGTTCCAGGGCAAGGAAATCGACATCCCATTATTATATGTACAATTTTTTTCTATATATTGAAGTTGCTTGCAGTCACCATCTGCAGCTGGCAGATTTAACCAATAAAGCTTGAATTTTCTTTTTCAGGACAAAGCAAAAAGTGTCGTTTATTTTCTCTACAGAAATTGTAATCTCTGAATATGAAATCTTATTGTGTTTTGTTGATTCCTTTTTTTTCTTTGATTATTCTCAGCGTCTATTTAAAAAAAATGTCAACTAGATTTCGTCTTTTGGGCAAATCCTGAGGTTTCTCCTTAGTAGAACCTAACAAAAATTACTAAGTAAACAATTGTTTCCACTAAAAGTTACCTAAATGTATAGTTTACTATTATAATAGTACCAAAGTTTTCACTATAGTAAATCAAAGTTTTCACTGATGTAAATCAAAGCATTTTTACTATGAATTTCAGATTGTTACATTTCATTTTCTCCAAGTCTTGCTTGCAATTTTTTTATATTGAGAGGAAATATTAACTTATACATGTATATTCATCTATTTCTAAACTTTACCTGACTGGTGTATAATTAGAAATATTAAATGCTCTATACCTCTGAAAAAGTTCTAAAGTTTCCTAGTAAATCAAAGTATTTACTGTAGTTAACTATAGTAATTTTTTGTTAAGGTAGCTAAGGGCTGCTAAGGCCATCATAGTGCAGTATTTCAATTTCCCTCCCCCAGGAATCTGGTTTTTAAATTTTATATTTTTCAGTCAAAATTTTATTAAGATGCAAATCAGTTTAAACTCATATGCATTTTTTCCCTACTGAAATACGTATACACATAACAAACCACGAGTTAATACTAGTTTATGCCATTTTATAGCTCATTGAGTTTAAATTGTGCTAACTTCTTACGCAAGCATTTCAGCAACATTTGCCTAGATCAATATGCCATGTTTTCACTGCAGATTTTTTGTAGTGAATAAATTGAAGTAAAAAGCAATATACATATATTTGCCTGGCACTCCTGAGTATATGTGAAGAACAAATAAGAAAATATTTTAATTATTATAGTACAATGTATTATGATTCAGCATGTGGTACATGAAAATCAACCTCTTAATACATATCCGATGTATAAAACTTTCAATGATTCAGCATGTGGTACATAAAATGTGTGAAACATAAACCTCTTAATACCTACCCAATATACATGTATATGATTGCTTAGTAAATACAGTTAAACTTCATTATCTAAAACTCGATGGAGTCAAGAAAAACCTAGAGATATTGAAGTATATAAAGGATAATGTACGAATGGATGGGACTTCAAATTTACTCCAATATATCAATGGTATTCAAGATATTGATGTTTGAGATTTGAAGTTCAACTGTACATTCAGTGTAATGAAATACAAAAAAATGTAATTTATTTATACATGTATTTAAAAAAAACCCATCAGATAAACATCTGAAACAGATCTACACTTCACCTAGATCAGTGATTTAATTGTGTATATAAATAATTGCAGAATAAGTATTATGGCACCCTTGATAAATAACAACTTTTCTCAGATCTACAAATATTATAGCTTAAAACATCATTAAATATATTTTTTCTCATTTTCATTCAGTAAAAAAAATAGGCCTTAGATATATCTAAGGTAATATGTAGAATAAAAAAAAAATCAAGGTTACAAACTTAGAGGTGCAGGTGTTATTGCTTTCTTGACAACCCTGAAATTTACTGATATGAATTATACACTGACTTAAATTTCCTTTATCTAAATGTAAGAATAAGTGCCATGAATGAAAACCAGTCTTCTTTATCAAATAATTCAAAGTTTGCATGGTGACAATTACAATTGTCATGAACACAGTCTAGCACATTATCAAAGATAACAAAAAAAAATACTTCCATTTCTAAGACAATGTAAAAACAGAAAATCAAATACTGGGAAACAATCAGAAAATCCCCACTGATCATCAAAAAACCTTATGTGAGACAGCTATCTAATTCTAATGAGAAATCACATGGCAAATCCCAATGTTGAGACAGCGTTCAAAATCTAATCAGAAATTTAATGACAACTACGGATTCGATGCATGGCCAATTGCAATTTTTTTAAACAGTTAAATAACCAGTGATCTACTCTTCCCGTTCTACAATTTCTTCCTCCTCTGTCACTTGTTGCTGGGACAGTGGGAGAGACTGGTGTCGGAATTCCATTTTTCCTTTCGTGAAATCCTCCACTATATGTCCCCTACCATGGAGGATCCATTTTGTCGTAAGAAGTCCCTCCACACCTACAGGGCCACGTGCATGAATTCTGCTGGTGCTTATACCAACCTCAGCTCCTGTGATTGAAAATGAAAAATTAAATACATGAACGTACTATTCTCTTTTAAATTTTCTTCCACATTTTATTTTCACCCCCTACTTCCATCGTCGTCAGTGGACAAATTCAAATTGGGCAAAAATCCCTCTTTTAAAACATGCAGTTATGTCTAAGCAAATTTGAAATGAGGTGAAATCATAAAATTATACTGTATAAAGCATGTTTGTTTAAGGTATGTATTAACATATACATGCAGTATTTTAACATTTTTAACTCAGCAAATTTCGTAATATTTCAGGTAGGTACAACATGTATATTTTCTTGTAAATATAGGTGTTATGTAACATTAAACTAAAGGCAAAAAATGTATCCAATACAAAAGAGTTCCTAAACTGCATATTTACAATAACAGTCACTAGACATATCAGTACTGCAAAGACATAACTAACCTAGACCAAATCTGTAGCCGTCAGCAAACCTTGTACTAGTGTTGTGAAACACACAGGCACTATCTACTCCCTTGAGAAAAACTTCTGCTGTGTTTTCTGCAAAAAAGAGGATAAAATAGAGGTACTGTCAGCAATGACTTCACAAAATTATACCCTCCACTCCCATATGAGTATAATCATGAATGACCAAGTCCATATTTTGCTTTGAGAAAGCCCAAATATCTGTCAGATCAAAACAAAGTACAGGAGGTGTAATAAAGATTCTGGGAAAGTCTCATTTAATTTAGTCAGTGGTATAGGAGGCATTGCAGATATGAGAAGGATACCCGCACTATTACAGAAAGAATGGCAGTGTCCATGTTTTGGTATGGGAAACCCTGAGTATGTGTCCCATCAAAAAGTAATATATAAAGTGCACATTGGCACTTTGTAATAAAGATTCTACAAGTCTCATTAAATTTTATTCAACGTTATAGGAAGAGTTGTGGATAAGAGATGGGTATCCCGAAGCATAACAGAGGAATGGACACCCCCATCACTAAGAGGTACCTCTGAAAACATTCCTTTCTCATTTAATATCACAATGGCACTGGCATGTTCTTTAAATTGCCATCAGTGTCCATGAATTGAAAGCACACTTAGGGCTTCATAGGAATATGTCTAATATCATTCTGTAATCATGCAGACACATGAAAACAAAGCTATGATTTTAAAAAAATTGAAGACCATGAAATAGTGTCATAGGGAATTTGTACAAGGGAGATAACTTGTTAGATACAATACTCAAATAAAATGATATTGTCAAAAATTCAATGTTACCTTTGCTTATTATAACCCTTCTAGGGGGGAAATGATTTCAATATACCAATCACTATCGTTTGTCACTGGATATATAACTATAGTACTAAGGGGTTATGAATTATCATTATCGCTCTTTATCATTGGTCGCTATGGACACTAAGTATTGAATTATTTAGACCACTCACTATCATTGGTCACTATGGTGTCTGTGTGACTGCTGCTGTACTTGTTGACGTGACGGACGGCATCCCGTACATCGTCCACTAGCTCTACAGTGACAGACAAATCCCCATACTCTGTGTGTAGATTAGGGGCTGGTGGAGGGCCAAATTTTAAAGCTGAGGCCAATCGGGGTCCAGAATAGATCTTTACCTGTTGTAAAATAATGATAAGTACATATACAACTGTAACATACTTTAAATGTATTGCATTTAGCTGTGTATTCTTTTTAGCATCTTTGGCAGAAAGCAACTTCTGCTAATTCAAGTACAATGCTAAATGTCTTGCACATATACACATAAATAAGAACATTAAGAAATTTGCTAAATCAAATCTACGCAAACTTGTTCATAAATCATTTTCAATCTGCCAAATATTGTACTCACTATATATAATACATTGTACATTTACAGTATACATGTATTATATCAGAGTCTCACTCCAGTCCTTCATATAGCTAGCTTTTAGAATGTTACAGTTTGTGACAATTTGTAGTCATTTCTTCTTAAAAGTGAAAGCAAAATTGAGCAAATTAGAGGAAAGCTGTGGTGTTGATAAAATTATTTTTAATCTTTGGTAAACATAATTCAAATCTCCTGTAACCCTTCTTACAAAAAATCTTTTTTCTAGAAGGTGTCCCTGGTTAGGTTGAAAGAGAGCAACTTTACTGAAATAGTTTGCATAATAATCCTGCACATTAAAGCACCAATTTCATGCAGCATCCATTTTCTACTTACCCCCTCAGATTTCAGCATATCAAACAAATCCTCAAAAAATGGTGTTCTGAGATGTGCTTTGTTGACCAGGATGGTTTCTACTGCATTACAAGCTGCTGGGTAGTCTGTCTTGGAGTCGCGTACTGGAATACGATAAAAAATTGTCCTCAAAATCAATTACAATAAAAAAAATCTTTATCATAAACCAATAAATATTCCTAAACCTTCATACCAAGAACAATAGAAGTCTACTTTAATAATTAAAAGTTTAACCTGATGTCAAGAATTTTGTGCTCCTCTAAAATTCTTTTTTCAGATCTTATCTAGATATATATTTCTTGCCATTAAAAACCAAGAGAAAAAATAATTTATCACTAGATTTCAAATTGAAATTCAAAAATTCAACAAAAAAAAAATAATAATAGTAATCAAATCAAACAGGACATTACCAATGTTGAGCGCCATATCCTCGTTCACATCTTGGTCAATATAAACATGACATATCCCCTCACTGTGTCCCAGGACAGGAATCCCCTGACTGAGTTTCTGTATCATACTGACCAGTTCGTTAGACCCCCGGGGAATAATTAGGTCAATGTACTGCTTCAGTTCCAGCAGAGACTCAATCTCCTCGCGTGTGCTCACCTACAATAGAGGAATTATCAACTCACGCGTGCTCACCTACAATAGAGGAATTATCAACTCACGCGTGCTCACCTACAACAGAGGAATTATCAACACTGAAGATCTTTGGCAAGAAGTACAAATACTATAAATGTGGAAAAGTTTGCATGGGGAAATTCTTGCATATTTTGCAATCAGTAAGTTTTGCAAAAATTTATCTCCACATACTTTCCAAAAGAAATACAATACCAGTCTTTTAATTCCACCCCCTTTCCCCCCTTCCAAAAAAAAAAAACATAAATGCTTTTACAAGTCAAGATTAAGATGTACAGGTATACTGTAAAACAAACTTGTAAAATATTCCCAAACCTCCAATCCCTATTGACAATGATGAAAACATGCTTACCAATGAAATGGTTTCCTTGGGAACGAATGGCTCCAGAGCTTCCTGTACCAAGGAGTGGAGGATTTGGTTGCTATGATATGCTTCCTTCCCTCCCTTCAAAAGCAGAGCATTCCCACTGGCAATGGATAATGCAGCTACCTAAAATCAAAATCAGAGATACATGTAAGAGATCAAAGTGGTATCTATAATGCTGCCACCTAAAAAATGTACACAAAAGATGACAGTTCATTGTTAACCAGACATTTGTTGCTGTCACTGTCTCATCTTCCTTTTAAGGTTTATCTTGTTTATAAATGAAATAAATGTCCAATAAAATCACTCTGAAGCAACTAGTCTTAACTGCAATCATAAGAAAAATCTCTAGTCAAACTTAAGTTTTTGCAAAATGAACATTTTTTTCACACACCTGAGGTAAGCAGTCTGGACGTGACTCGAAGATCACCAGAAGGACGCCTATTGGGGTTGTGACCTGTTTGAGTTCAAGGCCATCTGCCAGCAGTGTCCTCCTAATAACCTGACCTACAATGTCAGAGCTTTGGCTGGCAATCTGTTTCAGTCCTTCATGAAGTGTGTGTAGCTTCCTCTCACTCAGGATAAGACGAGACACCATGGATGGAGCAAGGCCTAGAAATCAAAACACATCTTGAAACTGTATAGTTTTTCTTTTTAATTATTACAATTGATATTTTTTGCCTCTGTCTTTGAATTGCCTATTATCTACACGAAATTCCTACCAGACTTATTTGTAACAGTTGTCAAGTTCTAATCTGCTCATGGTGCCTAGCACACTTGATTTATAACCCTCTTTATGCTCCTACCTTGTGTGTTTGGCAAATTATCTTTTTGAATCTAAACCCTTCTTAACAGGTTAGGCATCTCAAGGTCTCTATGTTGTCAGCTTGACTTACTGAGCATTTCTACATTCCTACCCTACTTGTTAGACAACTCTATCTTTCCCTATGACTTGCATTTTTTGTGTGCCTACCTGACTTTTTGAGCATCTCTATGTCTCTATGTGTATTGTCTTCTTTACATTCATACCTGGAATGTTGGACATCTTAATTCGACTCATTGTTGTCTACATGCCCCTTTCTGACTGGTTAGGCATCTCTACGTCTCTATGATGTCAGCAATGTGAACCTACTTGTCAGTAGTTGACTTCTTGGCCATCTTTATGTTCCTACCTGATCTGTGAGGCATCTCTATCTTTCCAAGGGACTTTTTCTACAATCTATAATTTATATAATAAAATTTTGTATTCATTCATATAAAATAATTTTTGTGTCCTTACCTTTTGGGTTTCATTATGTTCCTAATGTATGTGGTGACCTGTTATCTTTACCTGACTTGTTGGGTTTCATCATGTTTCCTGAATGACTTGCTATCTCTATATAACTTTTTCTGTCTGCATCTCTGATTTGTTGGGTTTCAACAAGTTCCTGTGCAACTTGCTATCTCTACCTGACTTGTGCGCCTGTGTGACTTGTTATATCTCTACCTGACTTGTGTTCCTGTGTGACTTGCTATATCTCTACCTGACTTGTGTTCCTGTGTGACTTGCTATATCTCTACCTGACTTGTGTTCCTGTGTGACTTGCTATATCTCTACCTGACTTGTGTTCCTGTGTGACTTGTTATATCTCTACCTGACTTGTGTTCCTGTGTGACTTGTTACATCTCTACCTGACTTGTGTTCCTGTGTGACTTGCTATTTCTACCAGACTTGTTTCGTCTGCATATCTTTGTATTTCTTTGTCCAAACCTGCCTTGTGGGGCATCTATATGCCTCTACGTGTCATGCCATCTCCAAGGTCCAGTACGACTTGCTATCCCTACCTAAATTGCTCGTCTATTTAACTTGTCCTCTCTTTCTCTATCTCACTCACTATCACCTTGTATCTCTATATATCCTAATATTCCTTGCGTTCCTGATTTAATGGTCACCTTTACATTCTTTTCTCGACTGTGGGATTTTTCAGTGTCACCTTTTTGACTTGTTCCTGATTTACTGGTCACCTCAACATTTTTTTCTAGACTGTGGGATTTTTCTGTGTCCCTTTCTGACTTGTTCCTGATTTACTGGTCATCTCTACATTTTTACCTGGACTGTGGGGTTTTTCTGTGTCCCTACCTGACTTGTTCTCTCTATATTCTTTTCTCAACTGTGGTCTTTCTCTGTTTCCCTACCTGACTTGTTTGCTATCTCTACGTCTTTACTGTTGGCATCCAGAATGTCTCTCTGTCTCTCTATTAGAAGATCTGCTAGTTTGGTTATGATGAGGTGCTTCTGCTGTGGTGCCAGTGTCTGCAGCACTCTGCCACCTTCTCTTGCTACAAATTTTAAATTTCAAAGCTTTGGTAAATTATTCAACTAAATTCAAAGAAGTTAAAAATAGGCTGCTGGATTTTTCTGGAAAAAAAAATTCAGCAAATCATTACAATTATTTTGAATACAGTAGCAAACACAAACAGGCTTATAATGAATTCAGATTTACAGCAATTTTTATCCCCTGTCATTTTGAGATCTGCTAGGAATTTATTAGATATAATAAACTATGTATAAAATGATTCAAAATTGTGTATTCCTGGCACTTTTCTATAAGCATGTCTTACTGTACTTCTTTTTTTCAATAAACCTTAACAACAGCAATGAATTTTTAAAAAAGGAATTTCATTTAACAATTTATTTTTATTTCATACTGAGCTTGCACTAACAAACAACATAGTGAATCCACCATCATTCATTCTGATTAAGAAGAAAATCAGCCTACCCTGCATTGCCATTAGTTCAACAGGAGCACTCTGCATTTTGGATCTGGTGAAAAATGTTCCGATATTTTTGCCTGTCACAATGTTATAAATAGCCCGATCCTCATGCCCATTACAAATAACGACAGATGTGCCGTTTTCTAATGCCCACGATGCTGCTCTCACCTACAGAACAATAAAATGTCACTTCAGAGAAAACAGAGTAATTAATTCAGAATGGCTGAATTCCACTTTTTTAACAGCTTATAGTCTTTTTGGAAGACTTGGAATGGAAGACAAAAAGACAGAAAAAAGAAGAAAAGAGAATGGACAGAAAGAGCATAAAGTAAAAAGTAGAGAGTTTTCCATCTATCAACCCCCTCCCCTCCCTCCAGCACTTACCATCCTAACCAAACTATTTTACAAAACCCGAAACCTTATTTTTAACCAATTTGTAATGTGATATGTTTAAATTCTGAAAACAAATATTGTTTTCCAATAGCGTACTTTCATTCAATCTGTTAAAAATACAAAAAAGAGGTTAGGAGTGTTCTGTTATTCTAATGAAACACTACTGGTAAAAAAAAATTCTATAAAACTTCGAAAACTGAGGTAGTAAAAAATGATACAGATTCTATCAATCATTTTTACATAAGATTTTCTTGGTTATCATTTGTTGAATGAAATTTCTTTATCAGAGGACAAAAGTATGAGAAATTCTCTCTACAATTCTAAAGTAGCAGCACATACTAATCAGTGCTGAAAACAGTACCTTAGACTCCATGCCACCCAGACCAACTCGTGACTTCTCTCCAAAGATAACGCCTGTCTCGTCCACCTCTGGGCAGTACGTGTGGAGGAGACGTGACCCCTCCTGTCCTGGGGGTCCTGTGTACAGACCGTCCACGTCTGACATTAGAATCATCAGGTCAGCCTTGACCTCTACAGCCAGACGGGCAGCCAAGCTATCGTTATCCTTCAGACTAATTACCTGAAAAATTCATATCAATCGTTCTTTAATCAAAGTAAAAAATCTGTATTATAGTAATAAATTGTCATTAATCAATAAATAGTTGTAAAGTTCTCAAGAATAAGTGTTTTAAAGTACATAAATGTTACGTTTACTGACCCCCTGTAAATCTTTGTCAATCTGAGGCGGTGGGGCCACGGCGTCGTTTGTGTTGAGGATTGGTACAATACTCAGCTCTAACAGTTCCCTCAGGGTCCCCATCAGATTTCTACAACTCTCCTCGTGAAAGAAATCGGGCTTCGTGATCAGAACCTACAGCAAATTGGTTTGATTGAACATTATTAAGCAACAAGACTTGTCATTAAAAATAAACAATTATCACTATCAAAGTATCTGCAAAATGCAACAAAATGATACTGTTCCCCTATTTTTCTAAAAGCTTGTTGTCCTGAAAATTACCTGGGCAGTTTTCACTCCATACTGGTTGAACATGGCTTCATACAGAGACATGAGACCACTCTGTCCCACAGCGGCACATGCTCGAGGTTCTATCAGCGATCCCTGGCGCTGAAAATAATTCAAAAAGCTACAAATGTATCAAATATTTTGTCAACTAAAGAAAAATTATACATGTACTTAAAAAAGAGGTATACTTAAAGCCTCCATCCTACAGACTCAACAATGGGATTGTCCTGTAAATCACTCTTTATCTGCGCAAACTTTATTTTCACGTAATTACTTGAGTCTTTTTGCTTGCAAAAATTTTATTCTTGCATATATATGTATTGTTTAAATATTATATACAACAATTATCATAGCTTGCAAAACTTTTGTCTCGCTTATAAATACCAAATAGCTATCTCGTAAAAATAAAGTGTTGCAAAAATATAGTGATCTATAGTGGTTTAGAGGGAATAATGTCACCAAGTAACGCTTAAGCATATTGCAATGTACAGTAACACATGCTTATAGCGAAATGCCAGGGATAAACAATTTTGTTTAATGTAAATAGAAGTCCTTATATTCAATAATTTCATCAAGTATTAAGGAATAAAAATGACATTGCTATAATTGTGCATTCATTATATCTATTGTGTATGCTTAACAGTGTTTTACTGTAGTCTACAACTTTATTAGTGTATATGTTTCTTTGCCACAGATTTTGTCATTGAGAAAGTTGAAAAGGAGATAAAAACAAGATGTGTAACAATAATTCTCCAATACCTTTAAATAACCTTAATCATATCTACTTAGAACATAACAGCCTTCAAGAAATGATACAATTGTTACAGGAATCTTAAAGAGTTTGGAGACAAAGAGAAAAATATCATCCATTGATAGATATTAGGAGCAGAAAAAAAAAGAAACAAATAGAAATTGATTCTTCCGGAGTAATCATTAAAACTGACTCTATTAATAATTATTTTTTTATAGCATTTTACATTCATCTTCCCTCTGCTCATGCAAAAATTTTACTTTAGCATTTATGATTTTCTGAAAAGAAATCTACAATTTAAAATGCACACTTTGCACAGGGCAAAATTTGACAAAAATCAATGGGGTTTTTCACTACACCATTTTATAAAGGAATGAGTCATTTTTCCATGGAAAGAGTTATCTCTCTTGTCAGAGGTCAATGAACTTTACTCATGACCTCACCATTTGGTTTAGATTTAAATTCTGTATGACCATGATGGCCCCCAGGCTTCATATTTACTGTTTAAAAATAAATGCTGGTTTCTTCTTTGCAGATGACCTTAAAAAATCCTCTTAAATTAAAAAAAAATGTGGTTAAACCACAAGCCACGATTCAGTAATAATTTTTTTAACCCATAGTATTAATATTATTATACTATGGATTAAGAAAATACCGAATCAACAGTGCCTGTGGGTAAAACATTGTGCATGAAAGTATAATGAAACTATACTGTAGATTCCTAAATAAACGCGAGGAATTAATTATCGCGTAATTACGTGAGAAGCACCACTCGCAAAATAAAATTACTCGCTTTTATTTTTATGATGCTGAAATCTATGTAAAATATCTTGATCAACCGTCCTCTCGCGAATTATTGTTCTAGCAGTTTGATGTCAAAGAGTCATTGCGCGAAAATAAGTACTCGCAAAAAATAAGGAATCTACAGTATATATTTTTCCAATATTTGAGACTATAGATCTGACTGAGCCTAGAGAGTAAATATTTTTTCCTCAAGTGCTAACTAAGCAATTTAAAATTAAATAATTGCAGTTACTGACAAAAATTTGAATAACTTCCCTATTTACTTAAAGGTCAAAATAGTTGGTTGCAACAGTGTATAGGAAAGCGACAAAATCAAACAACATTCCTTAAGTGAGAGATGACTCATCTAGCCTAAAAACAGAAGTCTGTGTATACATACACTTATTGTAGTATATATAAAGTGATAAATAGCTGTTAATGAACACAATTAATACATGCATATTGGGGGGGGGGGGGCTAATTAAGCTCTGAACTACAATTTATTGTTGATTTGTTTTCGGTAATATTTGAAAACTAGCACACACTTTACACGTTTTTTATGAAGAAACATTTACTTAAATTTATATCTAATATGTTATTCCAAAATGATGGAGGAAAATTGTGAACTTTATTATCAACAAAAACTTCCTTGAACATGAAGAACAAAGGCACTTGACAAACAAACAATTCTTCAGAAATCATTCCAATAACATATAATCAATAAGATTACTTAGTTTCCATAAAGCAACATCTATCTAGCAAAGCTCAAGCAAATCTTGTCTTCAACTTCAATGTCGTTTGAATGCCATTCAAATTTAAAATTAAAGGTCACTTGGTGTTGAAGCCTGATTTGATTCCCTTCAAACAAGCATCCTGCAGCTAAAAATTCCTTTGAGAAAAACTAACAACATATACACAATACTTAGACTGCAGATGAAATGTTGTTTTGAACTAATTTGTAAAATGAACTAAAATTGGTATCAATATACTTACATAATTCTGAAAGAAAATTAGTATACATACAATTTAATTCCTGATAGAATTTTTCTCAATTAATGTCAAGATTAAAAATCATTTCAAAGGAAAAAGTAAGCCTGATAATCATGATAATATAATATTTATTATGTATTGCACCAAAAAAAAAAAGAAAGAAAGAAAAAAATTAAAAAAAGAATTGACTGGAGGTAAATTCTTTCATATCTTAGCATATTTTTAGCTAGTGGTTATTTCTAATGAAGTGTTGCAAATTCTATCTCCACCCATTCTTCCCCTTAAAATTGTATCATGTATTACAAGTAAAACTAAGTAGCAACACAGTTTCTGCCAAAATGAATTAGTTGAGCGTGACTTTTGCATTCTTACTTTGCCTGTGTTTAGCGTTTGTCTCATACTCATCGACATTAACATCTCATGGTGCAGTTTCTGTTTCCCGAATGCAATGGCCCCGCTAGTTACCATTATCACCTGTTTATTTAGGGCATGTAATTCACAAGCCTGTAAAAAACGTGAAAATGTCAGTACGTAAAAATAATGGGGGAAAATGTCAAGACCCAGCACATGAAATGTGTGGTAATATTGTTATTACATAATCTAACCTTAATCCTCAACTGTTATTAGCAGTTTCATGCAACTACAATTTACAAAAACATACAAACTTGCCATACAAGGCCAAGCTTAAAAATTCTTTGTTTGCAGTTGCCGACCTATAATTTTTTGAGTAGATAGGTAGGTCGGAAGGGCTAGAAATAATTATTTTTGTTTACTGGTCACTCGGGCTATTGCCTTAAATTTTTACTGGTCAGCTTAATACTTTCACTGTCCCACTGTGCCAGTAGATTTTAAAAAGACTGGCCCAAAACCATAATAATAATAATTTTTTTATATTGTGATACTTAGAAGTACAACTTAACAAAACAAGAAACAGCAAAAGTTTGGACACACAACCCTGTCAACTGTAAATGAATTTTATTATGCATAAAAAAAAATGCTGACCAAAAGGGCACATGCCCTCTGCAATGTACTAGCCCAGATTGAAAATTCACTGGTCCCAGATCAGCTGGCCATCAATTATTTCGAGCCCTGGGTAGGTAGGGGTTTCTTTATGAAATAAGAGAGTATCATGATATTTAAGATAGGGAGAAGAAATTAATTAAGTTCTTATAACTAAAATTTCCTAATATTATCAAAGTTTCCTATAATTTACAGCTTAACATGAATGTATAGTACAGATGTAAGAGTTTCTATAGGATTTTACAATAAAATGTTTCCTTTGTTAATGCAGGGATTAATGGTAACTGTTGTATGCATTCATTGCAGAAAAAATACATAACCTACACAGCTTTAGTTCTGCATTATCAAAGAAAGAAAGACATTTTATTGTTTATATATATATTTATGTTTATATAAAGTAGATTTGTACACAGAATATTGTATAACTGATCTCTGTGTCACAGTATGTTTCATTGATGGAAGAGCCCACTGCTTAATTTTAAAAAAAATAGATCTAACTAGTTCTAGCTAGTTTAGAGTAAAGGGCATTTTGTATAATGAATGTAAACTTTTCAGATAAGCATGAAAATGAACACGACTACTATAAGATATGATCTCAAAAGGAAGAATTTATATATAAAATGCCATGTACAAAGCATTTTCCCGTGTTTTCTCCCAAATCTCTTATCATTTGCTGTTTCAAGAGGAAGAAAATTGCTCTAAAAAAATCTGGTTCATCAATTTCAAATAAACCAATCGATAAAACATTTCTTTTACTAAGGAATTTATTCATGCTATGTGTGTTTCTTGCTTGTTGACATTTTTTTTTCGAAAAAAAAAAAAATTATTTGGTAAAGGAAAATATCAGGCATTATTTCAGCCTTTATACCTGTTCTACTATAGAAGCTAGTCTCCCGAGTGCCAAACCACACTCGTCTTCACGAGTAATGACGGCACTACCCAGCTTTATTACGACTCGTTTACAGTCCATGAGGTCAGTGCGGAACATGGCTTGTGCAGCCATAGAAGAGGATGAAGAAATATTTCTATAGGTCTGTCCCCATATTCTGTGAGGCCCTGGAAAATATGCCCGTGTTGGGCGCGTGTGTCCTGACCAATGGGTGAACATTGACATCTGATTGGATGATAAGGGGTTTGCTGTCCAGTTGATGGACCTCGAGCTCCAGCCATTACGTAGATGCCGGCCAGATTTAAAGATGGTCGCTGTATTGTACATGATGACTCTACAAAAAAAAAATAATAATTAAAATAGGACACTGTGTTATACATGATGGTGCCTGTTGCCTAACAAAAAATAAAAAAATAATTTAGGATGGCGAAACATCAATGTACAGAAGCATGATGTATAAATAATGCTCCATTTTTTGGTAAATTGATTTGGAACATGTCGATAATTTTAAAATTAAATACACAAGTCTGTATTTAAATAAGAATTTGTTGCATTTTTAGTACATTTTTGTAAGCTAACTTTATATTTCAAGAACAACAACTTCCGAGTTCTGAATAAACATTTCAACAGGCACAATTTTGCTCAATTTTTTTTCCTAGGTTTTCCAAGTTGAGAGAGAGAAAGAGAAAGAGAGATTTATACCTTCACTGACAGGTAAAGTGTGGAGAGATAAGAATTCCAGATCATTCACCCCTCTCCTGATCTCTCTGTGAGAGATCAATGTCCACACAGGACAGCTGCTAGCTGCATGGGAAAGTTATATTCCATTCAATGATTTGTAATGTTCCTATATACCAGGTGTATTAATGATACTTTCTATCAACATGTTTTGATAGCCCCTTTTTAATGATTTAATCACTCAAATGTTTTTTCATATGATCTAATTATTACTTTGTGATTTACTCCAAATTTAAGAAGAGAAAAAATCTAGAGAGCTATGCACTACTTATATTTATTGTCAATCTTTATAATTAATTCATGCAGAACACATCTAGCATCCTTGGATGTGATGGATTAATCATTATCCGATTATGCGTACTCGAACATATACATCGATCTATACTAAGAAACATTTAAATTATCCACATGATTCATTTTCTGTGAAATGTTCTTGATTTGTTGATAGAGCAATAAATTTCAAAGAATGGTGCCCTCCAGCATATAGGCCTGAATTTGTACATATATATAGCCTATATTCTATTCAACATGTTCAACTCATATTAGTTTAAAAAATTTAGAAATTAAAAAAAATCAATTAACTTTACTTACCCTGAATGTATTAATAATTAAACAGATGCCCCAACACTTTGTTAATCTGTGGCAAATCCTTGAGATAATGTTAAATAAAATCCTAAGTTATTGTACAGCTTTGTAACGCGGGCACCTGCGTGTGTTGATCATGTTTACTTGATCAGCTGATCCGCACATAGACATATTGCATCATCGTAGTGGACATAAAATAGTATGATTACACACACATGCTAACAATTCTGTTCATGCCCTTGACAAAATTAATTCTAGATCTAATAAGTTCTGGGCAGAATTTCAATTTCAAAACCGGCAATTTTAATAGCGTTTCTCCTCCAAACCGCACAATGCCGGTTTAAAACCAAGGGTACACAACTCCTGTATGTACACATGGAAAACGTGTGCGCAGGCGGGAAATCACTATTTTCTTACAAAAATGTAACACACTAAAACAAAATAAACATTTTTTTTAAAAAGCATAAAAATCAAGTGCACGTGGAAAAAAATATATACACTCTAACAAAAAAATACACTGGCTATTTATATGCATCAACATTTGATGTAAAACAATAATTTATTAATTTATTCCGTCATATAATTAAATATATATGAAGCAAAATTAAGGCAGCAAGCCTATATTCAGCACTCTCCTGAGTTGTTTTAATGAGTACCATGTTGGGTACGGTGCATTCCGGAAGTCTTTTTTTTCCCCGAAAATTAAGCCAAAAAAAATCTTGGGGCATTATTTAAATGAATAATGAACTTATTTTCTTTCATGCAAAAAAAAATATTTTTCAACATTTTTTTATAAAGGGATAGTATGATTGCACCAGGCCACCATTTTCTGACGAGACGGCCTTGAATTGATGAGACTTCGTATTCATAAAGGTCTACAAATGTAGTGTTTCATTATTTAATTGAATATATACTTAGCCCAACAATTGAAGTTATACCGGCTGTTTTCACTTTTATAAAACAATCATTAGAATTAAGAAATAAAAGGTCCACATCGGTGTAACATATAACGAGTAAATTACTTAAATTGCGCCTATTGTATAAATACATTCATTGTTCTTTGTTTTTTTTTTCTTATTATGAACTGTATTGCTTGACCCATATGGGTGTATTATGCAATAAAGAATTCAATTTAATTAATTTACATGATTGTCTATACATGATATTTTCCAAACTTATATACCAACTTTGATTCAAACCAGACTAAAAACTCAAGAAAGATTAGCATTATAAATAAAATATTCTATTCTTTGTTACCATAGCATCAGCATCGAAATAAAACATAAATCACTACAGGCATAGTAATTAATATGTCTGCATGGCATGTAGCGGATTTTTTTTTTAATTAGGTCAAAATTGTATAGAAGAAGTAACAGTTTCAAAGATTTTCACAAATTATTCTAACCATAAGTAACCTTGGTAACACCTTTCAATGAAGCCAAACTCAATACATCAAGTTACGCTTATTAAATTAAAAAAAAAACATTTTAAGGTCAAGATCTAGTAAATGAAAGGTGCCTACAGGTTTCTCAAATTTGAGAAATAAATTCCTTTAATGATGCTTTATAACTTTAGCTTGGTCAAAGAAGGTGTTTCGGGGCATAATTTGTAGATGAACAAGACGAAAAACCATATTTTAAACTGTCATTTTCAATGAAAAATTAAGAAAACCAGTCATGAATACGGGAGTTTTTTCCATATCAGACAAAGGAAATATATCCAGATTGCCCACAGTCTCTCAGAAAACGATAATTTATATGTTCTTGGCCTCTTCTTTAAAATGATATTAAATTGAATATAGGTATCGGGATTACTTTTCACATGATTTCAAATTGAATTCCACGAAAATAGCTTACTAGTATTTTCTACATAACTCTATTAGAGCCGTAAAGTACGGGAAAAAAGAAAGTTAGAATTGATTATGACGTCATAATGGATCTAGCACCAAAAAGTTAGTCTAAAGTCATTTACTAGATCTTGACCTTAAGGATATAAACTTCCTGCTTTAATTAATCATTACTTACATGTACCAATGTACGCCATTGATTACGGACCAAAACTGTAGTGCAGTGGCAGTTTTCAGGGTAAATCATCGTCCCATTTTCGAAAAGAAATGAATTATGAAATCGGATCTTAATTCTTGCAAGGCAGAACTTCTGAGCCGGTGGATTGATTCATAGGCATTGTTTCCACAGGCCTTAAAATATACGTAGTTTATCATAATCACGACGACAAAGAATCATCCTCACAAACTCAGTGTCTTGGTTTGAGAGAATAAATTGAACTTGGATTCTAGAGACTTTAGAATAGGGCAGAATGAACACCCATTTTGCCCTTCTCTAAACTCGCTTCCTTGGCCCCCATGAGAGCTTCACCCTAGATCCACTTGGGGCCTATAAGCGTTCCCGGCCCCAGACACTCTGCCTAATCAGATGATTGCCCCTTAACTTGAAATCTTGGGTCTGCCCCTGGTAGGACTGAATACTTACCAATTTGAAAAAAAAATGTTTGCAGACAAACAGCGAGACAGCTAAACACTATAACGTATAGGCACTGTCATACAAGAGGCTAGCCACTGCAATCGATGTTCCAGATGCAATTCTTTTTATGTTGCCAGTTCTATATATTTTTGTTTTCATTTTTGCCTATCCCTTTTTTCTTAGGCCCTAATTTGACATTTCTGGATAAATGGATAAATCCATAACACACCCCTCCCCCTATTGTTTGAAAGTTTTCATTCACTACAAAATGTTAATTTCTCTCACACAGAGAAAGCAAACTAGAAATAGGTTCTCATCGTATTCTCTATATTCAAATACTGGGATAAATGCTTGATGTGCATAAACATCAATGAACAAAGAAAATGTTCAAGGTTTGTATATCAGGATATAATCAATGAGAAGCCTTGAGTGTATTAAACATATAAAACAGTAACCATTTTGTCAATTAAAGTAGCTCTCTATGTGAGATTAATATTAATACACTTCCTGTTGCAAGGTTTATGTTAAGGTCCATTGACCCTCTATATTAAGAGAGACATATCTTACTCACAGGACCCTGTTCTTACTGTAAACCAACTTTTATTCGCGTGCTGGAAATATCCACGAGTACTACGACCTTCTTTTGCTCGTGAATATTTCACGCCGCGAACCCATTACACTGTATTTTCTAAATGTTTCATAAGTCGCGAAAATTAGTAGTCGCGGATGGATTTGAAGCAGGATTTAATTAATGTTTTAAAAAATATTTTTAATCTTTATTACATACCGTATATAGGGAAAACAAATGCCAATAGGTATTAAATATGAGCACTAGTATTAATGTGATTTTAAAACAGAAACCTAGAGATGTAGTAGTTAAAGACTAAATTAAAGAAAATGCTAACAAAAATATGCAAAAACTTCGTTAGGGTAGAGTCCTGTCCACAATTACCTGTGAGAGAAATCAGTGATGTCCTTTATGGTTTTTATTATATTTTGATGAAATATTGCCGTTACCCGGGGGGGGGGGGGGGGTTCTTTCCGAGAATACTAGTAGTATTATTCTGAATCTCTACTATTAATTTAGTATGGATAAGTGGCAGCACTTCTTTAAATTGCGTGTTGAACCCCCCCCCCCCCTCCACACACACACATAATTTTTTTCACTTTGTTTTGTTTGTTTGTTTGTTTTTTGTTGTTGTTTTCCCCCTCAACCCTCCCCCTTCGAAAAATGTCGGTACGTCTCCGTGAGAAGTTAACAGTGTAATATTATTCTTGTAAATATATTCGATCAATGCAATGTTATGACAAAATTGATTGCAATAAACTACGCAAAAAAACATGATTTATCGAGGAGCAGGAATATTACTTGCACACGGAACCGTCTGTAAGAAGCAAACGTACAATACAAACACACACACTCGCCTACATCCCCCTTATTTATCACTAAAGCAGTCAAATTTGCAAATTTCAATGAACTAGAAAAATAAATACAAAAGTTTGATCAATAATCAAAGTAATATATATTTCCTTTAAATTATTAATTACCCTTTAGTACGAAAGACCATTTTGGAAATTAACAACAAAAAATAAATAAACAAAAAAATTCGTGTTCATTCGCGAAAGTTTCGCGTTATTTCCCCAGAAATGAGATCAATGGGTTTTTGTACTTTAGGTCTAGATTTTTGTTCATCTTTAATTTTGCAGCTGCACATGTATTTTAAACTTAATGCTATCTTTCTTTAAAATCGTGGTTAACTGATATAGTTACAGGGTTATATTGATTTCTACATTAATGAATTACTTCTGATTCAATTCAAAAGAGCTGAGGCTATAAAATATAATAGACTCTATCTATAGGGGACAATTATTTGTCTGTATTTACCGTCTTTTATAGTATTATGAAGTCACATTTGCAGATGGAATCAGTTATGATAAACGTGATGACTTTAATTAACTTTTCAATCGTCAACTTCCCTTACTTATGCAGCAATACACCTTCATCACCTGCATACGGGGTAGACACCTCTCAGTTGATTCGATACGCAAGAGCATGCTCTACGTATGTACAATTTCTAAAACGAGGTAAATTATTGACAAATAAGTTGATAAAACAAGAATATCAGCTGTCTCGTTTAAAGTCATCATTTCGTAAGTTCTATGGTCGATACAATGACCTTGTCAGCAAATACAATTTATCATTGAGTCAAATGCTGACTGACGTTTTTCACACTAATTGTTAGGCCATTATTTACACACTGAATTGTCGACGGATTTTTCCGTTATTTCCCGATCATGACAAGGAGCACACGGCGGGTGTGACCGGCCGGCAGGGGATGCTCACTCCTCCATGGCACCTGATCCCACCTCTGATGTTTGGAGGTCCGTGTTTGCTCTGCTCCTATTTTGTATTGATTACCGGTAATGGACTTTTGAGCTTGAATACTGTTCGTTATCTCCATATATTTCATTAGACAAGCGTCCGATAGCATTTCTGGAAATAGTGAACTAAAACACCTGATGCAGCTGAAGCTACTCTCAGAACAATACCAAAAACTGTGATAAGAATCATAGGCGCATTATAAACGTCAGACCCGAGCTTTCCTGGTTTTATAGTGTACTATAATCCAGGGCATCTTTCAATCTCCTTTGCGGAGTTGTCGTTCGTTCCTTTCTCAGACACATGAGCCGATGGTACAGAGTGGCTTAAAATATTGTTTGGTTGCCCTCTCCCGACCATTGCCTGTGCTCCCGACCGACTGGCTAAAATGGCCCGACTCAAAACTGTTTTTTAACCTCCAGGAAACAATTATTTTTTATGTATACTGGAAAATAGACCTTGAAAATTCAGCATTGATGTTGCCATGGAATTTTCTGGGGGAAAAATTTCCCACCTACCTACCGACCCAGTTTTTCTCATCCTGGGTTGGGAGAGGGCAAGCAATTTTTGTTTAAAGTTGGCCCCATGCAAAGGACGTAATTTTACCAAGTTCAAAAATCATATCTGTATTTAAACCTTCTCCAGAGCAAAGTTTCTTCCCCTTTGGGCCTATCTGCATTACTTCACCCACAGTAAAGGGTGTGCAGTGACCTTGGACAAGGTTGAAGGTCAGAGGTCAAAGTAGATCTCTATATTAAATCCTTGTGGGGGACATATTTTCTCCCCTTGGTCTCATCTGGCTTATGCATCATCTAAAGAGTACCTTCAATGGCCTTTTGTTAAACAAGAGGCCCAAGGGCCTTAATGGTCACCTGAGTACTTGGAGGACATAAAGAGCATAAATTGATAGATGAAGCTTTGTTGCCCCAAAGCAATGGAAATAGGATTATCAGGATCAATGAAATAATCTAGTATTCAGTAACAACTCATAAGGTTCTAATCTATCCCCATTTATCACTATCACTATGCAGACTATTAAAAAATATTAGTGCTTCAGTACTATTTTTAACCCATATTCCTCTCACATTGGCCTCTCTTGGTCTTTGAAGAACATTTAATAAGATGAGTTACTTTTGGAAGAGTACTCAATGCTTATTACAATCTAATTAAAATTAGACTTGTATTTTCGCTCCTCTACTATACGCTGTATTGAAGCCTATAGTAGAGGAGCGAAAATACAAGTCTAATTTTAATTAGATTGTGCTTATTACAATCATGATGACAGTTGGACTGCTTGATGTCCCGGAGTAAAGAAGAAGATTTTTAAAGGTTGCATTATCTTTCATAATTGGTGGTTTTTTCAAGTGTCCTTTCAAGGGCTGTGGGCATTGAAATTTGCTGATTTTGTTTGCAACATCCTCACAATGTCAAGGTTTTGTGATTTCGGAACTCCATACAAACCCTTGACATAAGTCGTTATTTAAAAGTTGGGCAAGAAAGCTACTATTTCATTTGTTCCTGATCTAGGACTGGAACCAATCAGAAAACAGCTTTTATTGTAGGTAAGTTTTGTAAACAAATATGACTCGTCTTTTAAAATGGAAAGTGTCAATATTGTAGGATTTGTGACTAGTTACTTTAAATGAAACATCGGGGATTTATTTTTTTGAAGATCGTCCTCCTTACAATCACAAAAGATAAGCTCTGGACTAGGGCAATTTCATAATGACGGATTTGAAAAATATATTCTCATTGGTTAGTTTTTAATTACCCATTATGTCATGAGTAACCACAAGCCCACCTTTTAAATAACGACTTATGTCAAGGGTTTGTGTGGAGTTCTGAAATCACAAAACCTTGACATTGTGAGCATGTGTTTGCAACAGATGCATGTATGCCAAAACCAGATAAACAGAACCAGAAAAGTAAACATTAATTGGCAAAAAGATTATAAATGACAAATGATGTTGCTCATTAGACCTGAATCTCCACAATACAAACAACAACATAGATATTCAAAAGAAAGTCCCAAATAAAAACTCAAATGGCAAGTGTTTACTTTTATTGCAGTGGATCAAGACACTAGCCATATAGATTTCTTTCACCATTACCTGACAGGATGATAAACTAATTGTTGAAATGATTTTTTTGATTAATCAACAGTTTTTAAAGAACATTGTTCTTAGCACTTGTAAATTGGTATCTTCTTGATTTTGATATCCACTCACAATCAGAAATGTTTTAAGATCAATAATACTGGTCCATTGATAAATAAATCAGGAATGTTGCTTTAAGCAGTAAAATATTGGTCGGATTTGTTCACTGACTGCGGAGGAACTCCACAACTTTGGCTGCTTGAGTCTCCATCCACTTGGCGTTCAGTCGGATGTTCTCAATAGATTGCTGGACTTTTCTTTCAGCTGCTGGTGCAGGATGAGCTTCGAAGAATTTCTGTAACAATGAGAAAATCACAGGATTAAAGTTATACCCATGGGCAACAAAGCTAACCTGAGTAAACTTTATCTAATTGTAGATAAATGAACTTTTTGTTGCAACCATCATAAGACCATGATTAAAATCATTCAATTCTAATGCAGTAAATTGAGGCATGAGGTCAAATTTACCAAATATAACCTTGTTGTTCTAAGAGAATTTTTAAAAACTTTGTTTCCCTAATGAAGTCCCCCCCATCCAACCCCTATGGCTTTAATTTGATCAATCCTGAATCAATACAAGGAGATGTATGAATATTAAGTTGACTAACTTCATATCCATGAAAATCCCTCAGGTTCTTGAGAAGATGTTAATAAAAGTTTGAATCCCCTATTGTGATCCAAATCTACCTTTTGAACAATGATTTGAAGAAAATATTACACCCAGTAAGGAAGCTTTCACATGTTAAATACTTCCTGAACCATGGCTCTTTAAATATATATTAAATGACCTAATATTTTTTTCATTTTTTATTATCTCCCCTCATTATATAATTAGTTTGTGCGCTCTTTTGTGAAAAAGCCGGAAAATGTACAAATCTCGCGGGATTTCTGGGACAAATGTAACATAAACATGTATACAATATGTTGAATGTCGATGAACAATTCCTAAGAAAATGCAAATGAAATATTTTATTGTTATGGACTTTATATACATCAAGAGTAGGAATGACAACGATATCAATTTATATCTATTGTTGATCTCATGTATCTATTTATCGTATGGTACATCTAAATACACTTGCCAAGAAAATGTCATATTTTATATTAATGGATGATAAATTTAGGGTTCTCACTCTTACATATGTCTTTTAGTTCTTCTATTCTGTAATTGGAATGACAAATACATTTAACATTTAAAATTGGATTGAGATTGGCATGTTTTGTATTATCCTCAATGCCATGCTGTCCCAGTCAGATGACCAAACACGCCTCTAATTTTGAAGAGTTCACTAATGGAAATAGAACGTATTACCTATACTTCAGAATGTACATTTGTATGGTAACTTTTCCAACAATTAATTATCTGGATTAAATTTTTGTGTGATTCTTATACAAGTACTGATATTATTGGGGTTGCATAGTATGAAGTCCTCTTAAAATTTGGAATGGCTATCTAATGTTGTTTTTTTAACATTGTTTTGTAAAGTAAAAGCAAGTTTGCTACAAACTTCTTTAATATTTCATTTCTTTTAATATACAATGTATTTATAACTGAAATACATTACCTCTACTTCCTTGGCCCGGGCTTCTGTGACAAAGTTCTCTGTTGAAAGCTACAACACCAAGAAATACATGCTATATCTATGGATATAGATCACTGTATTCACATAATAGGAATAAAAATTTTGTTATCATACAGTGTATTTTTTAAAAGATCTGAGATTTGCAAAAACAAAATTTAAATGACTGCTAAATGTGGTATTCGTATAAATAAAGGTAATAAAAACGTGAAAATCAACATTCTCTTTACTTTTACTCTAAAGAGATGCATTATTGAAACTTTTTTTTATTCTATACAAAAGAACTGATAAACATAAGAATATTCTAGTGGACAATCTCCTACTCATAATGTCAACATAAACAACCCCTCAGCTCCCCTTGGCTAATGCTCCTCTAACATCAATACAACAGCAGACATACCTCCACAAGACGAGACAGTAGGAACCCTCCCTGGTATCTCTCGTGGAGTTCTGACCACTTGTCCTGGACAAACTGCCAACAGAGTTCTCTCCCCTGGACAGTCCCCGTAACTCCGCCGATCACAAACACGGTGTCCTGGGATCTCACTTTGTCAGACATGGCAAAATCTAACACTTTTTTCTTCAGATCCTCACTTTTGATGGAACCCATGCATCTGCTTAATCTGTTCTTCTCCTCTTGCATGTCTGCCTCATCATATAACTACAAAAATATCAACAAAGGATAGTATCATACAACATTGAAGTAGCGTCTTCAAATCATGTACATGCATATTATCAGACTAATAGAATTTAAATCAAATAATCAGTAACATGGATCTCTCTGCACTCAGCCATTTAAGTGGGTTATACATGTATCACAGAATTTCAGAACTTAGAATTAAGGAATTCATACAATCGAGTATAGTTAGTATTTAAGAGCCATTCTCTGTAATTACTTCATGGGTATTCAAGATGGACATGCACTAAATGTTGCAACTTTTCTATGGTCTGTTTGCTTAATTATTGGGAGATTGCTAACTTTCAAAAGCACAGAAAAAAGTGTAATTTTCATAAAGTAAGACCCAATTAAATGAATCCTTTAATACTGCTTTGCATTATTCCTTTTTTTTCTATCAGCATTTTACTCCCATACTAATAAATATACCTTCATCATTTTGTTAAAGTCATCTTCACCACCGTTCGCCATTACTGTCACATAAACCTATCAAGGAAATTTACAAACTGTATTATATCCATTTCAAGAGTAAGGATAATTTGATGCAAAGCAATAATTTCAAATGCTATTGGAAATTCCACCAATAATGTGAAAAATAGATTTGACATACAGAGCTTGACTGAAAAAAAGCAGATACATGTTCCACAGTTTATAAATGATGCATACTTTAACTAATACTATTCAAAACAACATTTTATCATTAATTAACTGGGGAAAAAGTTTCTTCTTTAACAAGACCTCTCCGTTCATACATGTAGATCTGGTACTCACCGGTGTCTTCAGATCTGCAGGGAGGGGAGTTTTTCCAGAGACATGGGCCTCAAACCTTTTCTTTGCCTCAGACACTGTCTCTTCATCTCCGTATTTACCGAGCTTGGTCAGAGCCAGGTCCCTCAACATGGCAGCTAGAGGTCCTGTAAAAGAATACAAATCTCATGGTCACAGGTTTGTCTCACAACATCCTAGCAATGAACAACAAATAAAGTAAGTAAACAACCAGAAAATATATTAGCATATAAAAGGTAATAAATATATGCAATTGCCATACAACACCTGGTATCTCGTGTCAAATAGAGAGGAAAAAAAAACTTTCCTAGTATTAATTAAGGTTTTTTCATTTCCATTTTGAAAAATAATGGAAAATCTGATAGTCATTTACATACACATACAATGTATGCAGGGGTGTGCAATTACAAAAATTAGTTACTAGCCCGTCGGGCTAGTGGCAGTAACAAAGTTACTAGCCCGAGGTTGCCAGTCACTAGCCTATTAACTACCGAAAACAATACATGTATAAGTATAACAAAAAGGTTAAAAAAAAACCATTTAAGTTGAAATAAATAAAACGAATAATGGTTTGCGCTTTGTTATTGTCAGGTATTTCTCCCTATATTTATCGACTATAATTATGTCACTGAAACGACTGGCGATAGCAACACACAAAACATATAGGTTAAAACGAATTAAAGATTATGATTTTACAACAAGGTTAATTCGTACATCAATTCAGTCGACGTAAATATACGTATACTTTCGTTTTAGATTTACTAGCCCGACGGGCTAACGCAGTATAGATTTATGATAGCCCGATCTCTAAAATTGGTAGCCCCGGGCGTCGGGCGATGGTAATTGCACACCCCTGGTATGAATGACTCAAGTAAAGATAAAAGCAAAATTGAAAATGTTGATGTTGCATTAAATCTCCCTCATGCTCTGGTTTCAAAAAAAAAAAATCAAAACCTTCTCCTTCTTTGGGATCCCAGCCCAGAGACTGTGCCACAGGTTTAAATAGTCGCCTGTTAAAGGCTTTGAAGTTCTCGAATCCATCTGTGTTCTGTAAGAGAATGCTGATCTGGCCCAGGCTACTGGCCAAGTCACTCCATACTGTGTAATTATCCTCGTTAACGAAGGATCCCACAACCTTCAGGACATCCACCGTGGAAATCATTCCAGCTCTAGCCTTAAAATATATTCCAAAGACAGACATTTATTACATCAAATTTCCACAAATTTAAACTGTAAATCAAAGACTATGATAAAAGTTTTCAGTAACTCTCATAAATCAGTTATAGGCATTGGGTTTTGTGATTTAAGCTGATCTGTGAAATAATTATTTCCATCTCTAATTAAATACATCTAACTTACTAATTCTAGAATTATTTCATAAATGTGACCTTTTTAAAATACAAAGTAAGCTAAACTTACAAGTGCAAACAGGTCACTCTGTAGACTGAGCCTGTCCCGTGGAGGGAGGGTTTTATTTTTGATGGCTGGTATGAATCTGTCCAGGGTCTCTGATGTATACTGAACTCTGTATACCCCTACAGACTCCATGTTCACCTGAAACAGAATGTAGCTGGTCATCACAATCAGGTACATGCAAAATTACCAAAATTCAGTATGAATAGAAATTTTGATGACCATCTAATTTTGGCATGTGGTGGTGTCATCATAGCTAACAACTGATTTATCCAAAAAAAAAATTTTACGAATTTCCCTAAAAATTTTACTGAAAGACGAAACTCAATCCTTCCTAAAATCACCTAATTCAGGAATTGCTATATTTAACAGTAACAACATAGCAATCTGTTAGTGACAATAAAATACATGTATGAGAATGATCATATACATGTATATGTACACAGCTAATTCATTTCTTTCCCAAGTTAATCTCTGCTTATTTTGTTGTGTCAGACACTGAGAATGAGGGTAAAACGTCAAGAATACAACCTTGACCCATTCCTCTGGTTTTACATTTGGAACGGCGACTTCCATAGTGGGTTTGTCTAGAAGTGTAACGACTGCTGGTTTGTTGGGTTGACTGGTTGTACTGATTGATATCGGCACCATCCAGGAGAACGATCCGTCTAAAATATTAGCACAGAAAAATACTGAGCTCCTCTTAAATGCTATAAAGTTAGTTTGTCTTCAGGAAGACTTCTGCTTAAGGCATTGCATTTTTTATCTAGCCTTTTTGACTGTTTATGTACAGAAGTCCCTTTGTATGAAATTCATGTTGTATATTTTAGATAGAAAAGCAACATGTTTGTGAAACACATGCTCTGGACTGAACAGTAAAACACGCTTATAGCAAACATGCTTATAATGAATTGAAGCTTACAGCAAAGGTATTTTCATTCCTTGTGACTTTAAAATACATGCATATTGTAAAATTAACAGATGTAATGAATTAGGCTTATAACAAAGCAAAATCGTCCATCCCTGGCACTTCATTACATATTGTGTTTTACTGTAGTCAGTTTTATATCACCTTCTCTGTGTAACCATCATTTGAAATTTATATCCCCTTATTCATGTAATAGTGAATTTGTGATCTTCAAAAAAAAATTAACTTTCAAGTACAAGTACATTAAGCATTTTGGTGATTTTTTATGAAAAATTTCAAGACAAGCCATTATCAATGAATATAAATGGGACAATTCAGAGTCTCCCTGATCTTAGGAATTTTTTTTTCTTTCTTTTTATACAATATGCACATGTACCTTTAGGTTGTACTCCATCAGCACAGAACTTTTCTTGTGTCAAGGTCAAAAGCCTGCTGTTGCCATCTTGTCTCTCACTAACCTGGTATCAACAATTCTTTATTGTTTTCAACATCATTCTCAAGCATATTAGAGCTACATGTAATCTTAGTTGATATTCATTCTCTAGCATATTAAAGATACATGTAACCTTAATTGATCTTGATAAACACTATACAAATTTACATGTTTTCATGCAACAGAATTCAATAAATATTAAATTCAAAATATTTCTGATTTTATACTGTTGATAAATGTCTGTAAAAATTATGGGTTTTTTTTTTTCAAGTTAGAAAAAGTCATATGAATCGAGTGTATTCTGCTCAGAGTTTATCCAGAAGATATTCCATATTCAATGTAAGTTTAAAATATTGAAAAGAAAAAAAATCCATTTTTTTTTAGGAACTTGCAGTTAAAGAAAATTTAAGAATCCAAGATAAACTTCATACATTTGACATAATATAGATTTATTAAAATGAACATGAGATAATCTCATTTAATTGAGTGAATAGCATCAAATAATTGGACAAAACTTGGTACAAGCTAACTAGTTCTATGAAAGTCAGCATCAGGATGAGTTAACAAGTATAGCAACTTCCTCTTCCTCTTTACATCCCGTTCAAGTGGAAACAATAGAAGCAGGTTAACCCACCCACCCTCCCACTTTTTAAATTAAGAAAACTATCAATTTGTTTTTTGTTTTTCTTTTACCACTTAATCTGCGCCAAGTATTTTATATTTTTTCGGTAAATTTCATGCTGCGGATTCAATCAAGCCAAGGCTGTTTTTCACATGCTTAGGACTTCTCATGTATTGATAGTGGCAGATTCACAACCAATGCCAATAGTTAATAAAGAAAGGTGGAGTTTTTAAAAGGATTTTTAAATAAACATATTAATATTTTTTCCCTTTATTAAATCTGTCGCAACTTTAAGCAGGAGGAGTCCGGGAAACTTTAAGCTGAACAAGGGTACATGCTTAAGCTGTTTGTCTCTGCCCTTCTGCATCAACGCATGAGGGGTGTCTCATGGCTGTGCATTAACATGGAAGTTAAATGCCCATTGAGGATATGTGTGGAATAAGTAAATTGCTTGGGGTCTGCAGCATTTCAGTGCTGAGACCCCCTCTACCTCTATGAAAGGAGGAGAGGCTACAGACTGGTTGGTGTTAAAATTCTAAACCAGGTAGCAAGTCAGAGGCAGGGTGGAAAAGCTGTGCAGCTTGTATGCCTAGCCACCATGTGTGTCAGGCATAGGGTTCCATGGCACTCGCATCTAAGCGAGGCCACTAGTTTGCCCGTTTGTTTATGGTATCCTAGTTGTCTCCCTTGACTTCTACAAAATTTGCAGCCATTTCCATCCAACGTTGTGTGTGTTGTACTATTATGATGTGATTTCTCAATAAATCATAAAAGGTAAAATTGGTGTTTTCGATTCTCACTGGCTAGAAAGCAGTTCAGTAGAACAATATGAGAAGGCAGAGAAAGCAAATCTATCACTGGCTGCAATATTCAATTAATGGGTTCATAATCTAACTTTCAAAGCAGTGAAAGTACTTTGTCCTTGCCTTCACAACTGGGTAACCCATTTGTTTGGTCCAGGTTGTCATGACATCTAGGACTGGTTTCCCACTGGCTTTTCCAAGGGACTCCCACAGGTCTTCAGTAACTGCATTTTTGTACTTAAATTTGGTCAGGTATTGGTTCATTCCTTTCTTAAAGCTCTGAAACAAACCAATAACATCTACTGATACTCATACAACATACACACAGTACAGAAAACCTTTATTTATATATGTAATTGTTATATGTTCTACTGTATATGTACATGTAGATATTCTTACATACTTTCCCTATCCTATATACATGTATAAGAAAGTCTAGGTTTGAGAAAGTCTAGCGATTTCTGAACTCACTTCATCTCCAATGTAGTTGTGTAACATTCTGATGACGGAGGCCCCCTTGCTGTAGGATATGGCATCAAAAATCTCATCTACCTCGTCAGGATGTCCGACTGGAATCTGAATAAAACTTCATTGTCAACAACATGCAGCAAATGAAGTAAATGAAACCAAGCTCATTTTAATTTTTTTTTTTTATAAAATCCCACACATCAACATTTTTTTTGGATTTTTGAAAACCACCCTTTTCATGAAACCACAACAACTTTCTCGTTAAGAGTGCACAGTCTTTTAAAAAAAGAAAAACTATCATCCAGATATTGTCTCCCTCTCATTCCAGTTCTTTAATACTTACATTACGCTAATTTCAGTCTGTGCTATGGAGGTCTCAAATTCAATGGTCCCCCAAACACACATACATACCCAGTATATATACACATAAAACAGTATTAAAAAACATTAAACTAGTTTCCTGACCTCTATGGCATGACTGTTATGTAGAGCATCCATCTCTAGGGCCCTGCCTAAGTCCTGGTTTACAAACTGTGTCCAGATATCAAACTCGGGGAAGCAGTAATCCACACATAGGTACTCAATCCAAGACGCAAAACCCTCATTTAGCCACAGGTGAGTCCACCATTCCTATCAGCAGGAAACAAATACTACATCAAAAAATAAGGTATGTTAAAACAAATATTTATTTTCCAATTTCAGCTGATATCCAACCATATCTTGAACAAGAGATGTTTGTGAAACACTTATGCCCCCCCCCCCCCTCCTTGGACATACATTATAGGGAGCACAAGCCTTTATTATGGGCACTATACATTATGGTCACTGTACACGGAAATGAAATTGACCTTTTGAACTTAAAATCAATAGGGGTCATCTACTGGTACTATCAACCAGAAATAGTCTTCTACATCACATCTTTGGCAAAAACATGTTTCTCATGATATATCAGTAATTAATTTGTTCAACATTTGCAGAGATAATGAATGGAAACTGCAAATAATTGGAATTTTTCTAAGTCCAAGGGGCATAACTCTGTCAAAAATAGCTCAATTGTACCCAAAACAGAACTTGACCTAGATATTCTTATGATAAATCTGTATACCAAATTTCTTTTCAGTATGTGCAACTTCTGCGAAGGAAATGAATGGAAAATACAAATAATTGGAATTTTTCTAAGTCCAAGGGGCATAACTCTGTCAAATATTGCTCGACTGTACCCAAAACAGAACTTTACCTATATATTCTTATGATAAATCTGTATAGCAAACTTCATCTCAGTATGTGCAACCTCTGCAAAGAAAATGAACGGAAACTGTTGGTGGACCAACAGACAGAAAGACTGACCGACAGACAGCAGCAAACCAATATGCCCTCCCTTCTTTGAAAGGGGGCATAATTGATGGATATAAAGCCATTTCAGGCTTTTTCAATGTTGGGCATATGTGTGCACCTGGGGGTTTGGACACAGAGTCTGTGGCTTAGTAATTGATTTTCTCATTTATTAACATTTTGAATTCAATTTATGTTTTCCCCTGTTTGCTGTCAGGTGAAATGTAGTCCTTTGCAATGTGGCTTAGGTATTTAGAAACACATTACATTTCAGTTCAATATCAAACAAGTCAAATTTTAAAATCATTTTTTATGACTTTTAAGTTTTCCTCTCAATTCTATGCTGGAAAATTGTTAGAGAATAGACTGGATTATATTCAAGAATATGGATGTTCTTGTATGTGCAGTCCTAGGTACAAGATTTACCATTGTGACTAGATTTCCAAACCACTGATGAGCCAGCTCATGCCCCACCACCAGCGCCACCCATTGCTTGGTTCTGGAGGAGGAGTTCTGTGGGTCAATCAACAGAGCTGTTTCTCTGTACGTCACAAGTCCCCAGTTCTCCATTGCACCTAGTGAAACAGTTCAGACAAAATCTCAAAAATTTAAAACATCAAAGACTATATATGTATAATAAAAAATGTCATTTACTGACCAGCTAATAACTGAATGAGCCATGAATTGATTTTCATTTCAATGGGTACCAACACAGCTTGTTAATTATGAAAATTGTACACGTATTTCACAATAAATAAGGCACTGTACAATTGTCAAATACAAATCAACTCTCACACTTCTACTTCAATCTTCTTTCATTACAATTCTCAATTTTCATTTAGATATACAGGTATGGCACAACTGCCACATGTATACAATCCAATTCAAACACCTGAGTTCTTCATTCATTAGAATTCTCAATCCTCACTCACATCAGGTAAATATAAAGTTTTTAAGACAGCAGTAATTTTTTTTCGTACAGTCCCAGTCAAACCTTACCTGCAGCAAAATCAGCAATAGCAATGAGATCTATTTTCGGTAGGGGATACGCAATCTGAAAATAATTCTTGTAAAATGGGAGAGTTTTCACAGCAACCTCTAGAGCATACTGTCCCTGTTCCTTCTTCCCCACAGGAGTGTAGACTCGAACCAGGACCCCGTCAGCATCCTTATCTTCCACATAATCGTACTCCCCAACAACGAACGCCAGCAGGTACGTAGACATGATAGGGGTCCGCTCATAGGAGACCACCTTCCATGTGTTGTCTTCAGGTAGATCACTCTCAGATTTTACTGGCTGAAAAAAATTAACATTAATTAAGTACTTTCAGTGCAAACAAAGAGAATCATTAGTCATGAACTATTATGAACTATTTTCACGTCATGTACTTCACTGTTAAATTCCAACACTCAATAGATTACTAGAATTTTCATGTCTAAACAAAGTCTTGACTGCAGATCAAATTTTCATAAATATTAATCTTTCATACTTATAGTTCAGATGCGGGACGGGGGAGAGAAAAACCTGTAAATGACTAAAAAATTAAAAGCTATAGATTTCAAAAGCAGTATTTTTTCCAATTTTGCAATCTATATCTTCAGTTCATGTTAATGGTTTTAAAATTCCTAACTACTGAATGTTCGTACCATATTAGAAAGAGCCACTCTATTTTTAGGAGCTACAAGGGTGACATCAAATGTGGCCTTTACAGCTGGTTCATCCCAGCAGGGGAATGCCCTACGAGCATCTGTTGCCTGCAAATTATAAACAAAAGTTTCAATTTACAACATGCACATAAAGAATTTTTAAAACTGGAATTCTTTAAGTCACTTTTTATTCGCAAGAACTTTTAGCATAATTATGCGAGACAAAAATTTCATTCTCAGATACACAAGTATTTTATTATTAAAAACTATATACATGTATAATAAATACCAAAATTTGTGAAAATTTTGACTCGTTATAAATACAGTAAAACTCGGTTATAACGAAGTCACTGGGACCTGTGAAATTACTTCGCTATATCTGTAATTCGTTATATCTGTATAAGAAATTAGCTGGGGATCCAAGAAAAATTCGCAATATCCGTGAATTCGCTATATCCGTGTTCGTACTAAACGAGTTTTACTGTATCATCGCAAAAAAGGTGTCATGAAAACTTAGTGACCTACAGTACTCAATGCTTACACCCAACCTTAATCAAGATTGTTTTACAGAATCATTTGTTAATTCTATGGCAACATATTACATAACTGAAAAACTTTTGATGTAATGAATTTATTCACTAGATGACATACATCAGCACCCAGGCGTCCACCCTATCTACTTAAATCAGATTATTAATCATTGTTTCAAACTTCAGTCACCTTATCAAAAATTCTCTTTCTTAAAAAAGTTTTACAGATGAATGTTGTGTATCTGTTTTGAAAATTCCTTAATTTTAAGATATATTGTTCATGATTTTTTAAATAAATAACCTCAAATTGTGTGACCGCTCCAAACATTTCCTCCCCCGATGGCGAGGTGTACTTGCTTCTGTAGAAACCCTTCATCTTGTCGTTCAGCTGACCAGTGAAATCAATGGACAGTTGACCACTTCCTGGCTAAAAATAACAAAAAAACTGACCAGTAAAGACATTAGATTTTTAATATTCGAGAAATTAATGACTGGTCTCTCAATTTTTATAAATATTGTAATGAACTATCAAGAAACCATGTGAGATGGTATGCAAATTGCAAAGTATTCAGTTTGATAAATTACATTACATTTATGATCATCATTAAGTTACCTGAATAGTAAACAAAGTAATGAGATGCAGGCATGCCCCTACAAATTATTTTCAAATTCAAAGGCAATAGTCAAAGTCCACAGACAAACAGATACCTGAATAGTTGTGAAATGTCTATTCCAAATCTAACAAAATGCTACTTCATTTGCACAAGCTATCACACATACCTGAAGAGCACTAGGGAACGATAAAACCACCACGGCATTCTCTGGTTCAAATTTCACCTCAGCTTTTATGCTCTGGTCTCCAGCATCTAAACAATTCAGAAAAATAACATCAGGATTAAAACTGTTCAATAATACCCCTACCCTCTACCTTACCTTGGTTTCTTGAGATTAACATAAGTGTATAAATAATATTCAACTCCTTTTCTCTTTAGGACAAAGAGAAAATTTGGGCAAGAGGCATACAGAATAAAATATGAATAGTTAAGACTTTATACATACAGGTAAACTTCGTTATCTCGACATTGACGGTACCATCGGAAAATGTCGAGATATCCGAGGTGTCGAGATATCAGAGTTGAGACTTTACAAAGTTTTCCATCGTGTTTAACTTGCTTTTTTGTCAGAGCAGGATACGAAATGCGCTCTATAAACTTCAAACTGTGTAAAGTCGACATCCGAGATACGGAAAAAATTAAATGCGTAATTATTTTTTTCTTATTCCATTCAGGAAGAATGTACTTTAAAATTATTTTTTAAAGAGATTTGTGTATCTAAACTAACGTAGTGATGTTACAGATGCCTGAATTACGACTGATTCGGTTTATCGTGTCGTTAATTGGATTGTTTTCTGTTGAATGCATTTTAACGACAAAATATCATTAAAACATCTTTCATCACTTTGAATTTATTCAGTATGTTTGGTATTCAATTTAGTTACCTTTTTCCAATTTAAAAATTATGTTAGGTTTTGATATAAATAAACTCCTCTACATCTGCACAGAATCGTGTAGATTTATCAATGATATTACCCAAGCTGAACGATTAAGCAATTTATAGACGCCGAAGGGGCTTTGGATTCACCTTCAAACACAATCCATAGAATTAATTAAGCAATGCGCAGTCAAAACATGGGTGTGACAGGTGTGAATTTTTGACGACATGGAAATACTAAGAGTTAGGTTCAGTAGAGCAGAAAATTGCCGATGTCGAGATAAACAAGGTAAATTTTGCTCTTGGGACTGTGAATATACGTCGAGATAACCCGGTTTGTCGACATTACCGAGGTCGACATATCAGAGTTTTTGCAAATCATTTATATAGTAAATCATGCCGGGACCGCGGACGGACGTCGACATATCCCAGGTTGTCGACATATCCGATGTCGAGATACCGAAGTTTTCCTGTATATGTAGTAGTTACCTGAGGCTTTATAAGAAGCTGACTGGATCTCAATCTCTTCACTGTTTAAAGTAATGCTGTTTGTGCTGGTAATGACCTGGAAAGCAGAAGAAAATTCAATGTTATTCAGGGCTTACTGTATTGTAAAGACTCTGATGGCAACAGGTTGTTTGACTGTTCTTTGCCAATGGAACTTGTATGTTTCAGAAAAACTGTATAAATCACATATATGTTTCAATAGAGTATCTCAAAGTTAGAAGAAAAGAAATAGTATTTAGGCCTGAATATCGCCAGCTATGATACGTATCATGATACTGTCATGCGATACAACATGTATCATGACACAGCTGTCAACAATTAAATTAACTAATATCTTTACATATTCTTGTTTGCTAACCTCCATAATTATAGAAAATATAAAAGGAATATCTTGATACCCCTAACCAAAATTATTTATAGGTAGACTTGTAGTCTTAGCATTAAAAATACCAGTCAAAATAACATAAATTGGCATTTTCTCAAATTTTGCATTGCCTAGTGGTTCAAAATAAGTGAATGATCATGCATACATTTCTAAATCTTAAAAATCACCCAAAGATAACAAAATAATACAAGCAATAATTGAGCTCGCTATACTTTACAGGGCTTAATCTTGTTATGAGATTCCTAAAAATTCTATATTTTTATCAACTGCTTCTAACACAGAATTTTGGAAATATAATTTCATTTTCTTCTGAGGTTTTGAGGATCAAATTCGAATGATTTTTTTTTCTTCCCTGTTTAAAAATAATATCTACTTCAAAGAAATCACCAGTTCCATGCCCAATAGGGTATTGCAAAGCTGGTAAAAATTACTATCAGGCTTGTGAGAACTATAATAAGCTTAATGGGCTTGTAAACTATACTGCAGCTTCTAAGAATGAATAATATATTTCAGGTCAAATCAAAAATTACTGAAGAGCTGAAATTGAACTTCAACTAATGTAAATAATGTAACTTTCTACAAGTTCTTGAATAATTAATTAATAAGTTTAAGAACCAATTATTTAATTAGGTTAAATAATAAATTCATGGTGTAAAAAAGTTTGAGTGGTTAAAAATTAAGTCCATGAAAGCTCTAGCCCAAAAGCCTGGTAAAAAAAAAAAAAACAGAGTAGCTGACACAGTACTGAAGGATGGGGTCAAAAATCAGACTACTGATACAGGGGTCAAATTAATCAGTAATGAAGTAGGATTTTATTAACTTCACCATTGTTGTAGATTTTCATAAGATTATAATAATAACTTAAAAATTCAATTGAAATTTAAAAATAAACACTGTAAACAAAATATAAAATTTACTCTGTATTTTAGATTTATAATCGAGGACATTATAGCAATGCCTGAATTTAACAAGGTTCGAAGTTGACAGTGACACACAAAATAACATCATATATCCTAGTAGTTGATTTTCAAAACATTAAGATTTTCAAAATGCTTCATCAGTATCCTTTATTTGTATAGAAAAATTTTCTAATTACTTTCTTTTGTTTGATTCAGAGAGTGTGTCTTTTAAACCAAGGCAATTTCTGTATTCTTTTCTGTAACATAAATTCAATATTGAAGTGCTATGCGCATGACTTGCATTTTAGGCCTCCGCACATGACCCCATCTTAAAAAAGATTTATTGCGCAGACTGTAATTCATTCAATTACCATAGCTTGCATATTGACATGCACAGACTTAATTCAGGTAAACAATGTGCTATTCAATTACACATTAAAGCACTAAAAGATTTTTTTAAAAACTAGTATCATGTCCCTGACCTATTTCTTGTGATATTCTCATTTCCTTCAGAGACAGCATTGAGTCTGCATATATCTTGACAATTACGTAATCTGTGTTAACAGAGAGCCTGGTGATGGGTGACATCAGTTTATTCAAAAGTATTAAAATTAAATGGGCTAAAAGTCAGGGGGAAAACACTACCACCTGTATAGACCAGACAAAATTAAAAAATACAACTTCAAGAAAAAAAAAAATAGTTACTACAAACTTCAAAAGTTGCTGTTTAAGATATTATTTTTTCTTATTCATATTCCCATTTTAATTTTCTTTCTACTTTCACTTCTATCAGGAAGTTTATTTCATATGCATTTTTTTGCAAACAAACTTTTATCATATGTCAATTAATTCCCTAATAGAATTTGGTTTAGACAAAGCTGTATAATTTAAAACATGACATATTGTTCTGATTTTATTTGACACAGAAACGCTATAGTTAAATGCTTCGACTGAAATAAATTAATACTGTGAATTATGTCACCCTAATTATAAACAGTACGTTGTTTTTTCAATGATTTAAATATTTTGAATATTCATATGACTCTATTCCTTTTTCGTGTTTTCATTTCAAACAATTAATTTTTCACTGAATAATTGTTCGAAATGAAAATCCAGGTTTACTCTAAATATATACTCCCAAATTTCAAAGTTGTACTCCGAATTGCACTTTTTTAAAGTGTATTCCTTCATTTTGATTGCAAATTATAATTTAATAGTTGCCTGGTCCACCATCTGCACCCATTTTAAAAATATTTATACCTTGACATCAATGGTTTCATGTCCTTTGAAGGTGAATTTTTGTAGATCTGGTTGTAGACGCAGGTTGTAGTTCTCTGGTTTAACGTCTGTCGGTAATCTCTTGAATTCTTTCTTCCCCGGCATTGTACAAAATGTATGTCGTCTGGCCTGAAAATGAGCTCCGGAAGTGCTTGAAATAACTTCCGCTGTTGTTCTGAATGAAAATGACGCGCAGGTTAAGGTTTGTTTAGTTCTTAGAATGGTAGATTCTGAAACAGAGTGAAGTAGATTCGGCAATTTAAACTTGATGACAACTTTCAATAATGACATCAAGCATGCAGATGCTTGCAAACTTGGTAAAATCTTACCAAACCTGCAAAAAGTTACATAAAAATTTTTTCACGTGGGTTTAAACAGGAAATGAGCTTTCAACCCAAAAGTTAGAGTTTTTCGAGCAAGTTAATAAATTCCGTTAAAGAAAGTTCGTCTGCTACAGCTTTCGTACAAATAAAAAATAATAATAATTAATAATAATAATATGATTCAAAACAATTTGTAGGTACAATATCAATCCAAAGCATGAAATTATATTTTTGAATATGTTTATCAGGTAAATTGGGTCGGAAATTACCTTGCTTTTAGTGCTTCCTGGGAGGAAAATAAGAAGACAGAAAATTTTCAAAATACCTTTCCTTATATCGGCAATACCGCAATATTTAATTATTTCTGCCTTTCTAAATTATCTTATTCGCATCAGTCTGAGTTACATATATTTAGAATCCACTGATCACTTATTTATTGATCAGTTAATCTGCCAATGATTTTTACAGAAATGATTTATTTTTGCCCAATTTTGTTTATATCCTTGGTCATTTGTTTTTTGTTTTGTTTTGTTTTGTTTTGTTTCAATTATTTTTTCCCCAAATTTTTTATATGCCAAATTAAACAGACAGTTTTTTTCTCTAATAAATATTTATAATATATAGGACGAGGATTATACATTCAGAAGATTTCATATTGTTTTGGAATATGGATGACAGTTTCTAAAATGAGGTGGTTTACTTTATTTTACTTCTTTTATTATTTTATCTATTCTATCTATGATGATATTGATACCAGAACAAGAACCATAACAAATTATAGCATGTAAGATATGTTACAGATTAATTTTCAAGTGATTTCATCAGTCTGAGATTATGTATAAAATATGGAAATAAAATAGGATTTTAAATAAAGTAAATTGCAATCTACTGGTATTTAACTATTATATGATAATGAAGGATAGTACCGGTAGATGAAAATCATACTCTATGAATTTATGCAATCCTTAAAAGTAAAGGCGAAAAAACAAGTAAAGTCTCATAAAATATAACTTATTTACAGTACTTGACAGAGTTTATTGATGTTTACCAGGTTGGGACCAAAAACCCTTATAGGATAATTATAATAACCCGTCTGGGATATAATATCCCAAATGGGATATAAATTTACAGTGCAAAAAATTACAATTTTTATTTTGGCTATAAATATCATAAATCCACATCAAGATACTTATAAAGGAATAACATTTGGCAAGCAAGCTTTTCTGCAACCCTACAGTTTGTTTGATTGATCCCCAAGAAGTTTAGGAACTTCTGAGGGATCAATCTCCTAAATAGTGGTCAGTCAGAAAAACTTGTTAACCAAAAGTTATTTCTTTTATATCCCAATGGGCGATTGGTCCCAAGTGTTTACTGGTTTTCATTGTAACTGATTTTAGTCTTGTTTATACCTCATAGAATAATTCATATTATTTTTAAAAATAATTTCAGCCATTAGCAAACATGTTCACATATGTTTTGTCATCACAAAGTAATTCAAATCAAAGGCAAAAGAATTTAAAGACATGTAAAAATGACTTAAAATAATTCCATTCAGAGTTATAATACAATGGATTTATCGTTCAGTTTGTTGGTGCTCAGGGTGTATAGGCCTGGAGTGTTTAAAAGGAAACCTGACTATGTTCACACTGTAATAAATATCTATTGATTGATTCTGTATAGGTTTAAGATAAACAGGACCTGTATATTTCTGTCAAGTATGTGTATACGTATTGAGTCTGTAAAATTGGTTGTGGGACAAAGTCAATCAATTGAGATTTATGCTTTCATATACATGTATTGAAAATAAATGGAAACTATAATTATTTCAGCTTTAACAGAAAGCTAGCCCAGTGACTTTAGTTATTGTCACCAAGTTCATACCAGTATATATAATATTAACTTCTAAAAGTTTATTAAGGTAGATCAGTTAATTTAGCACCCAATACAAGCTAGAAAATAGATGGTTATCAGTTACTGTAACTTAAATGTTTATTCACTAGGAGTAATTTCTATTAACTTATATTCTTTAAATCAATATATTTCAGTTATAGCATAGCAATCTATACAATATAGAAGCATATTTGTCAATATTGTTTGTATAATATAAATCAAATCACATTTTAATAGTTTGTGTTTTGTTCATTGAGGGATTTTCTACCACCTTTAAATCCCAGTTCCATTTAAATGATCAATATCAACTGGGTTATTAGGAAAGTTTGGAAATAGGTTTATATCTCTGAAAAAAATCAATTTTATTCTATAGAATCGAATTCCACTACCATGAACCATGTCCATTGATGTTTGAATTTTGGGGTGTTATGACATAATGAGAGAAGCATAAAAACACTTCCAGTAACAGCTGATTTTCTACAGGAATATGTAGAGAGGACTGCGATGAGAAATTTAATGAATTGGGATTTTAAGACACGGAAGGTGACAAGTGGGACACAGGTGTTTCAACAGGTAAGCATCAAGGTATATTGTATATTACATTCATCAACAAATGCTGATATCACACCTTAAGGGCTTGGATATGTTTTATGCTTTGTTTTCAGTGTTGAATATTTTTTATGCATTTGTGAATTCTGTTTTTGTTGCGCTCATATAATGCATTTAAAGTGTTAACATTTGTTTGCAAACTTAAGTTTATTAAAACACTTGTTCCCAAATAGCATTCAAAAAGAGTTATCTCCCTTAACACACTCTACAACAAAACAAATGAATTTGTGTGTGTTTGTTTTTCTTTGAATTAATGGAAAATGCATAATAATTGAATTAATTGAATATTATTAGCATTGCTTGTGCTGAGTGATCTAATTCAGTTGAGGACCATTAATTTGCTTTTAACAGCTTTTGAACTGTATATGAGCCACTGATCAAAAAGATGATATGCTCACAATTTTTGTCATTGCCTGAATTCAGTAATTATTATTTCATATAAGTTTAATTTTTTTTCTCTTATATTATTCTAATCATTACATAAGTCATTAATATATAAAGTTAAGCAGCATCTACATACTTAATTATTGTCTTTAACAACATAATAAAAGCAATAGTTGCAGCATTAATTACATCAGATGATGGAAGTTGTTTAAGTTTCGCTTATGAGCTGTAAGTCATTGATTTTATGGGTTGGTGGACCATAAACTAAGTGAGTCAGATATGTCACCTTTCATCTTGATCAATAATTACATTTACAAGGAGGATGGAGGAGAGGATACAGGTTAAGTACTGCTATAGGTATCATATAGTACAGGTAACAAAAGTAACAGAGACTGTTACAGGTATCATATAGTACAGGTAACAAAGGTAACAGAGACTGTTACAGGTATCATATAGTACAGGTAACAAAGGTAACAGAGACTGTTACAGGTATCATATAGTACAGGTAACAAAGGTAACAGAGACTGTTACAGGTATCATATAGTACAGGTAACAAAGGTAACAGAGACTGTTACAGGTTTCATTTGTAATGTCACCGATATCATATGTAATGTAACAGGTATCATATGTAATTTTACAGGTATCATATGTAATGTAACAGGTATTGTTTGTAATGTAACAGGTATCATATGTAATGTATCAGGCATCATATGTAATTTTACAGATATCATATGCAATGTTACATGTATCACATGTAATGTAACAGGTATCATATGTAATGTATCAGGCATCATATGTAATTTTACAGGTATCATATGCAATGATACTGGTATCACATGTACCAGAGAATTTAGCTGTAGACAAATAGCTCTCTTGTACCTACAAAAACTGATGGGGAGAATGGAGGAATAAATGAAATGCAAAAGGTTCTGTACACAGAGTCATTGCTACAAAAGTTTTCAATTCGCATTTCCACAGCATAATAGATTTTTAATGGTAAAAAGAACACTGTTGCAGTGTTGAAATTCACAGAAACGTTAAAGTAATATTCATAAAGCTCTCAAAAAGCCTTAAACACTGAACTGTGAGGAATGAATGAAAGGCATCATCAGTGAAATCAAAGTACCGGTATTTCTCTATGTTAATAAATCCTAGGGATATCAAAAATTCTGAAATATGATTGATTTGGTTATTGGTTGATAAAACTTTGTTTTTGAAGGATAAATTTTAGGACAAAAGGGGGCTAATTTACTCTTCTGCCACCTATGAATATGTGTACTTTATATTTAACCTTCATATCTGTGTTCTTTTTAAAGAATACAACATAAATCTCCATTGGAATCACCATAAGATTTTAATACAGTCATGTACATATTTTATATTTAAATAGCCAGGCAGTCCTATAATAGAACACGAATGACACACTCTCTACTACCCATATCCAGATCACTTAAATCTTTAATCAGATTTTACCTTCAATGAACCGTTTAAAACAAATGCAGGTTCCAATTGTTAATTCACCTTTCCTTTTTGATGTCAAAATGACGGTGTCTTGCTATTGATGAGGAGAATTTCACAGAGGGAATGCAGTACGTGTTATACATATAAGTCATATTATGGATTACATTTAACACTTACAGAGGTAAAATGGTTTAAAAACATAAAACATGTTTCATTTTGTTCCATATAATGAACCAAAATTAGTTATTTTTGATTTTTAAAATTGAATAAACTTGAATTTGCCATACAAATCACAACTAGTGTTCTCTGGCATGCTTTAAGTTCAAATCGCTGAATGACTGTATATGTTTAAAGTCACACAGTCACACTATCTGTTAATCTGTCTCCAGGCTTGTCTAAACTTATGGCCTGGGTATACTTACATGTATCAACAGGGGTTGGTAATGGGAATAGACTTACTTGGTGTGGGCAAGAGTTCTGGCTAAGTGTAGACAATGGTACAATAAATAGAACTCCTTATATATAGGTTGATAAAATTTGAAATCATTGATTGCGCAGAGAGACATTTCTTGAAGGACTCAACTAAAAGAGGAGAGGGAATTTAAAGATTAAAATTATATAGAATTTCTGGGTTAATGATCATCAAACTGTTTGATGTCTGTGAGGTAACCTTCATACCATTGAAGAGCTTGACAATACAACTTAGTATTGTTATGTTCTATCATTTCCTTCTTATAATTACATGTACTAAGCTATATGTTAAAGTAGCACATTGTTCTTTGTAATTTCTATGATTCTTTAAACCTGATGCTGACACTATCTTAGTACATGAGTTAGCCATGCAGTACTATGAAAGTGCACATTATGTCTGTATGTAATAGTTACTAGTTTTGCAATGAAAAATAGGTGAAGATAACAAACAGTGATCTATCTTTAAAAAAAAATCAGCAAACAATACAAATCTGTGAACAGGGCATAAAACACAGGCCCCTGGAAATTCCAGAGTTGGGATCAGGTGCTTAGGAGAAGTAATCATCCCCTATTCAGTCACACTCACTGAGCTCTATGTATTGATCAGGTAGACAGAAGTTCTGTAAAAGGAGGTGATAAAGTGAAGCTATTTAATTACCACTGTAAAAATGCTATTTGACATTTAAACAGAATTATATACTTTGATGCATCAGTTGTGACTACTTTTTGAAGTTGCCTGCCAACTTTGCAGTGATTGCTTAATGCACGTATATGTTAAGATGAGCATAAGGTTACATTATTTTATCATAGGTGTAACGTAGTCAGTATAATGACAGATTGGAGCTGCTGTTTTCTATTGATTTTGCACCAGGTGTCACATAAAAGTCATTTTCGTATTGTATAAGCAGATAATTAAATGCTTAAATCTGTACACTGTAGAATAAATCTCTTTTCTCTTGTTCTACAACCAATAAGTTATTCCAATTATTACATAAAACCACCTTTTTTCTCAGTACAGCTGATTGTAAACCAAAGTGCCGTGTTTAAGACTTGACAGTCGGCATGAGGTTGATTTCAAAGGTATATATTTATAAAGTATACACCTGTCTTAAATAACAATTGTATCCCGGAGCAGCTATCTTTCAGTTTAAACCTCACGTGACATATCTTAACAACAATTAATGAGCTATAATTTGTTTTTGCCTATTTAGCAGTTTACTCGAGTGTGTTGTAACCCTGTTTTTATGTAACATTGTAACACCTTAGCTTGCTGTGTAATACCCTGAGATCTAAGATTTATCCACTTTCTAACCCTGTGCTGGTTTTATTATTCTTTATTCATTTGTGTTTGCTGAAGTCATTGAAAATCTCATTCTCTGAGATGGATTTTAAATCGCAGATCATGAGTTAATTATTTAAACTGCCGGCTGGAATATAGACTTCATTATCACAAAAGATGCCACAATGGACACCTGATATTATTACCTATGTGTAGGTGACGGGACTTTGTCTGGGAACCCTTCAGGTATTTGTCCTACCTGTCTCTGAATAGACTTCATTGTTTGAAGTATTTTAAGCCATGGAATCAAGGACTTGTTCCTGCTGCAACATATCGATGATTTAAAAAAAAAAAAATAATGCAAAACTTTGACAGGATCCAGATATTTCTGCGGTTCTTTTTTCTTTACTTAAATGGAGAATTTTACACGGCTGTTCTTTCGAAGGTGGAATAATGTGACATACCTGGCACTTAAACAATCACTTAATCAATATGACTATTCTGTATTTGGTGTTTCCGGACAGAGTCTGCAGATTTTAGCAATCTATGTAAGATGTAAAGCAGTATGAGGAATGTTTCTCTCAAAATTTGAGGATTTTGATTTCTGAGTGATCAAAATGGAGAATTCTAACAGCTATTTTAAGACGACTTTGCGGGGCCCGACCTTCACCCGTAGCATGGATCTGATGGGGAGTAAAGTCAGTCTGAAGTTCAAATATAACTTCACATCGTCTTCTACCACCACCGTCTATAACCAAGTGATTACAATGGATTTCTTATATAATTAACACTATATTTATGATTAAAATTTAATAACTATCTAGTGTATAGAGATATTTTTTTTAACCAAGCATGTTCAGAGTTTTTTAATGTATGTTTTAGTCAATTTGAAAACTGTATAAAAGTTTCAGTTGATTAAATCCACAGGACTGTTTGTTTTTAATACTAACATAGCATGATTGCATTTTTGATTCATTAGCAACAGATATTTTAAAATTTCCTCTATTTTATCATCTCAGAATAAACTTTGCATCTTCCATCTGCAAATAAGTTAACACGTACAGTAAACTTATTTCACTAAATGAATGAATAATCCATCTTTTACTTTACATACATATTGTCAATTGTATTGATTAAATCCTGTTTTTCATCAGCTAGATTGCTTTTCCCCTAGACGATAGGTATAATGCATAAAAAGTAGATCACAATTTTCATGTTAGGCTTTCCTAGGAATTTTAATACTATGTGATGATTAATTAATGCATTATTGATTAATTTATACATGTCCTTAATTTGATAATTGGATCAAGTATTGGTTACTTTTAGAGATCGATGGGGAACTCCAGTAGAAAGTCTCTCTCTGGGTTGGTTCCTGTCCCTCCTGATGAGCCTCGTCCCGAGGACCTGCCGAGGGTATCAACCAATCGTAATAGCTGTCCTCAGTTTGTGCCATACTCTGACGATGAGGAGGAGGAGGAAGATGATGAAGAAGAGGAATTCTTTGATGCCAGTGAAAATTTTCCTCCTGTCCAGGTAGAATTTGGCTATGTTGATATGTACATGTATACTGTAAAAGCAGAATTATTGTGTGCCATAAAAACGTTACCGTTTTATTTTTTTTTTGAAATTGCAAAAAATAACTCACACAAAATAAAAACTGTACAAATCTACCTTTTTTTCGCAAAATTTGCAACACACAAAAAAAAAACGGATATACAGTATATTGAGTAGGGTACTTTACGAAACAATGAAATTTAATGCCGACGAAACCTTTTTAGATGACAAATCAACGAAATCTTATCCCCATGAAAATTTGTGCCTCTACAGTATACAGTAAAACACAAGTGCCTGGGATGAACAGTTTTGATTTGTTATAAATTTTGATTCATCATATCTGATCAGTGTATTATACATTTTGAAATTACAGAGAAAACACTTTGCTCTACAGTAAGCAGCTGAATTCATTATAACAGTGTTTGTCTTACTGTCCCAGAATTATCCTCAGTTTAAATGTCCCAGACACTAAATGGAATACAATGTCGATGTTACTGTCAACAGAAAAATTCAGATTGGATTTTGCCATAGGACTTAATTAACTTTCACAAATACACATTGTTTTGAGCCCATAAAAGCAATCCAATTGCAGAAAAGCAATTTCTTGTAATGTTTGATTTTATATACTTCTATCCATTTTCTTGTTTTAATTCAAACTGAATATGTATTAAATGAAAATAATTGTTAATATGCACAAGAAGGAGTAACTTTTTTTTCTCTCTATAGAATGCTTACATGCTAGAGAATATTTTATAATTTTCCTCCATTAGCCTCCACCTCAGCCACCTGCTATGATAGATGCAAGTATCGTGGCTAAACTTGTGAAGGAAGTTGAAGAACTGCTGCATCATGTGACCACAGAAAACTTTCAGGCAGCATCTGACACAGCCAGAGTACTGCAACAAGCCGATTTAGGTAAGGATTAAGGACAAGATTTATGGATGAAAGTATAACATGAAACCTAGGTATTATGTACCGGTACATGTGTTATTGCAAATTGATGAAGTAAAGTATGCACAAAGTGCTTAGGAAAGGAATAATTTTGATTGGTTTTTGTATGCAATTTGTTATATCCAATCAGTTTATAATATGTTTTTATAAAGCAAGGAATGAAAATAACTTCATTTCAAGTGCTTTTCAGAACTCTAAAAAGGAATTTAAAATGATATATAGTAATAAATTGCATGATATAGCCTTTTTTGTTTTCTTGCACAGTCTGCTTTGAATTTTCTCATAGGAAATTTAACTCGGAGACTTTCAGTAGAAAGCACTTCTAGCTCACAATTACAAGGTAATATAAGACAGACTAATCAGTCAGAGAGATTGCCAAAGATTGGAGAGAACAACATCCCCTCTCCTGACAACAGGTACAGCAATGCTGCTTACAGTGGGTCCACTGCCGATGTCCGGAAATCTGCCAACTCTACGAAAAACTCTGAAATCAAGAAATCCAACAGTGCTAAGCAAGTATTCCCCCCACAGGTTGGAGATTCACCAGAAATTGCTGGATATTTGAAATCAGATGAAAAGCCATTTCGCTTGCCACCCATTAGAGATGGGAGTTCACAGATTCCGGGTAACTCAAACTCTTTATATCCCAGTATCTCAAACGACCTTCAGAATGGTGATGGTAACCTTGCATGGGAGGTGGATGTCTCTGACCTACTTCCAAATGGCAGGACAGCCAAAAGACCTGGTTTGTCTTGTTTGCATGCTTATATTTTGGTTCTTTCTTTTTTTTTTCCCCATTTTGAAAACCACTTCGTAAATGGTGCATGCTTCAAGCAATTTTGAACTTAGGTTTTGATATAGAATATAATATATAGCATGTATTGAAACTATACGAATATTATGGATCTAAAATTCATTAAACTTGTATTCTTCCAAAGGGATTTTTAAAAAAGTTAATTTCAAGTTGCAATTCTCCATTAAATTTCAAGTTGAAAATAGTATAAATGAATTATCTCACTACTGAAAGCTTTTATAATAAAACTGTTCATATATTTCATAGGACTTTAAAAATTTCAAATTGATAGGATGCTTTGTCCAAATCCAATTGTTGTATGATCAGAAATAAAAATAATGCAGTCCTAAAGGTGTATGGGAATTACCTTAGAATTGTCTTTTTAACATCAAATATTTGTTCTCTAATATTTCAGCTATGCATGTGCACTAAGAGGTCTTGCATTTGTAAAGGATGCTGAAATTACACTCATACTTAAAAAAAAATTGACACTGATTATCTCATCATTTCAGTCCTCACTAGTCAGCTACAACCAAAGGAAACAGATGAATCTTATGAGAGTTTCGTCCCTCCCAAAGTGACGGCCACAGCTGCCGAAATCTCATCTAGAAAAGTGCTGGACCAGAAAAGATGGTAAGTGAATACTCTAAATTACATGGTCAGTGGTAAGTGTATACATGTATTACATAGTCAATGGTAAGATTTTACACATATATTACATGTCAAGTGGTACAGTAATAAACCTATTACATGGTAAATATTAAGATTATAAACCTATTACATGGTAGATATTAAGATTATATGCCTATTACATGGTAAATATTAAGGTTATATACCTATTACATGGTAGATATTAAGATTATATGCCTATTACATGGTAAATATTAAGATTATATACCTATTACATGGTAAATATTAAGATTATCCACCTATTACATGGTAAATATTAAGATTATACACCTATTACATGGTAAATGTTAAGATTATACATCTATTACATGGTAGATATTAAGATTTAATATATACCTATTACATGGTAAATATTAAGATTATATACCCCGGTACCTATTACATGGTAGATATTAAGATTATACACCTATTACATGATGGATGGTAAGATCATTCACCTACTGTTTAATCTTATAATCTACAATGCAAATCATACCAGTCTACATATGTAACATGGTAGACTGTAATATTGTATACTGTACATCTTTTACATGTTTATGGTAATAAAAATATTAGCAACATGATCAATTCTAAATTGTAGAAGAATTTTTTTTTACCTTAACATATATTTTAGTTTCAAGAATTTTAAAAATGTCAAATGCCTTATTTGATAGATCATTTGATTTGAAAGCTTGGTCACATGACTTGTGTTATTATTAGGAACTGTGTCAGTTTATTTGATTTGAAAGCTTGGTCACATGATCTGTGATATTATTAGGAACTGTGTCAGTAGACCTCAGTACAGTAAGTCCTGTGGGATTACCTCCCTTGTGTCGTGCTGGAATTTCCTCTTTAGTACCCTGGGCAATGGAAAGTAAGTACAAAATTTGTATATTATCAGTTTGCATAAAAATGATTATTTACATGTATATAGATTTGTGTGTCACAAAAATAATAAATTCTTGATTTAAAGAAAGGGTTTCCTCATTTTATTTGTGGGAGATGAACTTGGCTAATGTTTATTTTTGAACTAATATGTGTTGTAACTCTGTATTGCTGGTTAGGATTTTATTGATATAAGACTGATACATGTAAGACAAAGTCAATGATTTTTTTTTCAGTCTCAATCCTATAACTCAGGAGGAAGCCTTGACAATCCTGGGATTCAAGCCTCCATTTGGGGAGATTCGATTCGGACCATTTACTGGCAACGCTACTCTTTTTAGGTTTAACTCTATATCTAGATTAAAATTTAATTTTTCATGTCATATGGTATAAAGTGAAAAAATGTATGTAAAATTTCTTTTTATTTAAAAGTGATCACAAATATTAGTAGAAAATGAATCACACTGCAATATATTTGTACATTTCTTTCATTATTTTTATTTATTTATGGTAAATGTATTAAATTTGCTGTGTATTTGTTTATTGCCTTTCGTGGAAAGCATCTTCTACTAAATTAAGTACATAGCTAAATATCTTATGTATAAATATTCATATAAAGCAAATTTAGAAAGCTAGAAAGCACTAAATCAACTCCATGCTAAGTTGTTGAAAAATTAATTTCTGCCAAATATTGTATACACCAAATAAAATACATTTACAGATTGAATTTACTTTTGGAATTTTCAGATGGTTCAGGGTATTAAATGACCATTTCAAGGTCAGGGGTCGAGCTTACTTTATGTATAAAAGTCATGGAAAGAACAAGACCTATGGCACCTCCCCAGAGGAGGCCCTAGGGCACCTCAAAAAGGGACTACAGGACCCCTCTACTGCCTTCATCTACCACTGCCAAAATCACTACTTCTGTCCTATAGGATTCGAGGATACTCCAGTGAAATGTACAGAAGCTTATGGGTAAGATTATTTGATGGTGTATAAGTGAACTGACAGATTGTTATCCCTGTGAAACTTTTAACCACTAGAGTTTTCAAAAAAATGTGTTTTTCTGTTCCAAACTTTAAATTTTATATTTAGGGGTGGACTATCACAAGAGGACCTGAATACCTGGGTCCTCATAGGAGATCCTGCTAGTGGACATCCAGCCATGCACTGTAAAAGGTAAAGTCTGTAACCAATATCTGTAACAACTGATATCAGTCTCCCTTGTTTTGGAAAAGGTAGAATCTGTAACAAATGATATCTGTAACAACTGATATCGTTCTCCCATGCACTGTAAAAGGTAAAGGCTGCAACGACATATATGTCTCCAATGCAACATGAACAAGTTTTTAATTGCTAATATCTCTCCCATGCACAGAAATCCCCAGTATCTGTAACCTTTAAAATCCCTTTCCCTTTACTGTAATACTCTAGTAGGTGCCTTCTCCAATCTTTATCAATAACATCTTTCCCTTCCTTTTCAAGGTCAAATTGTCATTAAACTACCCTAAAAATTTCCAAGAAAGGCTGCAATGTAGAATTTTTAGTACTGTATATGTTCTTTTTTATGCCCCCCATCGAAGAAGGGGGGGCATATTGCTTTGCTGCTGTCTGTCGGTCATTTTCCTTTCATTTTCTTTGCAGTTCTGTTTTGGGCACGATCAAGCAATTTTTGACAGAGTTATGCCCCTTGGACTTAGGAAAATTCCAATTATTTGCAGTTTCCATTCATTGTCTTTGCAGAGGTTGCACATAGTGAAATGAAATTTGGTATACAGATTAATCATAAAAATATCTAGGTCAAATTCTGTTTTTTGTATGATTGAGCAATTTTTGACAGAGTTATGCCCCTTGGACTTAGAAAAATTCCAATTATTTGAAAGGGGGGGGGGGGGGGGATAAGTGTTTCATAAACATCTCTTGTTTCCATGTAGGATTAATTTATGCTCTGTATGTGGTCCCAAATTTTCCTGGGAAGTTTGTCACAGTGAACTTGAAGTGCATGTAAATCATACAATGGCAATCCAAGATATCCGAAACAATTCTCTACCCTTGGATTGTACAGAAATTATGATTCCTCGGAATTAAGACCCTGTGGAAAAAAGTACATTTATACGGTGTATTTAATTAGGTCTAATTAAAGCATAAATTTTACAGGGTGCAAACTTTATTTTACATTTGAACATGTATATCATTACCCTTTTTAACCCTATAAATTTGTGTCAATATATGTTGTACATAAGTGCAGTACTGAGTTTTGCAGAATGAGTTTTCTTCAGGAACTAGATACATTTTCTTTTGACAGATGGACAGACATTGTGACAGACATAGGCTGTGTCAATCCGGAATTCCTGGACATTCGCAGACTAGAGAAAGGCATGCAGCGCCGAAAAGCCAAGAAAATCGGAGGGAACTTACACTGCATCATGTCATTTACAAAATGTAAATTCCAGAGCATAAAAACTTATAGAACTCAGATCCCAGTGCCTGGTGGAAGAGGAGGAGTGAAGGACACTGCTCGATTAAAAATGACAAACTTTAAAGAAGGGGATTCCAGTACTCTGCAGAACGTGGAAAGTGGAGAAGGGAGTGTTCAAGTGGCTGAACCGGAAGCTCAAGAAAACATGGAATTTTATCTGGACAACAAGCAGGAGAACGAGAAACAAACTGTTAATAAAGAAGAAGATGTTGAAGAAGATGAGGAGGTGGAAGACCTGGATACAGAGAATGATTCTTCAGAAAATAATGTGTGAAGAAGAAATTGTGGGAATAATAACTTTTAGAGGAAGTCTTGTATTCAGTGGAAATCCTCCAAACACCAGAATACCTCATGTCTTCATTATGAAATTTGTATTTCCTATTTATTTCGATAATTTAAAATAGGAAATACTGAAATGCCTGTATTTTAAAATGGTCTGGTGTTGTGAGTGGATTTGCACTGATGCAGTTTATCAGCATTAATTTAAAAAAGTTTTGTTATGGAGATGCAGGAGCTATCTGTGATGTACCTGTATTTTAGTCAGTTTTGCTTGTGCCATGAGGTTTCCAATAATAATATTGGTGTTATTTATGACAAGAGCTCTTTGATTACATGCTTATTACATTAATTACTGGTATTTATACAGGTTCTGGAGGTTTATGAATGCTTCACAATGTATTACACTCCCAACATGAATTAGGTTTACTGTTTAGCTCCAGATTCTTTTTGATTTTAATTTGAAATAAAAAAAAAATGTTTTATTTTATTTGTGCTGCATTGTAATCTCTTATAACTCCTTGAATGCTGAAACATATTCAGTGCATTTGTCATGCACAGTGAATAGTTGTCCAGAAATTGAGGAAATCACAACTAGTATGTATCCCCCCACAAGAAGGCTAATATTGATACAGTAGCTGGTACACGTATACTGTAGGTTCCTAAATATACTTAAGGAATTTATTATCACATAATTTCGTTAGAAGGGACCATTCACAAAATAAAACAACTCACTTTAATTCTTATAGTGCTGATATACATATAAAAACTTTTGATCAACAGTCCATTGGTGGATTCATGATCTCATAATTAAAAGCCTACGAGTCATGTCGTAATATCAAGTAATGCGGAAAGTAAGAAATCAACAGCATCCGTAGCTTTGTCATTTATCCTAACCAATACTGCAGACACTTTTCAAAGAAAACTATTTGATCTTTTAGTCATATACATGTACTTGCTACAGAGATACTTGGTGGCCAGAGGAATATGTGAATAAATTTCAGGTTAAAAACATCAGTTCAAGACAGTTTTTTTTTTTTTTTGACATTAAAAAACTGTGAAATGTGTAAGCAACATGGTTATCGAGCCAATTCTCAAAGAGTAACCATTTGACCTTGTTAAGGAGACGCTTGGCCACTTCAAGATTTCACAGATTGGTATTTTAGGTAACCATGGAAACACTCAAAAACTGTATCTTAATAGTATAGTCTATTTTTCTTCCAATTAAAGTTTTATAGAAATTGGACCAAAATTATAGAAGTAGTACTTTAGAGATTTGAAAGAATACATGTATCATAGAAATTCCTATGACCCTACAAAATACTGATAAAAAGAATATGTTTCTTTGTAAATCTATTTGTGTTCAAAGTTTTATTGAATTTGATCTAATACTGTAGGAGGAGTAGTAATTTGAAAACATGCTTACTGACAGATGAAACAATTGACAGTCTTATTTTCATCAACGATAAAGTTCTTCTGGTTTGTGACCATTTTACTGTAGTAATAAAAAACAATAAGCTACAATCATGTCTTTATTTAAGGAATAACTGTCTAATTTTTTGGATTCATGATGTGATCATTCGAGTGGCTTGCGTGATAATTTGCATAAACGCCAAAGCCGTTTATGCATAAAATTATCACACAAGCCAATCGATTGATCATTGTCATGAATCCAAAAAATCTGACAGTTATTCCTTATATTTACATGCTCCTGATTCTGCAAATTCCCGTGCTAATAGCCCCTCTTCTGTCTCTATTTGTTCCGCCCTGCACGTGATTTTTTTTTTAATTGCGCCTATCGATGAACCAGTAGATTTATGTAGAAATAAAGTATTTTTACAATTTTTAATTTTATCTCGGACAAAGACATTGGAAATGTAAATATATATATATACATGTACATATATATATATATATATATATATATATATATATATATATATATATATATATATATGTATATGTATACACTGTATATGGTATTTAATTAGTTCTGTTAACTTAAGTTCTTAATGTGTAAACAGAATGTGATATCATTGTAAGATACCATAGATCACTTTCAATTTCATTTCATGCCAATAAGCATTCAGTATATAAAGTAAGTTTTATAAGACATTTGATTGCTTTTAAAATGTCAATGGATTAATTGTCCTTCTCTAGGAAGCATGTTTTAACTATTTACAAACTATTTGAAAGATTTAAACTAAGTTGGATCATTTAAAGAAGCAGTGAAATGAAAATTGTTGCACAAAAAGATTTTAATTTCAAACTTCATTTTGAGACTTATTCAGATAAGTAATAATGTCAAATTATTGTTCCTGGCTGAGAGATGGATGTGCTTAAACTATATAAATATTCATTCAGTTTGTTGACAGTTCTTTTAATCATGTGCACTTCAAGGCAAGCATTTACAATGTCTGTTCAAGCTTTAAGAACAGTATACATATATATTTGAACATTGGTAATATTTTTATAATTTATATGTACCTATACCTTAAAAACATAAAATAGCACAGACAATACGCATATAAAAAACATATAGGCATACAGTAGACTGTCCTCTTTTGTTACAATTTCTACACAATCAAATTCAGTCTTCTGGATAGATGTAACTTCTCTCAGACAAATAATATAGGCTGTTCCTGCAGTGAGATTCTGAAGAACATAAGACAAAGAGGTGGATCTAAAGGAGTGTAAAGTCTGTTTATCTTTATGGCCAAATTGATGATATTTCAACTCATAAGATAGTGAAGTGACTGATACAGTTTTATAAATATTCCAATGCAACTTGACAAACGTCTCCCCAATTTCAACAGTTTTTAATTTCAAGTCCTTTTGTTTAATTTCAGAATCTTCCAACCCTTTCTCTTCTTGAGGATTTTCAAAATCACAAACAAATAAATCACTGCTTAGATAATTCCATGAATCATTGAACAGGTTAGAAGGGCCTTGGCAAGTTGGAATGAACTTTTCCTCTGGAATGTTATAGTACTGTAACTGATATTCTCTTGTATCTAAGAATTCTTTAAGCCACTGTACTCGACAGTCGCAGTAAAATGGGTTTCCTCCCAGTAATAAAACCTCATGGGGATAAACGTCACCTTTAATATCCTCTTCAACACTATGGATCAGATTAAACGAAATGTCTAATACTTCTAGTGTTGGAAGCTGCGAAGGAAAAGTAACAATTTTGTTTCTGGATAGAAAGAGGTAAGAAAGATTTGGTACTTTCTCAAAAAGTCCTTTTGGAATGTGTTTTAGCATATTGCCGGAGAGATCCAATTTTTCTAATTGTGTGTTTGATTTAAATAACTCTTCTGTTAATTTCTTGATTTTGTTATTTGATAGGTTTAAATTGTGTAAAACTGGCATTTTCTTAAATATACAATCATCAAGGTTTTCAATATTGTTAAAAGATAAATCTAATTTTTCAAACCTTTCAAAAATTAAATTTGTATCTTTCGAACAAGTAACACTCTTCAGGAAATTGTGATCAAAATAAACTTCCCTTAAATTATGTGGTTGTAATAATTTATCAATTGGCCATGTTTGGAAAAAATTATTGCTAGCTTTTAAAATTTCAAGTGTTGATGGAAGAGAGAACCCAAAGTCATTTAATTTATTATTTGAAACTGACACCTCTTGCAGATTTTCAAAGTTAAGTAAAAAGTTTTCTTCAACAATTGTAACTTTGTTGTAGCTTATATCAAGAATATTCACAACACTGGTGACACTGTGCCTAAGTTCTGCTGTGGTTCCTCTTTTTAACTGGTTGCCACTGAAATTCCATTTTTGAAAAGCCTCATCAATAACAGGTTGTTCACTTAGCTCTCTGTAACTACAGTTTAGTGTTTTGTCCAAACACTTGCAAGCCTCTGGACACGCATTTGCCATGCCAATTAATATTCCTAGAAAAGGCAATGACATATCGATCCCGTTCACACGTGTTTATAGTAAACAATACCACGTGGGTGCTATATTTAGATGTGCACATCCGGGGTATCGTCAATTGTACTTGTGTCTATATTCCGACTTAATGTTTCGATTTGGCATTAGAAATACTGTGAAAGAGAAATAAGAATATGATTACCTAAAAAAAAGAGTGTCTTTTATGAAGTGACACAAACTGTATCGAATCATTACACACAAATGCAAGGGAGCACTAATTGTATCTCGTAGATAATCATTGGGCGATTTTTTTACTCATTAAAGTGCACGTGATCAGCTTAAATATTAGAGCACAACTTCAATAACATTGTGTTTCGTAAATATTTTTTAATAAAATTTAAGAGAATTCTTGACAAATAATTACTACCTCAGGAGGTCAGAATCGGATTTATTACAACTCCCTGTTTAATCCAATGAAATGCTTAATGGCGAAGAGATCACGTGATAGGTTTTCGTGGCGTGCAAACTGCTCTGAAAGGCAGCACTTTGTAGTGCGCCGCGGTAGAGAGTGGATGGGCTATGTCGAGCTCTGAATGACAGTTACTTTATTTGTTTATTTAAGATATTTCAAGTCTGTCAGATGAATACCAATCATGACAATAATATTATTTCTCGTCGATACAAGTGCATCTATGAACCAGCGTACATATTTGGGAACTTCTTTGATTGATATCGCCAAAGCCTCTGTTGAGACTTTTATGAAGGTAAAAGACTCGAATAATGACAAATCAAAGGTCGGCAAAGGTCGTAAATTTCGATGTTAAAGTGTGTTTAATTTTATTATGTTTAGATAAGGTCAAGGGATCCAAATTGCAGATGGGATAGATACATGCTCCTGACATTCGAAGACCCGCCTGCAAATATTAAGGTAAATATTTCGTTTATTTGAAGATCACGCGTGGAATTGCATCCATAACCTTTAATTCCAAAACAAGACAGTCGCGGAAAAAACACACAGTTTGAATAACTTAACAATTACTCCGCGTTTTCCACGAATAAAATCTAGAAACAACTGACTTGCTTGTTACTGTTTCTCCGCCATTTGCTTCTGGCAGGGAAGAAAGTTGCATTGTGGGATTTGACATGGATTTCGGAGTTCATTTGCATAATGTATGTGGGGTACAAAGGGAAAAAATTAACAATATTTGTCCTAGGGAAACTTACAGTGACTAGATAAGATGTTAGTTCATAAAAGAGATTTTATTATTATATCATATAGAAACAAACATAGGAAACCAGTAGGCCTAGGGGGAGGGAAGATGAAAAAAATTCTGAGAAAGATCAATACAGGTGGATCCAAAAGTTTCACGAGGAAGTGTGTATTCTGTTGCTATTTTGAAATGTCAATAAACACAGCTTTCTAAGATTCTTTACTGTCGTATAATAATAATGACAGTTGATGTATAAATGTATTTGATTCACACTTTGGTTGTCACTGTGTCATGGTTCAGTGGTTCATTGAACATTTGTTAGAGGGCAGGTGTAGAGCAGCATTATTATAAATGAAGGACAAAGCTTACAAACCAAATTGTAATGATTGAGAAAAAAATATTACTTCAGAATGCATTGCATGACATTGATATATATATGATGGGAAAAAAGAAGCAGATTAAAATGTATATGGCAATTTCAGGAAAAGGTGAGGAGGTGTATTCTTCATATATCGGCAGCCTTCATTGATATGATCCTCAACATTTCTTTCTCTTTGACAAGTTTTTAGCTCACCTGAGCCGAAGGTTTTAGGAGCTTTTCTTTCACATTTTGTCCGGCGTCCATCTGCCTGTTCATCTGTCTGTCTGTCTGTAAACTTTTAACATTTTTGTCTTCTTCTCAAGAACCACTGTGCCATTTTCAACCAAACTTGCCACAAAGTGACCTTGGGTGTAGGGGATTCAAGTTTGTTCAAATGAAGGGCCACGCCCTCTTTCAAGGGGAGATAATTAGGAATTAGTGAAAAAAATAATGGTATTTAAAGAACCACTGGGCCAGGAAATATGAAACTTCTGTGGAAATATCCTGGGTAGTATAGATTGAATTTTGTTTAAATGATGACCCCGGGGGTAGGGTGGGGCCACAATGGGCGATTAAAGTTTTACATGGGAATACATAGGAAAATTCTTAAAGACTCTTCTTCTCAAGAAGAGCAAAGCCATGATTGTTCATATATTTAAATGGAAGCATTCTCAGGTAGTGTAGATTCAAGTGTTCAAATCATGACCCCCGGGGGTAGGATGGGGCCACAATGGGGGATCGAAAGTTTTACACAGAAATGTATAGGGAAATATCTTTAAAAATCTTCTTCTTAACAACAGCAAAGCCATGATTGGTCATATTTATATGGAAGCATCCTCTAGTCAGTTAGAATATATTCAAGTTTGTTCAAATAATGACCCCCGGAGGTAGGATGGGGCCAGAACGGGTGATCAAAGTTTAGCGTATGAATGCATACTAGGAAAATTCTTTAAAACGCTTCTTCTCAAGAACAGCAAAGACATCATTGGTCATATTTTAATGGAAGCATTCTCAGGTAGTGTAGATTCAAGATTTTTCGAGTCATGAATCCCGGGGTTAGGGTGGGGTCACAATGGGTGATCAAAGTTTTTCATAGGAGTATATAGGAAAAAAGTTTAAAAATCTTCTTCTCAAGAAAAGCAAAGCCATGATTGGTCATATTTATATTGAAGCATCTTCAGGTAGTGTAGATTCAAGTTTGTTCAAATAATGACCCCCGGGGCTAGGATGGGGCCACAATGGGGGATCAAAGCTTTACATGGAAATATATAGAAAAATTCTTTAAAACTCTTCTCAAGAACAGAAAAGCCATGATTAGTCATACTGATATGGAGGCATCCTCAGGTAGTGAAGAATCAAATTTGTTCAAATGAGGGGCCCCAAGGGTAAGGTGGTGCTACAATGGGGGATCAAATTTTTACTAATGAATATATAGGAAAAAAATCTTCTGCTTAAGAACAGCAAAGTAATTTGTTTTATTGATATTGAAGCATCATCAGATAGTTTAAAATTAAAGCCCCCCCCCCCCCCCTTGTAAAATTTTCAATACTGAACTGATTTTTGTTTTTTTCCCTAGCTAATGTGCTCAGATGAGCGAGGTGGCCCATGGGCCTCTTGTTAGCTCAACTAAGCTGAAAGCTCAAGTGAGCTTGTCTGATCACATTTGTCCAGAATCTGTCTAGCTGTTTGTCCATCTGTTAACTTTTTATTTTTGGCTTCTCCAGAAGCAATGGACCAATTGCAACCAGACTTGCCCCAAAGCATCCTTTGGTAAAGGGGGTTCAAATATCTTTCAAGGAATGGCCACACCTACTTGATAGGAAGATAATCAAGAAAAAGCAAAAATAGAATGGATGTCTTAAAAAAAATCTTAAGAACCACTGCGCCAGAAAACTTGAAACTAATGTGAAAGCTTCTTGACCATGCTGACATGGTGATTCAAGTTCATTCAAATCATGGCCCAAGGGGCCACATACAGCAAATGATGAAACTAGGATGTATCATCTTCCATTCTGACCTATATAAGTAGTTTATGCTAAATTGAAAATAATAGAAAATATCAACCATAAGTTTACCTATTTCCTTTTTTTTTCTACATTATACTCTTGTCTATTTTTGTTACAGCTTTCCTGGCCTATTCTGGAAACCCAAACTTTGTGAGATTCATGCGATAAAATACTAATTGAAGTTCAAAATTGAAAGTTATGCTTCAACCAGAATTAAAATTTATTATTTCAATTGGGATGGAACTTTTAAAACCATTTAGGCACTGCATGCTTTTGATTTGAACTCCTGATAAAAAGTTGATGCAAGTTTTGGTTTTTAATTTTGAACCTTTTTTTTTTTTTTAATAAAAATTTTCACAAAAAATCACTTTTTGAATTAGACAAGTGCCCTGCAATAATCACTTGTCCATGAAACATTTTCACCAGTACCAAACAAGCAGATAATGTTAATGTTGAGCCCTGAGTTAGTCAAATTTATATAGTACACATATATCCTCAAATATTAGTGTAGATTTGTGTATGTTTAAATCACAGCCTCTTGGGATAGGGTTGGGTCGCAATAGTGGATCAAAATTTTTAAAATTTCTTGCAAAGAACACCAGGACCATGTTAAGTCGTATTAATATGCAAGTATTCTCAAGTATTTGTTCAAAATATGGCCCCTGAGGGTAGGATAGGGCCATAATAGGGGATCAAAGTTCAACATGGGAATTGGGAGTTTGAAGTTCCCCATGGTTGGTCTCACTTCTGTTACGAGGAGGCCTCGGGGAATAGAAGCAAGACTGATCAAGGGTTTCTGACGATGAAGGCCCCATACCCCGGTGGCTATAGAAGTTACCATGATTATGATGAGCCAGAAACCTTCTACTTGAGTCTTGTTTTTATGATCGTTATTTTATTGATTTCAGCTAAGTTGATCTTATGTTGAAAATGCATTATATTTAAAAACTTCCCCATCATTTTAGACAGCCTACTTATAATGAGCACTGAGCCTTCTATAGAATTGTGTCCTTTGATTGGTCTAAGTTCTATGTAAAACAAAACTGAGTATACATTATATATTGAAAATGCATCTTTAAACTTCTTCACCACTGAACATGTACCAGACAATTCCTGAGCATGATTATGATCGAGGACTTGAATGTTGTCAAATTTATGGTGTTCATGTTTCCTAGGAGCAGGTTTTATACCTCGAGGGATGGCTAAGTTTGAAACAAACCTCATGCATGCCATTATATTACATAAGATTTCTTCTTAACTTCTTGATCCTAGTGTTAACATTACATATGCCAGAGTGGAGCCAAATTTGTATATAAAATAATGCTTAGAAAGTTATTCTCTATTCATGGACATTTAGCCAAAGACCTGTTTGTACAATTAAATGGATTAATGAGCATTTTTCTAAAATTCTAGTTTGAAAAGCTTGCATGTGACTTGGAGAGTATGGCTAGGAAAAAAAAGTTGATATTCCTATGTAACCTTCAGGGGCCAAGGATATTTTCTTTGTTTTACAGGCTGGCTGGAAGGAGAGCCATGCTACATTTGTGAATGAACTGAAGAACTTGCAGACCCAGGGCTTAACCTTAATGGGCCCTGCCTTGAAGCATGCATTTGATCTTCTCAACATTAATAGAATGCAGACAGGCATTGACACTTATGGACAGGTAACAATGTAGACATTTTTTGACAAAATGTGCAGTATACTATGTTAGAAATTGGAATATGTAAATATGAAATGTACCTCGCGTACCATAAAATCACACTAAAGTTCTTCATAGACATGTAATATTGGAAATAAGATCATCATGTTATGATATACATTTTTAAACTTTTACTGTTTTTAAAGTGAATTTTGAATTTTATTTCAATCGTTCAAAGTCAATTTTGAATTGAAAATCTTCAAAGATGAAGGACTCACTGAGAGAAGTTTGAAATAATTATAGAAATGACATTGAGATTATTTAATTTCAGGGTCGCTGTCCATTCTACCTTGAGCCAGCGGTGATAATTGTCATCACTGACGGAGGAAAACTGACCACCATGAACGGAGTACAGCCAGAGGTATCCAACACAAGCTCGGTTCAATTTTCATAGCTGAACATAAAACCCCAGACCCAATACAAGCTCCCATAAATTTTCATAGTGGAACATAAAAACTCTGACCCAATCCAAGCTCCTTTAAGTTTAGATGGACATGCAGGAAGTTAAAGCTTGTACACAATACAAGCTTAGTTAAACTTACCAATAAGATACGTTGCATTAACACTCGGATTCAATTCAAGCTCAGTAAAATTTATTATAAATGCCAAAAAGACATGAATGACCCAATCAAAGCTCTGTTAAATTTAGCAGTCAGATACATTAAAATTCAGATTCAATCCAAGATCAGTTAAATTTAAACTTGGACACATAATGACAACCAAGGTTTTACAATAAAACTTAGATATTTTAAAGAAAACATAGACAAAATTCATAATTTTTTAGACTTTTATGAAGGTCACCATTAAGTTTAGAACACTTAATTTTCAATGCCTAATTTCTCCCTTGTATTATAGATCAACTTGCCAATGAACTCTGTGGTGCCAGGGTCTGAGCTAACAAAGGAACCATTTAGATGGGATCAGAGGATTTTCGGATTGGTGCTCAGGTTGCCTGGAAACGTTCCGGTTGATATGGCAACCAATACATTCATTCCTTCTGCAGAGAACCATCCATTGGATGCCATGTGTGATGTCACAGGAGGTGTGAATTCTCAAGAAAATTAAATAATTAAATCATAATTATAAATCATTCTGTCCAAAACAAATTAATCAGAAAAAATAATGCATTGATTATTCAAAGAATCTTTTTTATGAAATCCATAACATAGTCCTGTTAATCATTCAGAATTGTTTAAATTAATCCTCTCAAGTATTTTTGTTTGTTTTTGAAATTAGGTAGGTCGTATGCTGTGCACACCCAAAAGATGCTGAATGGAGCATTGGAAAGTTTAGTGCAGAAAGTTCAGGGAGGAGTGGTGATAAATTTTGAGAAAATAGGACCTGACCCTCCTCCTCTAGAAATCAAAACTGAGAATGGACTCGACAGCAATGGAAATACAAAAGGTATAATAAAAGACTTAATATTTTAAGGGAAGAAAGTGATCATTTTCTCAGCTTTTACAATCCAATTTAGTGCATTTTTTGACATGTAATTAAACTTAGAAAATTACAACAGAGCTAGTCTTGTACAGTGTAAGACACTGTAGTAGATGTAGGATAGATAATAGAAAGATGCTATCTGTTTGGACTCTCTGTATGTTACTCAATTTCTTGTATGCCCTCAAAGGCTCAAAATTGGTTTCAATGAATCTTATCTGTTGTTCAATTATGAAATTCAAGTAAATAATGTAAATATGAGAATTTTTGTCCTTAACCTATTGTGACAAATTATTGTTTTGAACAATTCCAGAAAACCAGGATATTAACACACCAATCAAGCTGGAGCTGGAAGAGGAGAAGAAGACAAACTCACCGATGATGGGTCAGTCCATCCCTAACAACAGCTGGCACAACTGTCGACGGCTTATCTATGTCCCCCGGTCAGCGCAGAAGGGCTACTCGGTCGGTCACTGGCCTATTCCTGAGGCTTTCTGGCCAGACACAACTAACTCAACTCTAGTAAGGCTAATTTATGTTTATCTGACTTCTTTTGTTGACAAGAAAATAAATTATGACGTTAAGGTTTATTCACGTTTGTTTTCAATGTATTGTTGTTAAATTTCAACAATTCTTTTTTTACCTAAGAAAAGAATCTGATCTTTTGTCTGTGTCATATTTAGTTCTTTTGTCTGTTCAAAGTTTGTTTTAATTCTACGTTATCTTTGTACGACCTCCCCACTCATCCCACCCTGTTGTGAAGTTTTACTGTATTACTGAGTCACCTGTGTCCAGTGCTCAGCACACCCTGCTTTGAAATTTTACTGTAATAATCTATTATCTTTGTGCAACCTCCTCGCTCGGCCCACCCTCCTGTAAAGTTTACTGTAATAATCTATTATCTTTGTGCAGCCTCCTCGTTCGGCCCACCCTGTGGTGAAGTTTTACTGTAATAATCTATTATCTTTGTGCAGCCTCCTCGCTCGGCCCACCCTGTGGTGAAGTTTTACTGTAATAATCTATTGTCTTTGTGCAGCCTCCTCGCTCGGCCCACCCTGTGGTGAAGTTTTACTATAATAATCTATTATCTTTGTGCAGCCTCCTCGCTCAGCCCACCCTTTGGTGAAGTTTTACTGTAATAATCTATTATCTTTGTACAGGCTCCTCGCTCAACCCACCCTGTGGTGAAGTTTTACTGTAATAATCTATTATCTTTGTACAGCCTCCTCGCTCAGCCCACCCTGTGGTGAAGTTTTACTGTTCTCCCTGTGAGCCTATGGTGATTGGAAACCTTCCATTTGATAAGTATGAGCTGGAGCCCTCCCCCCTCACCCAGTACATCCTGGAGAGGAGGCAGCCTAACTCCTGCTGGCAGGTCTTCATTAACGGCAGTGCTAAATATAGCGACGTGGGACATCCCTTTGGGTATCTGAAGGCCAGCAGTACCCTGAGTTGTGTTAACCTGTTTTTGATGCCATACAATTATCCTGTGCTGCTTCCACTATTAGGTGAGTGTTTTATTGATAAGGTGAGTGTTTTATTAGATACAGGTAATTGTAATTGTTGTATAAATTGAATGCAGGAACGTGAAATTTTAGAGATTGATTTTTCAATGAATCAAACTCAGGTAGGATGGACAAGACTTCAAGCAGGCGATCATCATGATTCCTCATCCACACATTTATAGGTTATTCATCTCATTCTTTGCTCAGTTTCAATGTAACAATGTAAAGACCAGCTAAATGCTCTGGAATTATTTTAAAATAAACTTAAAATTTTATTTTACTGGAAAATTGAATAAAGAATGAAATGAAATGACCTTTTGCACTTAAACAATATGAAGACCAATCAATGATAGATTTTGTCTTCTCAATTCAGCCTATCAAGGCAGCTTCCCCTCTGTCCAATGGGATTCCAGCTGGTTGCCATAGCACCCTAAAGCCTTCCTCTGATTGGACAGTGGATGGCAACAGCCTTTTCCTCAATCCACACACAAGTGAGGCATTTTCCCTCGAAAAGACATATAGATACTGTTAAAATTGGTTGGATGTTGATGTAAAGAAAACAAAAAGACTATACAAGAGCTTGTATATCTATATGTATGAATGATTTCATTAAACTTGAAATGCATAATGAAGAGGAAATGGTTTGCATAGAAATTAATGTGATGGAATTCTTTTATGGTATTAGAAGTGTTCCAAAATTTGAAGAAGAATTAAGAGTCTCAAGTGAAACTGGTAAAATTTGTTTTGCAACTTGATGAAATTATTTGCTCATGTGTTTATGTAGTGTTATCTTGCTTTATGTATTCAATTTTCAGATTTCTGTCCAGTTGGCTGAAATATAAACAGATTAACATCACTTTCCTCCCTATTTCCCTTTCAAATTGATAATTGTCCACAGTATTGACCAATTCCTGCTTTTCTTTCAGATGAATTGTTCAAAGTTCACAAGCTGAAGCCTACACAGAAATGGCGTAGTCAATTTGATACGTACCTCAAAACCATGCCATCTTACTATGCAGGGGTAAGTATCTCTTATGCTTTTTATACTTCGTATATCCATTTGAAACCAAATAATCACTTACCACATGCTAAACATGGATGCCCATTAAAAACAGGGAATAAATCAAATTTAAGATGAAAAAACCCTACCAGATGTAGGATTCCCATGGTAAAATAATTTTTTCATACCAGTATTTACTATAGACCAGAAAACACCAATTGGCATAATTTAAACAGCTATTTAAACTGTATAGCTAATTAGTTTTGACCAAGATTTTGACAATTAAGTTTCAATATATTAAGGTTGTCATGGGTTCAAATTTTGATGCTTATTGTGTAAAATTACATGTATATTAGAAAGTAAAGTTATTCTTTTTGTTTACAGCCCTTAAAAAGAGCCTTAGCAAGAATGGGTGCTCCAAATCTAGTCCCCGACAATATGGACAACAGTTTGAGTTACAGTGTAATCACTTACTTAAAGAAACTCAAAAACCAGGTTAGTACTAGACAGTAGCCTGAGTTATAATCACTTACTTAAAGAAACTCAAAAACCAGGTTAGTACTAGACAGTAGCCTGAGTTATAATCACTTACTTAAAGAAGCTCAAAAACCAGGTTAGTACTAGACAGTAGCCTGAGTTATAATCACTTACTTAAAGAAACTCAAAAACCAGGTTAGTACTAGACAGTAGCCTGAGTTATAATCACTTACTTAAAGAAACTCAAAAACCAGGTTAGTACTAGACAGCAGCCTGAGTTATAGTGTAATCACTTACTTAAAGAAGCTCAAAAACCAGGTTAGTACTAGACAGCAGCCTGAGTTATAGTGTAATCACTTACTTAAGAAACTCAAAAACCAGGTTAGTACTGGACAACAGCCTGAGTTACAGTGTAATCACTTACTTAAAGAAACTCAAAAACCAGGTTAATACTAGACGACAGCCTGAGTTATAGTGTAATCACTTACTTAAAGAAACTCAAAAACCAGGTAATCATTGATCAGGACTGATAAATTAAGTTTACTTGTACATTTAACAAGAGAAATGTACTGTTGAACCTTGTTATCTCAAACACTGATATCATGGTGTTGGATGCCATGATATTGTGTTGGTGTTTGATGGTAACCATGGATATGTCGAAGTGATTTGGAAGTCCCAAACACTTATTCTTTAAGTATTTTACCCTTGATGTCTTGAATCCTCAGGTATCTCAATTTTTTTTTTTTTTTTTTTTGTCCCATTGAGTGTGAGATAAGGGATTTGTGAAATCTATTCTTTGTATATGAAATCTATTCTTAATGGACAAGTTACATATTAAATTTATTCCTAATGAACAATATACCTTGGTAGTTGAAATATATCTTCTGATATGAATTCTTTTCCAAATGATTAGGTATATCGAATATATTCTTAGTGAACAAGATTAATGAATCTATTCTTCAAAACAAGATATGTGAAATCTATCCTTTTCTTAAATACGCAAGCTGTATGACATCTGAATTTGTTTTTCAGGCCAAGATTGAGATGGATCGGCTGATAGCATCTGTTGGTCAGAAGGTTCCTCTACATGAGGGCATTAAAGTGGATTCCAGGTTTGGTAGCTTACATCTGTAGATGTCAAATTTATGGGGGGTTTTGTTAAGCATGTATTGTTTTTTGTTTTAATTCTACAAGTATTACATTGTATCCCAAGGTCATGCATATATATTTGAAATTTTTTGCCCAAAACATACATAAATCTGCACAAGTATAATATAATAATAAAAACTGTAGATATAGATTATAATTCAAACTCCATATATATATGTGTGTCTTAGGTATGTCTTTGATTTTCAGAACTAAAACCTCCATTCTGCAGAGGCGGGACTTTAACCAGTTATTACAGAATGCAGGCGGGAATCTTCAAAACCTGAAGCAGGAACTGACAGATTTCAACACGTTTACTGTCGCAGTGGCTGACAGAGACATCAAACCTCAATACTATAGGTATGTCAAGGTCGTGTCTTATTTTGCTAGAAGTAGGTGAAGGTCATCTGTATGTGTATACAGTTATAAGAGGAATGTGAAAGCTGAGAAATTTAAAGAATTATGACTCGTTTTGTTCTTTAACTCATCGCATGTCTTCTATTTTTGTAGAAATCCATATGATATACCTCGAAAAAACCTTATAGATCAAATAGCTAGAATGAGATCAAATTTTCTACAAAAGTCTTACCATAGAACAAAACTTGTGGATGATGGTATGTATCAGAAATGATGAGAAGAATACTGTATTAATTCAGATAATCTTAAAAATATTTTGATTTTAAAAAAAAAAACTTGTTTGTGTTCAGATAGATAAACATGCCAAGTTATAAAGCTGTTAGTGTATGTATATGTATGTGTATTTACTTTAGTCATATTCTATGGAAAAAGTATATGTTTTAATTAAAGATTGATAAATAAATTAACAGATCAAGCTCACAGTATACCAGTCCAACAGATGGGTAACTACCAGGATTACCTGAAGAAACAGCCAGCTCCGCTAAGGGAACTGGAAACATCTCCCGCCAGACTTCATACCTTTGGAAATCCATTCAAAGTCAAGGTAAGTACATGTTCATTAGTGGCATGGGTACAGGACAGTCAAATTGACTTCTTATTCACCATACTTATTACCATCAGATAAGAACTTTGTCAAATTTTATTTCCTTGGAAACATAAGTTAGATAAAAATCATATCCAGTCTCAAAATGCGGGAGATTTTTGCAAATTTTACTTTGGATACTGCTTTCTATTTGGCTTTCTCATATGCTACAAATGCACATAGTAAAACACAGAGCTTGGAGCATTTACATGGGAACAAACTGTGTTTGTACTTTTGATGAATTTTGCTAGGACAATTTGATATTATGAATTAATCCTTTTGACTTAAACTTTCAGTTTATCATTTAGAGAAATTTTTATTTATGCATGGAATGTTGCAATTCTTTATTCAAAATTTGAAAATAAGTATTTATAGAATTTATTATCTAGAGCTGATTTTTAGTTTTGATCGTGAAAGGACAGCATTTTCAGTGTCCATTGTTATTACATTACAGATGAACATGGTTGATGAAGCAGATGACCCAACAATTGATAAACCGTCCAAACGACGGAGCTTAGAAAGTCCCTCTCCAGGTCCCAAAAGGCGCAAAGTCGGTCAGTATTTACATTTATAACAGTTTGTCTTCTCAGAACAGATAGTCTCTGCATGAACTTTCTGACTCCCCATCTCAAAATAATTCAAGAGTTATCTTTCTTTCAATACTGCACATTATTTTGGAATTTAAGTAAAAATTTAAGAGCACTGCTTCTATTTGTTAAATATTTTTCATGAAAAATTGCATGCTTTTGTTGATGCTGTAAAATTAAAATTTGGATATTGTAAAATCATCTACCTTTGTGTTTCTAAATCAACTAGGTCCCCTCCCCAAGGACTACGTGTTCAGTAGATCCCCCACCCCCTCCCCACCTGCCTCCCCGATACCAGACCAGATGCCTGAGGAAGACTTCAGTCCAAAGCCTGAACCTACAGGTATATTATAGAAATAACATTACCCTAATGTCTAAAAGTCAGGACAGTAAAATATTTTTTAATTTTTTTTTTTTTTTTTTTTTTTTTTTTTTTTTTTTTTTTTTTTTTTTTTTGGATGCTTATTGTCAAATTATTTGGTATATTTTAGTTATTTGTTGAGTTATATGATAATTTTGACAATTTTTAGATATACTCGTATTTCTGTTTATTTGATAATTATGGGTATTTCAGATTATGACATGGAGGAAAACAGTATGTCAGAACGAGAAGATGAAGATCAGCCGTTAATAATCGCTGAACCGGAACAAAGCGACACAAAGAAAAACCACGTCAGGGAAAATCATGTTCCGCATGGAGAGTCCGAGGAGCATCTTCTGTTTAATTCGGTGAATTCTCGACAGAAGAGTGTTAACAATAGTAAAAAGGACTCTCTGATATGGACTCACAACACCCGGTTAAAACACACTGTGTACAAAGAACTCAAGAAACCAGGACGAAGTAAGTGGAAAGGTGCTTAAGTAATTTTGTTTTTCATTTCTATTATGTCCTTGATATATTCAGTTTTGACTTTTTTTTTTGGTTGGAAAATGTAGATTTTATGTTTAATGTATTGGATTTGACCTCTATTCTCTTTCTTGCAGATTATGACAACTTGTTTCACCAGTTAAATTCAGTCCAGGGAAATGTGGAACTTAAGTGTGCATTTATCAGTGATGTTATCCGTGAAGCCAGTCGTTTCAAGAAAAAGGTGCTAATCCAAATGTTGGAACAGTTTCAAAACTCACTGATGCAAGTGGAGGGGAGGAAACGCAACAGCCTCACCATGGAAACCAGATGATATTAAATTTCTTGCACAGGACAATTTCAAGTTATTGTGACAAGATTATATTCCTCATTGATATTCAACATAAATGCATTGGAGAGAAAATGAAAATCATTCACATAGAAATTTACTGCATTATGAATTTATGAGGCATACATTTTGGAAGAAGAAAATGAGAAAATCGATCATGAAAAATCTTTAATTAAGAACATTAATGAGGATATAATTAGTAAGCAATACCACTGTGTTCAGTTTATATGAGATGTCATATTTGACATGCAGATCTGTGATATATCATCAATCATTACACAAGTATGTCATGTAAATCAGGACTTTTAAATCTTTTTTTTTTCTCAATGTCAATAAAAAGTTTATGGATTGTTAATTTAAATTTTTATCAATAAATATATATTTAAAACATATTTTGAATCGTCTTTGGAATTTTGTATTAATGACAGCTTTGTGCAACATATTCTTCTGTGAATTTTTTAATCTCCCAAAGTTTTCTTTTTTCCTTTTGGTCATTAAAGATGTCCAGAAATATTTTTCTCTTCATGTTTCTATACAACGTAGAAAGATTTTACCTACATAGTGAAGTGTTGTGATGAAATAAAGGGATATCAACCTATTTAACAACCCTGAGATTGCTTAGTCTTATTTTTTAAAAAAAAATTTTTTTTTGAACAAATATGATAAAAGAAGCAAGCCCCAGGACAAAAAAAAGAGAAATACTGAAAAATAAGAATTAAGAACAATTCTACGAACTTGGAGTAAAATAATCTTTGGTAAATTTGTTGTAGTTAAAGAAGACAAAATATTTTGTCCTAATTTTTAAAAAAAGGATTCAAGTTGGTTATAAAACGGTTTTTAGAAAGGTTTAAAAGTCTTGATTTATGTTATTTTTAGACATACTAACACCATCTTTCATATTTTTTTTTTTTACAGTTATATATTGTGTTTATATATTTTTTTATTGTTCGTTTTATTTATTTTTTCAGCAAACAATAAAATGTTTGAAGACAGTGATTCTCAAGTTCTTTTTAATTAACTATGTTTAGCTTCTGGGATACTATAGTGTCTTATCTGACAAAGTTCAAGGGAAGAGTGATGGTGATCATTTATATAACAAAGGTTTGATTACAATTTGAAGAAGAAGAAAAATGGAGTTAAATGATCATGATGATTGAAAGTTTGTACACTTTTTGAAAAATGCGTGAAGTTACATTTTGATTAAGTGGTTCTATGAATGTCGCTCGGTTTGAACATTCTACTGTACAGCATGACTTCAGAAGAATTCTTAAACTTGCATATATCTTAGTAAAAAGTTTTGAAACCACTCAGAATGTGACCCCTTCCTCCAACTCGCCACTTAAGGGAGAGAGGAACGTTCATCAATGACGAGGGCCGGGCTGGGCGGTGAAGCCCAGCAGCCCTCGCCCGCTTCGCGCTCAGAAGGGGCCACTCTGACTCATCGTCGTGGTTTCTGGTTCACACAGTTTTACCTGGTGTCCCGGCGATACATACTATAGAAATGATCCCTAAGAGTATGATCTTAGTTTATTTATAGTTAATATTACTTTATATAATATTTAAACCTTTGACTAATATTAAGTATGAAAATTTCCATGCAAGGCAATGCATTTTTATTTTCATAAAATTAGAAAGAGTAATTGCAATTTAGTTTTTTAAAATATGTAAGTAACAGATGTTTTTAATTATTGTTTAAACAAACAATGAATAAATTTCGAGATTATATATTTATTTTATTTTCCACTTTGCATAATAAGGAATACACATATATTGTAAGTATGCAGGTCGGCAATCCCCAAAGAAAGATAATTCAATCTGTATCCATGTTTCACCCTACTACAGTTATTGCTCTTTACTCAATTCCTCTCTCTCTCTCTCTCTCTCTCTCTGTGTAATACTAAATCTTACACGTATGTTGACAAAATGGGGCGATAGGATTGTATATGTACATATGCAATACCAGTTTGAAATTAATCCAGCATTGTAAATATGAGTTTGCAAGGCGAAAGGCTCTGCATGCCTAAGAAACAAATTGTTTCATAAAACGGAACAGAATATTCATTTCTAATATAAAGCAATAAAAAGACAAGCCAAATGGATAGTATAATAATTAGTACATGACATTGCTCACTTTAACAACGATCTTACGACAGTACACTGTATAAAAATATATGACTACATAACATGTTATCTCATACATTTGCCCACAAAATTATAATTTATTGACAAATTTCTTTTCTTTGAAGATCATATTTTTTCACGTTATCAAAAAATGAGTTTCATCATCTATACTGTTAGAATTACATACGATACACAAGCGATCTTCTCTAGGGATGTTGGTATACCTACCCACTTCAATTTGCAACCTTTTACAGGAAGTTCTTAATTAACAAAGACATCTTCTTTGATGAAAATTTTTAACTACGGATAAATAATTCTCATAACCCCAACTGTATTTTGTTCGAGTTTCACATATGTGCTGAGTTTGACATCACTATAGCTTTATTGACTTTTATACCAATTTAACATAATCTAACATGGTTATATTACAGTCTGGCTTAAATTTATGATGCCCATAACAAACTAGTTAATTCATCTCTGATATTCAGTATTTTTTCGTAATTTCTGTATAAATGTAAACCATGAGTTCTTGCTATATAGTCACAAAACATGCTAGGTCTTTTTCATAAAACAACCTGTTTCTTCGGCATTGCCTTCACGCTTTTCGCCCTGCAAATAAAGTTGGCAATCTTCTTGTTAAATATGAATTTATTTATTGAGTGGGATAGGAATTTGAACAAAATGTTAGTTTTAGATAAATTTTAGAATTGATGGTATGCATAAGATGAAAAGATGATTCATAAAAAAAAAATAATAATAATCGGAAAACCCGGGGATCTATATCGGAAGGAAGGGTGTTCTTAGACATAGTTGTTTTGTGCATTTACGTATACTAGTATTTTTATCTTCAAGGTCTAATTTAAAAATGTTGTCTTCCTGCTGTGGTCTCATCCTAGTTCCAGGAGAAATTCTTTCAACAAAGCTGATTTTTTTGCACTACAGTACTATGTATGACTAATAATCCTGTTGTATTTTAAAATGATAAACTGTTCTAGCCGATCTCCAGGGAAAAGAAAGTTATTTTAGAGATTTTTTTTTATTATACGATACAAAAGACTGACCTATTGTGGTCCAAACCTAGTTCAGAGAGTCACAATAAAGATGCTTGCTTACCAATACACATACACACACACACACACATATACAGAATAGAATAGAAAAGGATTTATTACCAAATCAGGGCCCAATGGGCATAAACATATAACATGTATAATTACAGATAACAGACAGAATACAACATATAATGAAGAGCAATTCTTCCATTTAGTACATTGGTGGTGTTTTGAGTTTCACTTGTAGACATAGGTTGTCTTGATTTAAGATATATCTGTACTCTTAATTGATACAACTTAATGTGCAATGATGTGCATATATATATATATATATATATATATATATATATATATATATATATATATATATATATATATATATATATATATATATATGACGAAATGACCTCTCCTTTCTTTTTAGATTTTTTGCTAAATATTCCAATATGAAACTTAGTCCTTTTAATGTGGTCCCACGGATCATGATTTATTCAAACTTAAAGGAAGCTTTCACACAGATTTTGTCTTCAGGTTCCATGGTTTACACGAACGAAAAGAACGATATTCTTCACGCGGTGACTGTCATGCAGGAACCTTAAACTAATTAGGCATCCTTTTCTTCTTTAAATAAAAAATTAGGTATTTAATTTGAATTATAAATGAGAAATATTCAGTAATCATATAGGTTTATCTTTATTAACAGTTTAATCAATGATCAATCAATTGACCAACCAGCAAAACTGCTGTAGCCGTTTGTATCACTACATATAGTGCCAGAGCTGATAGAAGGGCCAGTTCTAATGTAAACCTGACTACCCTGACCAACGTTACTCACGACCATTCCAGTAGCCGATCCAGAAGTATGGTAATAATCGTGTCCGTTTGTAAAGAGTTTGCCTTAAACCAAACCACTGAGTAAGAGGTCCGTTTGAAAATAACCGTTTCCATAGCAGGATCTTATTGTCTCCTTATCTTACTTGCTGAGAATAGATTGTACATGTATCGTGTATATGATATAACCATGATCTAAATATGTGCAATTTCTTATATCTGCATTAGGGGACGACCATATGATTCTAAAGGGGGGGGGGGGGGCTGGCAGATTTTGGAAATAAATAAAGTTGAAAATAAATAATATATCCTCGACTGCCAAGAAAATAAATAATCTGTCCTTGACTAGCGCCCCCCCCCCCCCCCCCCTCCACGAAATAGAGTTTTAGAGTTTTCCTTTTTTTTAATTAAAAAAAATTTTAAATCTGTCCTTGATCATATCTTGAAAATAATAACTTAATCTGTCCTTCACTGGCATGAAAATAAATAATCTGACTCAAAAAATGTTGCTACTCCCCCCCCCCCCGGGAATGAAATGGTTGTTAAGCAAAATAAATACATTCGTTATAATGAAGAGAACCAGAAATCTCTGGTGAGACTGTAACTCTATTGTTTTGAATTTAAACCGAGTCATATGAAGGAGATAAAAATAAATGTTTTCCAGATATGGACAATATTTTTTTTTCCTTTTGCTTGTCAAAAGTACGAAAGCCCATTGAGCTCGTTTTGGTAGGTAAAAAAAAAAATTCTTCGCTTTATAACGCGAAACTTTCGCGAATAAACGCATAACTTTCGCGTTATAACGCGAAACTTTCGCGAATAAACGCGTACCTTTCGCGTTATAACGCGTAACTTTCGCGAATAAACGCGAAACTTTCGCGTTATAACGCGAAATTATACATATATAGTCAAGTTACTTAGGAACCTGTGATCTTGACTGACAGATAAAAAACATGAACGCAAGGGGGACTTCTATGAATTTATAAATTACATTTCTTCAGAAGATGTAAAAGAGAATTGATGCGAGAAATGGATAGATTAGTGTTGATTTTGCATTTAATCTCAAAGCCCTACTAATTAATTAAATGAATATTCCTTTAAAGATTTCCTTGTTTTTCACTTGTTTAATCAAAGAAATTCTGTAGACTAATTTTTTTTCTCAGGAAGATCTCCACTCGTTGCTTTCTTTGAATAAATTGTCAATGTTTTCGTAAGTAATGGTATGACCAAGTGGTGCAACCTTAAAATACAATGTTGTATTTCTACAGTGAGTCTATATCGGAGATGAAATATTTGATACGAATATTTGTCATCGAATTTTCACATTAGGTTACTCATGTGATGTGACACAGTTGTTCCGTGAAATATACAAATTTACCTCATTGTTGTCAATTTTCTGAGATCTTTTATTTCAAATTCTATACAGAGTGTTCAATCTAATTGAAATTAGACTTGTATTTTCGCTCCTCTACCATACGCTTCAAAACTTGTATTGAACAGCATTGAGAAAGACAAAATGTGACGGCAAAAAAGATTAAGAAAGAGGAAAGACGCATTCAATGGCGAGAAAACATAAAATTTCAGCTCGTGATAATCCAAGTTCAAAATAGTCTTTCGTTTTTCACTGTAATGAATAAACTAGATCATTAAAAATTAAAACAAACTGTAGACTTATGCAATTGTCTCTGTTTTACAGGGAAAGTTTCGCGTTATAATGCGAAAGTTTTGCGTTTATTCGCGAAAGTTACGCATTTATTCGCGAAAGTTACGCGTTATAACGCGAAAGTTTCGCGTTTACTAGTATTCGCGAAAGTTACGCGTTTATTCGCGAAAGTTTCGCGTTATAACGCGAAAGTTTCGCGTTTATTCGCGAAAGTTTCGCTTATAACGCGAAAAGTATATTTTTTTTTATCTACGAAAATGAGCTCAATGGGCTTTCGTACAAAAGAATTTCTAGGTTTATTTTTTTTTATAGTAAATATGGATCCCCTGGAAAGAATTCCTGGATCCGCGCATGATTGTCCAATTCTAGTAACCACGGCAATAGCATCTTTGAAATCAACAACAGCATTGGTGGATCAAGAGGGTGGAGGAGTCCGGGGGTTGGAACCCCTCCCCCTTTTTTATTTTCGCAGAGAGAAAGAGAGAGAGGGAGAGAGAGAGGTTTTTTCTGTAATATAGATTTCAATACAGGGGCGTATAGCTTCCACTGTGGCGATGAGGCAACTGCCTCACTAGATTTTTCAGCACCACCTTCCCACGATTAATAATACATTGCAGAAAATATTTGTTTTTAAAACTATGGTTCTTGTTTAACATTTCTATAAAATGTTATACTTTCATATAAAATTAATAAAATATGTATTCATCTTCGAATGTGTTTGAATAAACATTTTTATTTACTCCATTAAATACTTTTGAAGTATATGTAGTATCATATGCTTGAAAATACGGATAATATTTAATTGCTGAGGTAAAATTTAGAAATTTATTTCAAAATTAAGGATTATCTCACTCATGCATAGCTCTGATCCTTCGACGTATTTGGCTCGAGTATTTGGCACCCCTTTTTCAGCTCTTCAAATTTTTTTTTTAGTTCGGATTTCGAACGTTCCGGTATGAGCATCACTGAAAAGACATAATTTTTCGAAATGCGCATCTAGTGCATCAAAATTGGTACCGTATAAGATTTACATGCATGCTAAAGTATTCAATGATGAAATGAAACCGGTAAAATTAAGAAATTTCTGTCCAGGACAAGTATGTTTTTTACATTCGAAAACCCCCAAATTAATTTTCTGCCCCCCTCCCAACCAGGGCTCCGCCCTGGACCTGCTGGGGGCCTGAGGCGGCCCCCAGACCCCTGGCAGCAATACTTTTGCCTCGCTAGAATTTAAGGTCAAGCTACGCCCCTGCAATATCTGCTCTTTCTGCACTCTAGATAGAGTTTCGCGTATTTGCTTTCCTCTGTGTAACCTTCTAAACTCCGTGTCCCGGGCCCAACCACCCACAAGTATCACGCAAGGATTCATTTTGATTATCATCAGTAAGATTCCGGCAAACTTTAGCTATGCAATTTTTGGACTATCTTCTGAAGTATCAAACTTTAAGAAGTACATGTATACATAAAACATTATGAAAGGGAGTGTGCATCAGAGAATATATTTCTCTCCTTATATTATGGAGATATTTTAATCAATGAAGAGAAAGATTTTAAAATGTTCCCGTGTAATGCGGGCGGGGTGAAGGGATTCACTTTTACTAAGAATAATCTTGCTGTAGTTTTAATATGGAAGTTTTGTGCTGGAAGGTAAAAATGCACAATTTAAATTCAAGTATTTGAAAGAAAAAATGTACCGAATAGTTAGAGGAAGCCCCCCCCCCCCCCCCCCGAAATACTTTAGTAGGATTTTAGAGTGAGGTGCCAAGGAGGTTGTCTCCTTTGAAAACCGTTTTTACGGGCTTGAAGTGCCTGTGGTGTGATTCTATGCTTGAGTATTGGGGGCACCGACCTGGAACCCCCCCCTTTTCAAAAATTGCAGGATCCGCCCCTGAACAGGTGCATAGTTTTGCAATTTGATGCAGCTTACTTGACTGATGAAGATAATTTAAAATCAGATAAAAATAATCAGTAGATTCAATAATGTATCTCATTATTATTAATGTTAAGCTACAGAACTGTGCATGTTCTGTAGCTCTCTGACAGTTTGAAAATTCAAACAAACCAGAGGCAGCTCTATGGGACAGAAAATTTTCACAGACATCAGTTGTAGAGCATAGAGGCAGCAACTTAAAAGTACTCTATAAGCTTTACCTTTGAATGCATAGGATTAAGACAGACAAACATGTAATTTTTCTTTCTATTTCTTTCTCAACTACAATTCTGAAACTAACCCCTTTGTAGGTTGGAAAGTTGAAAGGTCTATTCGACACTAAAGACAATGATTTAGACAGAATTGAATATTTTTTTTTTCATAATACTACATGAAGTTGCTTGAATTCGAACAACTTGCAGCTTTTTAGCTCATTTGAGCCAAAGGGTGAAATGGAGCTATCCTGATCAATATGAGAAAAAATCTTTAAAAATCTTCAATGTAAGTAAAACAGGGCCATTATAAATTTCATCAATATGCAACTATTCTCAAGTAAACTTTAGATTTACGGCAAAACTTTTTTGCCTCACACAAAGTCAGAATATTTTTTCTGGTATTATATGTGTTCCCATGCAAAAAGTATGGTATCTTTTAATTAACCGTATGTTTTACTCATAAACTTGATACTTTATTTTCTTTTCAATGGTCCCAAAGTGGATGTCAGAATGCAAAATTTTTGAAAATGACATTCTGTGGCCACAAAGCCCTGTATAGGATCATTGGAAGGTAAATGAAGGAACAAGACTGGGAGTTAGATATATGGTTTATTAAAGGATACCATGCTTTTAATGGGGGAATGCATTTAATACATAAAATAATACCCTAGCGTGCGAGAAAAAAAAGCTTTGCCGTTAATTGAAGTTTTTTTTTTACAATGCTTTCATCTGTAACTCTGGTTTGTCTGTCCAAATTTTCTAGAGAGCTACAGTTCTGCAGTTGAAACGTCAAATGCCTGTGTAGCAGGCAATATTCAAAAGATAAAACTTTCAGCTTTCAATTCAGGTGGGCTTAAAAGTTGACAGACTGATGTTCACCCAAGCTTCTACAACTGGGTCAGTTGGGCTAAAAACAGGATGAGCTCTGTTCACTTTTAAACATTGCTTTTATTTTTATTTCTCTTCCTTTTCTTTTTGACTTTTTTGTCATTCCCAAACACAGGCAGATACTCAGTTTCCTGATATTTCCTAAATTTAACCTGGACACCATCTTCTTTATTATTTTTTCTCTTTCTACCAAAATCTGGAACTACATCCATGTTCACCTCACCAGAACTGACTGAAAATGGAATGAAGTCTGCTCCAAAAGATTTTGCCGCAAATGGACTGTCTTTTTTGTAAACATAAAACTGAGAATAGTCCGGTTTTTCTACATCCTTTTGTGTATTTAGGAACTCTGCATCCTTTGTAGTTTTTTCAGCCACTGATTTGGCTTCTTCCTTCACAGTTTCTGTACTAGCTTTTTCCTTCATATGTTCTGTATCAAGATCTGTGATTGGTACATTTTTGACAGACACACTTTCTATCCATGGCAGAGTTTGTACAGGAATAAGGTTTGAAATAAACTCCACAGCTTCATCTAATGATGAGGATTCCTTGGGCTGGTTTTTCTGAAGTTAATCAAAATTTGAATCTTTTATTCTTTTCTTGAAGTTATAAAATGAAACAAAGATTTTGAAACAAAATATATGCATGTATTCTATTGAAATTTTATCCACAGCATACCTCATAAGATTTCTTTTAATAACATTGATAATATACATGTATTTTGAATGATAAATTTAAGAATCTAGAATCTGTATAAGAAATACCTATGTATTTGCTTCCTCTTTCAATATAGTTGGGGGGGGGGGGAATAACAGTAATCATGTACAAATATTTTACAACAGTGTAACAGCTAGTGTAAGTATTTCTTAATATAGCTCTCTCTAAGAAAATCTTATTTGATAACATTTCAAATTTGGAATTGCTGTAGAAAGGAACTTAGCATACTGTTAATGTACTTTTTTCCATGGGGTCAAAATTTTGGGTAGAAAAATTACACAGATTTCTTAAATTGCCATTATATGCCTTAAATTTACTTTATGTGCTGGGACAAATTTCCGCAGAAAATTTGTGACCCCATACATAGCGTAAATTAATACTATGCAGAAAAATGTACTTCTACAGTATTCAACAATGGTCGTATGATGAAAAAAAATTGGATCATTACCTTGATGCCTATTGCCATCAGTGAAGAAATTTTCAAGACAGGACACAGCGTGCTGCTCAAATTTGAAATGAGAGAGGCTGGGCAGCTCCTACTGGCTGCTAGGCCAATCAGATGTTGTGTAAGCATATCAGGCTTGCATGACTGACAAGCAAGAACCAATTGCATTTGATCTCTCTCAAGGCCTTTAATAACTTCTTTAATCCCAAAACAGAGCTTTGATCTAAAAATACAGGTACTAGAAAAGTCAGATAATTTTTTTTTACACGGAGTATTTATGGCTTGAGATTGTAACATGTCAAAATTAATTCTCTATTTATTTCAACACTTTGAGGTGAATAATCTCAGCAATTAATCATGAATTATAAATTGTTTTTATTTAATCATAGGAGTTAGCGTACCTATCAATTTTACCAAAATTTTCAGTAAATATTATAGGCATTATGTATTTTTTCATTTATTAAAAATTTTGGTGAAATTGATAGGTATGCAAACTCCTGTGATTTAATTTAATAGATGCAAAGGTACATTTTACTTTTCAACAATATTTTAAAAATGCATGGGGAAGACAGCATTACTGGTACATGTACACATACATTATATGTTTTCTTTCTACAGGAAGTACAGAACTTTTGACCCATTTTCACAATGACAAAATAACCAGCTTTGATGTACTAGAACTTAAATGACAGTCTTGTACTGAAACCTATGAATTATGATTTTTTTTAAAAACAAAATAGTGCTAAAATATTACATTTCAAGGTTTGTAAAATAGGTCACATATATACAGTAATCATACAAAAGCAGATAAAAAGACTACAGATCTTCACTAAAATTACCTGTCAGACTTGATTCTACTCTCCCTATCAGTCTTTTCCTTTGTCTGCACATCAGTTGATGGTTCTGGCCCCTGGGGCTGAACACTTTCTTTATCCTTCACATCTCCTGTGCTTTTGATGACTTTCTCCAACGTATTTTCCCCGTCCCTTCCCTGCTCTGATGCACCCTCCAAACCAGCCTCAGGCAGGTCTTTTACACCATTCCTCTTGTTTTTAAGATTGCTTTTACATTTTAGAACTCTCTGCTGTTTTGTTTGTCTTCGTCTCTGTTCTCTCTCCTCTGCAATTCCTAATGGTTTTATTGATCTGAAGTACAAACATGAACTTAATAACTGGTAATAACAAATAATAGTTGATGATAAACTTAATTTTCAAAATCTTCACAGAATATACAGCCTGTCTAATCCAACATTCACTGGGATACAAATTTGGTGACAGAATAGACAGGGTGTTGGATTGTACAGTGTAAACAATATGGAAAACAGTAAAGTGGGAATCAAAATAAAGACTGGAATCCACAGTGAAATGGATTGCACAGGTGTCAGATTAGACAGATTTTACTGTAATTACAATAACTAGTAAAATTTTTTGTATTCAATATTTATCAACTATGAGAGTCAAAGATAAAGCACAACAGTTGTTTTACAGTATTTTTTTTTTGGTTAATTCTAAATTTACACAGTTTTGGTATGTTACTACTAAAGATACTGAAGAAAAAATAGTGCACAAGTAACTTAATAGTAATTCATTTACTAGGTCTCAAGTTCTGGCAGTAAAAAAAATGCCAGAAGAAATTCCTTAGTTGTCCTTACTCAAAACAAGAGGCCCATGGGCCACATCACTCACCTGAGCACATTGGCTAGGCAAAAGCACAAATCAGTTCAGTATTGAAAAGATTATGGGGGGGGGGGGGGGAGGGGGGGGCTTGAATTTTAAACTACCTGATGATGCTTCCATGTCAAAATAACAAATGGCTTTGTTGTACTTGAAAAGATTTAAAAAAAAAATTCCCATATATTCCTTTGTAAAAATTTGATCCCCCATTGTGGCTCCTCCCTATCCCAGGGGTCATCATTTGAACAAACTTGAATCTACACTACCTGAGGATACTTCCATATCAATATGACTAAACATAGCTTTTCTGTTCTTGAGAAGAAATATTTTTTCTATATGTTCTTATGTAAAACTTTCGATCCTCCATTGTGGCCCCACCCTACCCTAGGGGGTCATCATTTGAACAAACTTGAATCTACACTACCTGAGGATGCTTCCATATCAATATGACTAAACATAGCTTTTCTGTTCTTGAGAAGAAATATTTTTTCTATATGTTCTTATGTAAAACTTTCGATCCCCCTATTGGGCCCCACCCTACCCCGGGGTCATCATTTGAACAAAACTGAATTTACACTACCTGAGGATGCTTCCATATCAAAATGACTAATCATGGCTTTGCAGTTCTTCATCAGAAGAAATCTTCCTATATATTTCTATTTCAGACTTTGATCCTCCATTGTGGCCCCACCCTACCCCAGGGGGTCAACATTTGAACAAAACTGAATCTACACTACCTGAGGATACTTCCACATAAATATGACCAATCAGGGCTTTGCTGTTCCTGAGAAGAAGATTTTTTAAAGATTTTTCCTATATATTTCCATGTAAAACTTTGATCCTCCATTGTGGCCCCGCCCTACCCCCGGGGGTCATGATTTGAATAAACTTGAATCTACACTACCTGAGGATGCTTCCATATAAATATGACTCATCACTGCTTTGCTGTTCTTGAGAAGAAGATTTTTAAAGGTTTTTCCCATATATTTCTATGTAAAACTTTGATCCTCCACTGTGGCCCCGCCCTACCCCAGGGGGTCATGATTTGGACAAACTTGAATCTACACTAACTGAGGATGCTTCCATATAAATATGACCAATTAGAGCTTTGCTGTTGTTGAAAAGAAGATTTTTAAAGATTTTTCCTATATATTTCTATGTAAAACTTTGATCCTCCATTGTGGCCCCGGCCTACCCCCGGGGGCCATGATTTGAACAAACTTGAATCTACACTACCTGAGGATGCTTCCGTATAAATATGACTCATCATGGCTTTGCTGTTCTTGAGAAGAAGATTTTTAAAGGTTTTTCCAATATATTTCTATGTAAAACTTTGATCCTCCACTGTGGCCCCGCCCTACCCCCGGGGGTCATGATTTGAACAAACTTGAATCTACACTACCTGAGGATGCTTCCACATGAGTTTCATCTTCCCTGGCTTTGTGGTTCTTGAGAACAAGATTTTTAAAAGATGCTATTAATTTTTCACTAATTCTTTATTATCTCCCCTTGAAAGAGGGCGTGGTCCTTCATTTGAACAAACCTGAATCCCCTTCACCCAAGGATACTTTGTGGCAAGTTTGGTTGAAATTGGCCCAGTGGTTCTTGAGAAGAAGTCGAAAATGTGAAAAGTTTACAGACAGACGGACGGACGGTGTCGCATAATTTACGTTCCGGGTAACTTAGCGTTCCGGCCGGAACGCTAAATACCTATAATATTGGTTCCGGGCTATAATAAACGTTCCGGCCCGCGTAAGTTTGGTTCCGGCCATAATAAACGTTCCGGGCATCCAAACACCCTTTTAAAAAATTTATTTATAATTAATATTTACAAATAATTTGGATTTTTTTTCTCTTAACGGGTTATACGATGCAGCAGCATTTACATGTGTAAATGTATATCGATTTAGAAGAAGTCCCAATATACGGTCTTAAATTAATACATGTACCAATACTATAATCCATGGGATTATACGTAACTATGTTGGTTCTTTGTATAAACAAAAGGAACGCGAAGGTGTGAAACTTGTTTACATTGATATATCCCATCATGTTGTTTTATGACTCCCTTCTATCGATACAATATGCAGTCATGCGAATCGCTGTACATTGTATGTCATTTCCGCAATTTTAAAGGAGTTTTAGGCAAGGGGCACCCTGATCAGCTGGTAATGCTGATAGATGAATTATATTTACGATTTAAAAAAATTATTGGATAATATTTTAATATCTTTATATATATTTTTTCAAACACCCATTGCGTTTTTGTAAAGCCAACTATATCATTAAATCACAATACATGAATGAACTTAATAGGAGATGTATGGGCGAAGGACTTGCAAAGGTGTGAATAGACATGATATTTCAGCGGAAAATTTATAAAGCATTTACTTTGAAGAAAAACAAATTCCTGTTATAATTCAATAAAAATTTTTGTGGATTTTTTTTTCTCGGATAAAATTTATTTTTTAAACAATCAATGTAATGCCAGCAAAGGTTTCGACACAGCTAAAAACTATATTGAATAAAACTCAACTCATTTTTATTTATACAGGTAAGTGCAGGTATCAGCATTTGTAATAATAACTCTGAGCAGGAAATGTAATACAGATACAGATTTGTATTTTACAATCCTGAGAAATGAATAGTATTGTTAAGTCTGCGCAAAATCCTACACCCTCCCCCCGCAGGGGGCAGAAAACTTAGCCCGACTGGCTAACGGAAGAGGCATAGATATAATAATATTTTACATAACAATTTATTGAATGTCCTTATGTATTTTGATTTCCGCTTAAATATCACATTTTTCGCTAAAAATACCATGTATTCAGAACTGTTTTGTCACCTACCTCTATTTTCAAAAGGCATATCTGAATGATATATATATAAATAAACGAAGTTTCAAAACAATAATTACATGTATTTGGAAAGAAGAAGAGATTACTCTGTAATTCTGTTAAAACATGTTTTCCGCTATAGAATGCAGTGGAAAATGGAAAATATCCCCCTCCCCCCGTGAAACGAAAATGCGGCGTGTAGTTTTCGTCAGTTTAAAACTGCACAGCTCCATTTCAAGTTAGTCGAATTAGGCTTTCATCTTATAATCTTGAAAATGAGACAGGACGACATAATAAAATACTTAGGGAGAGTGGAATGTGTAGAATGTGTTAAAATGAACATGCGTGGATCTAGAAATATTTAAAAAGGGGGGGGGGTGAAGATGAAACGAGAGTTGTTATAACGTACGAACGAAAATTTAACTTGGAGGGGGCAGTGGTGAAGTAGAGGATGAATACCATTTTGTTTTTAAATTGCCTGCATTTTGAAAAGCTTCTTTAAAAATATGTCGAGAAGTATTACTGACAGAAGTCTTTTTTTTTCAAATTTGTACAATTATTAAGTGCTCACAACGTCCATGATCTCTGTAATTTTGGGACATATATCCATTATGCTTTTAAGTTGAGAGAAAGTTTTTTCTTATATGATATGGTAATTCTCCATGATATCATTATACATGTATATGACGATTGTGTAATCTATAAAACTACCATACAATGCCATTGTGTATTATTTTGCATTGTTTGTTACTGTTGAAATGTGATAAGGTACTGTATATGTCTACAGCAATTAATAAATAATAATAGACTTTTAAAGCTAAAATTGAAAGACTATGTGTCAAAGACAGGGTTACATACTCACATTAAATACTGGATTTGTTTTAGATTAATAGTTAAAAAAAAGTTCAAACGCTTTAATGTAAACACATTAGGTAAAGTGAGAAGTAATAAAAAACAAAATGCATTTGTGAAACACTGATGCTCCCGCACGGCAGTCTTTTGTGAAGGGTAAAGTTTCTAAAGTGCAAGATAAACTCTAAGGCCAAGGTCAAGAGATCAAAAATGTTGTTTTCCAAAAAAGGACTTGTATCAATGAAAATACCTGTGAAATATGAAAGCCCAAGAACCAACCGTTCAAAAGTTATATATGGCCAAGGTTATAGTTTTTAAAAAGTGGGACAAACTCAAAGGGTCAAAATCAATGGACCAGTCACATGAAATATACATGTGAAATATAAAAGCCCTAGCATGAAATGTCGAAAGTTATGGCCAAGGTTAATTTTTTTTAATAGTTCAAACTCCAAGGTCAAGGTCAAAATTGCTGGTATCCTAGAGAAAGTCTTGTCACAAGAAATACATCTGTGAAATTAAAATTACTCTGGCTTTTGTAACATGGAACGTCTATTATAACCGTTAACTTGGTTCCGGGGTTGTTTTATCTGTGTTTTAAAGTGGGAGAAAATGAACAGGTAACAAATAGCTTTGAAATTATTCTTATATAAATATTGCATGTAGCTGAGTGCACCCCAAGAAAACCACTGTCAACCGAGGCGCAGCCGAGGTTGACAATGGTTTTCGAAGGGTGAAAATTTTCAATGTTACATTCAACTACATGCAATATTTATTATACTATACTGAATTTTTATACAAATACATATACATGTAACAGTGTTGCAATGTTGCATGTTGCTACGCTGGAGGGCGTGGCTTCATCATTCAGCGGGTAATCGTGTCTTTTAACAAAATAATGTTTCTCGACGAATCAATTTTAACTAATTTACATGAAAGTATAATATCAGAAATTGTAATCCGGAACATAATTTATGGTTCCGGGCTACTTCATCTTCGTAATAAAGTGGAAAAGAAACAACCTAGTAACAAAAGATGTTTGAAAATACACAGTAATTGTAACCCGGAACGTTAATTATGACCATAATTTTAGTTCCGGGCTACTTTTTCTTTGTAATAAAGTGAAAAAGAAATAACCTTGTAACAGAAATATCTGAAAATACTCTCAGCAATTCTAACCCGGAACGTTGATTATGACCATAATTTTAGTTCCGGGCTACTTTTTCTTTGTAATAAAGTGGAAAAGAAACAACCTAGTAACAGAAATATTTGAAAATACTCTCAGCAATTCTAACCGGGAACGTTAATTATGATCAAAATTTTAGTTCCGGGCTACTTTTTCTTTGTAATAAAGTGAAAAAGAAATAACCTTGTAACAGAAATATTTGAAAATACTCTCAGCAATTCTAACCCGGAACGTGAATTATGACCATAATTTTAGTTCCGGGCTACTTTTTCTTCGCAATAAAGTGAAAAAGAAACAACCTACATGTAGTAACAAAAGATGTTTGAAAATACTCTTCGCAATTGTAACCCGGAACGTTAATTATGACCATAATTTTAGTTCCGGGCTACTTTTTCTTCGCAATAAAGTGAAAAAGAAACAACCTAGTAACAAAAGATGTTTGAAAATATCTAGCAATTGTAACCCGGAACGTTAATTATGACCATAATTTTAGTTCCGGGCTACTTTTTCTTTGCAATAAAGTGAACAAGAAACGACCTAGTAACAAAAGATGTTTGAAAATATCTAGCAATTGTAACCCGGAACGTTAATTATGACCATAATTTTAGTTCCGGGCTACTTTTTCTTTGTAATAAAGTGAACAAGAAACGACCTAGTAACAAAAGATGTTTGAAAATACCTAGCAATTGTAACCCGGAACGTTAATTATGACCATAATTTTAGTTCCGGGCTACTTTTTCTTCGTAATAAAGTGGAAAAGAAACAACCTTGTAACAGAAATATTTGAAAATACTCTCAGCAATCAGGGTTTTTTTAGGGGTCGTAGGGGGCCTGTAATAGGCCCCATTCCCAATGGTAAAAAGTGTGTGTTTTTCCCAATTTCATCAAAGAAAATTCCCAAAAGATGATTTGAAGCATGACATTAAAGTCAAATAATTCTAAATATTATAGAAAGAATAGCAATTACAAGTTAAACTGATTTTCAATAAGATTTATTGAATATAAATAAGTCAGTGAATGCCTTGCAAGTAAAGAAATGGCTCTTATTTGAATTTTTTCTAGAAAAATGTGAATTGTGATATTTTTCCCAATTTTAACTAAATGTCGCAAATTTTTCCCAAATGGAAAGGCCCAGGCCCTTAATTTTAAAACCTAAAAAAAACCCTGATTATTCTAAAGCGGAACGTTAATTATGATCAAAATTTTAGTTCCGGGCTACTTTATCTTTGTAATAAAGTGAAAAAGAAACAACCTTGTAACAGAAATATTTGAAAATACTCTCAGCAATTGTAACCTGGAACGTGAATTATGACCATAATTTTAGTTCCGGGCTACTTTTTCTTCGTAATAAAGTGAAAAAGAAACAACCTAGTAACAAAAGATATCTGAAAATACCTAGCAATTGTTACCCCGAACGTTAATTAATTTTTATTCGTAATAAATTAATTAATTTTTCTTCGTAAAAGAAGTGGAAAAGAAACAACCTAGTACATGTAACAAATATGTTTGAAAATACTCTTCGCAATTGTAACCCGGAACGTTAATTCTGACAATAATTATGGTTCTGGACTACTTTATCTTTGTTATGAAGTGGAACAGAAACAACTTTGATACAAAAAAGTCTTGAAAAAACTTTACTATTATCTCTTTATAAGGTGGAATAAAATGAACAGGAAACAAAAATGTTTGATATTACTCTCAGAAATTGTAACCTGGAATAATAATTATTTTAATTTGCAAATGATAAAAAAAAATTAACAATCTTACATTTTTGCAGATGGTATAATTTAAACTCCTCCATTGGGGGGGGGGCTCAGATAATTAACTTACATTTTTTTTTTTTTTTTTTTGGAGCTGTTATAACGTCCTCCTTTTTTTAAATTTGGGGGAGGGGACTGAGATTTAAAAAAAAAATGGAGGAGTGTTACATTATTGCAGCTTGCCTTTTGCCTACATGTATATATATTTGATTTTTTCTCTACAAATTTTGATATTCATTAAACATAATGGTATGTATAAAGCGACAGAGTTTTAAAGTGTCATAAAAATTGTCATTTTTTTGTGTTTTATGTTCAAAAAACACCGAGGAATAAAAGTTATTTCCCAAACATATTAAGGGGTGGGTGGGTAGGACATGCATGGAAGTTACAGAAAAGTGCACTTCAAGGCCTTTAAAACATAAAAAAAAAAATATTTAAAATTTGCTAAAACCTTTATCTTATTAAAATATTTGAGCTAATTCAGTTTACCTCACTGCTATTTTCACAATCAACATGGCTGGTCTTTACTTTTCATATTTCAACCTTGTTTTTTTTTTCTTCCTACGGTCTTTAAAAAACAACAACAACATAATTTTCATTAATTACTTGTGTTTGTTTATTCTAAGGGAATAAACCACGTTTGTTTCATTGCAGAATAAGCAGCATATTCATGAAGTATTCATTGTTAATTTATCACAAAAAAACTATATAGCTATCTTGAATTATATATTTTATGTTTGTTTATTTCTAATGGGATATTAACGATATTTTCATGCCATTTTAGTGATAACATCTATGAGGAATGGATCGAAGCCATGTATTCGAGGCTCGACATTGTGGAATTTGCAACACGTGTAATATCATTTAAACAGAGAATGCATCTCTGTAAATACATATACCATTCTGTATTTAATTCTTTACTTTATCAGATTATAAAATTAAAATTAACTGATCAAATTTATCTTTGACATTGTGCTTCTTTTTAGGCTTGTGTAATCTCAGTCTAGTTTATCTTCTATCCTCTTTACCCTGTAAATACCGGGTCTGCGTGCATCCAAGCGAGAAATTCACACCTGACATGCACTAAATAAACAAAGGGACTTAATTTGTATGCATTAGATTAACAAAGCCTTTCATGCGACCAAATTTTCTTTCATGCCCCAAATTTTATTCGGTGTACATGTATCAGAAAGCGTATTTCACCATCTTTACTTAGGCTATTTATTTATTTATTTTTAAAACTGGCTGTACAAAAAGGGCATGACGCCTTATAAAAAGAACATTGCGCCACATGAAAATGGCATGCCGCTGCGCCATGCTTAATCCTCAAGGAAAAAAAAAACTACTTCTAAGGTTCAGTATAGAATGAAAACTGGACGATAATAATTGAGAGACTCCGCGATTCGAAGATTGCAGCCATGGCCGGAACCAAACTTACAGTAAAATCCGGAACAAATATTATGATTTTAAGGTTCCGGCTGGAACGCGAAGTATCCGGAACGTAAATTATGCGACAACGGACAGACAGACGGACTACAGACAAAATGTGATCAGAAAAGCTCACTTGAGCCTTTGGCTCAGGCGAGCTAAAAAGGAGGAAAAAGTATTACCTTTTCTCTCTCTTAAACAGATTATTTACAGGTGACTTAATGACTCTTGATAACTCGAAGTCCACGGGACCATGGTAAAACTTCAGAACTTCAAGAGTTCAGAAATTTCAGGGTTACTTGATTGGTTTTAAAATTATTCTAACTGGAAGATTTTGATTCTCCATTCCCAAAATAATACTTATACATGTGTTTTTTTAACAGTGATATTTATTTGCATTTAGGTAAGTTAACAGATCTGGAGTATGAATAAAATTACAATAAATACATATTGTCATTTTATTTAATTATTTTATGTAAGGGGACATCATAAAACAGTATTTACTCAAAAGACAACCATAAAAGGGTAACAGTATAAACAATTTGTATTTTTTTTTTACTATCAAACAAGTATATTTCATAAAAGATAAAATGTTGATATACATGTATTTCAATTACATAAAAAGACACCCATTCGTTCAAGTTCATTGTATTATACATAACATATCTGACCTCTGATCACTAGAGTTAAAAAAATATCAGGACGAGGGACCTAGAGAGATCAAGGACTTCAAGAGATCAGAGTTCAATTCATCAAGAGTCACCTTTACTTCATCTGAAATGTTTTCACAAATTTCATAATTTTACTGATTTTCTAAATAATAATTGATGGATTAATTAATGTATGAGTATTTACAAATATATACATGACTTACTCTACTAATTTCTGCAAAATCTGTTCCTGTGTTTCTGTTGTTAAAGTAGGACTGAAAAAAAAAATGTAAATAATTTTGAATTTAGCTACAAATACATTCTACATCATAATGAGTCATCAAAGTTTGAATTTTTTTTTTGTTCATAAATACGTTGGGGAAAATTGAAAATATTATTAGACTAAAAAAGAAATGCAGCTACAAAAATTTGCTGAAAATTTTGACGACATTGTCTTAGCACGTATAGTTAATATTACGGGTGAAACGTTACTAAAACTTGTAAATTAACATTTAAATGAACAGCAATGAACTAAGAGGTTCTGTATTAACAGGAGAATACATGTCATCTTGAATTTTAAGGCTATAAGCTCAGAAAATTTTGATAATAAATGAAATTTACCAGTTTTCTTTGAATACATGTGTTGCTATTACACTAGCATTTATTTTACCTTGTAAGCAAGGTTATACAATGGCACTGAAGAATTCATTTGATAATTGATAAATCTGGTCCAATGATTGCAAGTTCAATTTAAGGTCAAGATCTAGTAAAAGAAGAGTGCCCACAGATTTCTCAAATTTGAGTTACAAATTCCTTTAGTAATCAATTATTATAATTATAGCTAAGTAAATTGAGGTGTATTGGGACATAATTTTTAGATAAACTCAACGTAAAAACATATTTTAAACTCCCCTTTTCAATGAAAAATGAAGGACATCAGGTATAACCAGAAGTCTCTGATGAGACTGTAGCTCTACTGGTTGTATTTATAAAGGAAGATAAAAGTAGCACTTGGACTTGAAACTTTGCAACAGCAATAAATAGAATAATGATCCTTGGTTTAGTCTCTTTTGTGGCAAGATTTATTATTATATCAGACTAAAACTGTAGGAGGAGTAGCCTTTTAGAACAATTTTACAGAAATTTTGATTTAAGTAACCACGGCAACATCATTCAACAAAATCAAAAAACAATAACACCAATTATGTATCTCTGTAGTCTACTTGTATGCCACATTATACTGAAATCAGACAAAAATTGTAGGAGGAGTAGCATTTTGAAAGTATTTCACAGAAATTTCTATTTTTAGTAACCATGGCAACACCATTCATCGAAATCAAAAACCGATATACAGAATTATGCATCTTAGTATAGTCTACTTGTGTGCCAAGTTATATTGAAATCAGATCAAAACTGTAGGAGGAGTAGCATTTTGTAAGTATTTCACAGAAATTTCTATTTTTAGTAACCATGGCAACACCGTTCATCGAAATCAAAAACCGATACACAGAATTATGCATCTTAGTATAGTCTACTTGTGTGCCAAGTTATATTGAAATCAGATCAAAACTGTAGGAGGAGTAGCATTTTGAAAGTATTTCACAGAAATTTCTATTTTTAGTAACCATGGCAACACCGTTCATCGAAATCAAAAACCGATACACAGAATTATGCATCTTAGTATAGTCTACTTGTGTGCCAAGTTATATTGAAATCAGATCAAAACTGTAGGAGGAGTAGCATTTTGAATGTTTTTCACAGAAATTTCTATTTTTAGTAACCATGGCAACACCGTTCATCAAAATCAAAAACCGATACACAGAATTATGTATCTTAGTGTAGTCTACTTGTGTGCCAAGTTATATTGAAATCAGACCAAAACTGTAGGAGGAGTAACATTTTGAAAAATTGTTTACAGACGGACGGACAGACAGACAGACAGACAGACGGACGGACGATGGACACCTTACTATCGCATAAGCTCTTCTGGTCTCTGACCAGTAGAGCTAAAAATGGGATTTTTCTCCATCTCATACAAAGGAAATGTATCAATATGAATATTGCATACAGTCTCTCAGTAAATGGTTTTTCATATCTTCTTGACCTCCTCTTTTAAATTGATATAAAATTGAACATAGGAATCAAGGGTTCCTTTTGACATGATTTCAAATTGAATTCAATGAAAATGCATCAATATCTAGATAATTCAGTTTAATATAGCCGTAAAATACAGGAAAAAGTAAGTTTAAATCAATTATGACGTCATAATGGATCTAACTGAAAAAAGACAGACTAGACTCATTTACTAGATCTTGACCTTAACATTGAAACATGATAAATTGTAATGTCTTCATAATAAAAGCAATTACAAATATCATAAGTTATAAAATTTATCGATCAAATATTCATAAATTATAAGTTTCTGCTTGGGAATCGGAATTATAATATATTAGACCACATTGGGTTTTTATTTCCAGTAGCAATTAAGACTGACTTCTTTATTAGGCAATGGAAAATATTATGTTTTTTTCTAGTTAAATATGAAGGAAAACAAGTTAACATGGTCGTAACAAGAAATACATAATTTTATTTATAACAATAATCTTCATGTACAAATTCACATACAGGGAGCAGCGCAAAGCGTGTTCAATAGACTTAAATGAGTAAGAAAAGAGAAAATTTGTAATGACATATATGTCAGCAAATTTTTGTGTGAAACCTTCCCAGAATTCCTTTGCTACCAGGATTCCATGCCATAATGGCGAATAAATAAATAACATAAAATATAAAAGGTTTGCAGTTTGTAGAAAGCTTAAAAGAAATAAAAAAATATTCTACAATGTCTTTCATTTAAAATTGCACTAGGCCTATAGTCTCGTTCAACCAGATGCTCGGCTGTCTCCGTAAACTCTGATGAACTCCATTACATCATGTGACGTCACAGTCTAGATGACTAGTGCAACTTGAGGTTTGAAGTGGCGGATCGTTACAAGTGTATTTTTAATGGTACAACTGCGCTCGCCCCAACTGTCACACCGTAAATTTCTCTGTTTTTACTCATTTATGTAAAGGAAGCTGAGGATCCACTACATGTACTAGAGCAATTTGTAATTTTATTAATAAAGTGCTGATAAATGAGAAACAGTCGTAAATCCTATCAATGAGCTTTGTACGATCACAAAGCTCTCTGGTAAGATTTTTGCCTGTTTCTCATTTATTTGCACTTCATGGATAAAATTGCTGACGCTATGACTAAATTGCAGATCTCTATGACTAAAGAGATGTAGATTGTATCTTTAACAAAGCTCCCTGCACTTGCGCAAACGGTTTAATCATCCTAAATATAATGCATTTTGATGTAGTCTTCGTGTATTTACATACGTACCAAGTACTATGAAAATATTGATAAAATTTCGAACTTCTGTTCATAAATTCTCTAGCTGTGTTCATCTGATAAGAACGTGACGTCTCGTTAACCAGTGTGAAATATTAAGGTTTGCAAGTCAACATTTAATGTTAGCTTTACCTAGAATTTGAATATGGACTACACAGAACCATTTTCTTGCGTTTTTTCTTCTGCTGTTTCGCTCGAATTTGATTTTTTACTGAGCCTTGGATGTCTGAGACGGATAACATGGGGGCCGCCATCGTGAATTTTAGTCGAAGTCTCTCAAGCGCTTTCAAGAAGGAAAATGATACCTTCATCTCCAAAGCGTCTCCACAAAGTTGTTTTGTTTTGGTAGAGTCTATTTCCCGCCACGTGAAATGCCTCCTAGACGATCTTCCAGACAAGTCAGTAAAGAATCTGAAGACGAAGATGGACAGAGCATACAGCAGCACAAAAAGAAAGAAAACAGCCAGTGGATTTGTTTCATCAATAGTGAGAATCGTTATAAGTCTACTAAACGCTTATACAGTTAAACGCTTGAAAACCAACATGCACAATCTCTAGGATTAAGCTCTAAGCTTGGAATAGCTAGCTATGTAGCTTAAGTAGGCTTTTCAAAATAGCCTGATTGAGCTATTGTTTAGAAGAAAGAAGAAAACTATCGCCAATGATCACATCATAAACTGCAACATTTCGTAAAAATAAAAAAAGCAGAATGTTAACATGATTTAAGAGATAGCTTTGATAAAGTAGCTAAATGAAGCTAGATCTGTTTTGAAAAAGATAAATCAAGATGTGTAGGTAATTCAAGCTATATGAGAAATCAGGAGTTTGTGTGGGACACATAAAACTTGATAAATTATTGACACATTACTTGCATATTATCGTATGATTATTATTTGAAATTATTGACACATCAGTTGTATGAATGACAGGCACTTGTTCCTGTTAAAGTAGCTACACTAAATAATATTTGAAGCTTGGTATTTAATGGATTTCTCAAACAAGTATGCTTTCAAACAAGTGCTTGTTAAACTCAAGTGCTTGCTTACATTGGTGATTGCACTCTTTTTCTCAGTATGTTATGATGCATATATTTATATAAATACAACCATATCAATATTGCATCAATTTTAGATATATACTAGGATTAAATATCAAGTTGAAAGGCTAATAAATTGCTGATGTAGGGACTATTAAATGAGACATTCCATTTTTACTAGCTGCAGATTTGTAGCTCACCGCTTAGTTAGAATAATCTAACTGTGTCTCGGGACAGGCCCTCACCACAGTTGGAATGCCTCCAATATACCTGCAATGTAGCAGAAAATTGCAGAATTGCTCCGAAACTATTTTGGAGAAAATAAATGAAATTGCATTGAAAATACCATCAAATTAATCATATCAAACCTTTTTGAGATTGTGGATACCTTTCACCAAATAATTTAATCCATAAAATGGAAGAATTCAACACTTTTCCTCAATGCTTTTACTCCCTTCAAATTTACGTGCCATATTGACATTCAGAACTCTCTGGACTTATCATAGTGAATGCACTGTTTAGAGTTATCACCCATGTCTACTTTGCTTCATTGCCAATACACCGAACACATTCTATCGTTGAACCGGGTGCGTAGGACATATCATTTTAACTATAGAACATTCTATCTACTCACTGCTTAAGAGAGAAAATAAATGTGTTGGAAGTCCAATGAGAGAGCTTCAGGTCTATGCATTTAAAAAAAGTGAACCAAAGAGTATACATATTTAAGAGTTATATGCTGTTATCTCAATATGTTACTATTCATATGCCCTAACACATCTGTTTACTTACATTGATACAAACTTAGGTTCATTTAATATATTCCAAATCTGGGTGGCATGACAGTTTGACCCTATGTGCTTCCTGTGAGTTTTATATTGTCATGCTTTGCCAAATATTATTTTCCCATTCTGACATCATAAAGCTTGGTACCCGTAGTTCATATTTACACAATTTATAAACTTAAGTATTTGAAAATTTTGGGTTGTATGGACAGACCTTTTGCGGTACACTTTATATATTCATTGCTGTATTAGTTCACAAATTTATATACTGGCACCTAAAATTATTTCTCCTAATATTTACTTGATGCATATATTAGATTTGGCTAATTAATGTTTTTGAATTGAAAAAAAAGTTTACTTGATCTAATATTCACATTCAATTATGAATACATGAATCAAGTTGTAATGAATTCCCATCTTATGTGGCAGTATAAACAGGTGAGGGGGATTCAAGATTTTTTCCAAATGAAGGGCCTCACTCTCTTGAGTCTAATCCAAGGGGAGATAATTAAGAATTAGTGAAAATTTAATAGCATCTTTTAAAAATCTTCTTCTCAAGAACCACTGGGCCAAAAAAATATGAAACTTATGTGGAAGCATGTGTAGATTCAAATTTGTCTAAATCATGACCCCTGAGAGTAGGATGGGGCCAAAATTTACATATAAATATATAGGAAAAAAATCATCAAAATCTTCTTTTAAGAACAGAAACAATTAGTCATAATGATAAGGAAGCATTCTCAAGTAAAGTAGCTAAATATCTGTTGAAAATCTTCTCATGAACAACAAAGGCATGATTAGTAATACTGATAAGGAAGCATCCCTATATAGTATAGATTCATATGACCCCCCCCCCCCCCCCCCAGCATAGCCATGTTTAGATATTAGGTAATGATATAGAAGTATTCTCAGGTGTATATAAAAATTTGTTCAGATCGTGACCTCCTGGGGGTAGGGTGGGGCCAGAATAGGTGATCAAAGTTTTACATAGGAAGAATAGTAAGGCCATACTGACTCAGGTGAGCGATGTAGCCATGGGCCTCTTGTTAATTTTTAAGGGGAACAAGATTTCCCCATTGCTTATCTGCACCTGTTTTCCTAACTGCTTGCAGCTATTGAGCTGATTTTCGGTATGTAATCTTTAAACTACCTTGATGAGTTATAAAACAAGTTTGCATATTCTTCCACTTCAATGATTTTTGACAGAATCACAACCTTTTTTATTTTTAAAAGGAACCAGATTACACTGCCGGTAGGAAACTAGTATTGCTTATGCAATACTCTCAGAACAATACTCTTGGAAAGCTTGTTTAAATTAATTTAAAAGATATGGCCAAATATGTCAAAACCCTTTTTTGAGCTCATGTAGATTTGAGACCTCAAAATCAAGAAACTTTATCAGTTGGTGTGTCTGTAGAGAAATTTGAGTTGAAGCATCCAACCAGGTCATTAAAAGTTAAAAGATGACCTAAGTATTTAAAAATTCTTAGTTTTAAGGGAGGTAATCTCTATTTTAACCCCCCCCCCCCCCAAAAAAAAAAATTATCACAAAGTGGATACACAGTTTAGAATTTTAGATATACACCTTTATAACAATTTAAAAAACACACCTTGTTTTTGATAATAAAGACATAAAATATGCAATTATATTACACTATAAAAATGCAGACTTAACAGTGCATCACACTGCAGAAAGAGCTGGACATGCAAGCAGCATTTTGAGAAGTCTGTCCAGTTAAAGAATACCAGTAATTAATGAGGAAAGCTGTCTTAATAATTTCAGTTTGAGCAGCTCTGATCAATTGGTTGCAATATGAAGTTTTACAATTTATAATTATAAAACTATATAATGATTAGTATTTTTTACATTTTATTAGGCTGTGGCTTAGTTCATTATTCATTAATTTAAAAAAAAATTGGTTTCATGGTAATCAAGGTTGTCTAGGCAGACTTACTAATAGCTGCACAGGTTGATACAAGTTTAAGGCAGATTAAATAATTGACATTTTTCTGCAAGTTGTTAAGAAGGAGATTAATTCTGATTAGGGTTTGTGACTGTAAAAATATTTTGAACTTATCGAAATTGTTGTTCTAAATTGCCATTAAAATGGATTAGAAAGATTATAATGCTAAAACCAATTTACAGCATGTAGACTAATACATGTGTTACTTTAAATAAACAGACAGTCTGGAAGTCTGGATACAAGCCACTGAAATTCCTTTATGTTCAAATGTGACTTAAATGTGCATGTGCACTTACAGTGTGCATGTGACTGTGCATGTGCACTTGGTAACATTTACTTGCAGGTTACCAGAGAGTTAAAAGTTCAACAAAGTTATTAGATTTAAGAAATCCTTTTGGACATAAACTGTATATAGTTATTTCAGCAGGATTGATATTTTGATGCAATGCACTGATGTTTGGCCGTCACCAAAACATGATTTTCCATTTATATAAGAATTAGACACAATAGATAAAAATATTGAAGGAGCTTATTCATGGTTGTGCTTTGTAGATTTGGGTGTTTGTGATAGATTTTCAAAATGCTGTTAGTAAATATTAAAATATCTTGACTTTTAGGGGAACTTTAATATAAGGACCTTTATACAGAAGTTGGAGGGGTATTTCTCACAACTCTCGATATACATTAGACCCTCAATAAAATTATATTTATACCCCAGTAAATGTCGTAATTCATTGAAATCATGGATCCATTGCTTGTATACTGTTATAATTAAAGTAATATTCTGTTCATTGAATATTATTTCATTGTAAATGTAGCCAATAAAACTAGTAAAATGTTTACTGCCAACCTTGATTGGGATGTTGCATTTGACCAATACCGGGTATTTATTGGAGGAATGAACAGAGTAAAGTTATAAAAGCAAATCTCTTCATTTTTACTCATTTAAAATACAGGAATGCATTTTAGCTTAGGTGTTTAATACAACATGGCCCTAACTTTCATCTTATTATTGAACATTGATTCAGTATGAGATTTTGCCTCACTTTTATGTTGCTAATATTAACCAAGGGGAGATCTATAATCTTTGATTAAGTATGTCTTTGTTGTGGAGTTAAAGGTTTGTCCTTAGAAGTGCTCTTGAGTTTAAAAATAAATCCATTGCATTACTTTAAATCACATGTCCAAATTAAAATATGATACAAATTCTACAGCTGAAGTGACGAGGATCGCTGGCACCAGGCCAGTAAAATTGCAGTTAGGATATATAATTAATATTGTAATTAATTGATTCATGTAGATCTATTATAGCTCACCTGAACTAATGCCTCATCCATGTCCTCATCTTCACTAGCCAAGGGTTTCCGATCCGAAATCTACTCTACAACCCTTGTGGAGTAGATTTCGGATCAGAAACCCTTGGCTAGCGAAGATGCTGTGTCCTCAGTTCAGATCAAAGTTTGTCAGCACTGTGACTTATACATGAGAGAATGGACATTTGTAATGGAGGTAGACAAGGGTGATGCCTGCAATTTAAAGAAAAAGAATAAAGGGTCGTTGTTTCATTGAAAGTGGGTTATAGTGTTCAAAGCTTAAACTTTGTCAATCACATCATTATAAACCTTGTAGTGAGCTCAAAACCCAAAGCAAAGCTTATACAAGTGTAATATTGTAAAATTATCAAAACCCAAGTTATGTATT